TCTGTTTGAAACGATTTCTTTGTAAACGTTTAATTATTCATCCAAAATCTCTAGCTACATCAAATCTATAACATTTGCAAATCAAATTTTATGTGCAAATTCTCAAATGCTTTGCCAAAGGATCCATTCAAAGATCTTGCAATCCTTGTAAACAATCAATGAATGTCCACTCCCCGATCCCCCATCTTTTCCGGATCACCTAAAAATCGGGGGTGGAGCAATTTTAGCAAAAAAAACCCCCTTTCTCGTGAAAATTTGATAATGTGATAAGACTTTGAAAAAAGGTGAAAAAGGCGAGTTTCAAAGGATTTCAGAAAGAAAATGGAAAAGAGATTCATTCGAATTTTTGAGAGAGATAACCCCGGTCTCTCCCTTTGACACAAACGATTGGTGAATTGATTGGAAAGGAATTGGATGTGATTGCGGATTTTTAGATTTGAATTCATTTGATATTTGCATTTGATTTCTAATTTAATATGTTAATCTACTTTTGTATTAAACTTAACCCTTTGCCATGGCTGTAACGTCAAAATTTGCTTGTTTCAAATTTTACATAGTAAAAGTTGAGTACCCGTCCTTAATGACCAAGTTTTTCAAAACAAATCACCCTTTTTTCGACCTGATCAAATGAAATTCCGCTGATCCTTTTTAATCTACGTTTTGCTACTGTAAAAAAGCTAAGTTTTGTAGGAAATTTTCCATTTGCGGACTACTTCTCGAAAATTCCTTAAGAAATTCCCCAAATCACTCCTTTTTCGCGGATTTTCTTTGTCACTTTTGTCATCCCCAAAAAGTGCTCATTTACATTCAAGAAATCACATTTTATACATTCACATCTAATGAATATGCTTTGTTTTTGGCCATTTTTGATCGCTACTGTACTCTTACGAAATTTCCTAACCAAAATTTGACTAAAAAATGACTCAAAAGCAGCTTTTTGGGTTGAACCAAGTGGTGGACAAACTTTATGAAAAGGTTTCTTTCAACATCTTCAAATTCTTTTCTCCTTCGAATTTTATATTTATATCCGAAATTTATCTATTTCAATAATAACATAACTTTATCAAATCAGGCCGTTCATGCAAATTTAAAATTTGTTCTTATTGATTTAGAGCAGGCTTAAATTTCAAAGTTTCAACAGGATTTGGGTGAAAAAGAAAAGATTTCAGTAATCATTTCAACGAATATCGCTAATCATTTTCATTCTTTAAAAGGCATCACATTTTTTTGGAAATACAATGTTTGAAATTGTTGAGCTTTTGAGAATTCACCTTCACCTTTTCTGCTTTTAAAATCTACAGTTCCTTATGCTGTTTTTCAATCAAAAATTTCGACTTTTACACTCGATAGTCAAATTGACCAACTTCCCAATAAGCTCTAAACTTTTTAATACGAGTTTTTCCGCTATTTGCTTATCCATCTATTCACCATGAATACATCTTTTTTCCTCACAGTCAGCCTTCCAAAATTAGGCACCTGCTGCATGACATATGGGATTCCTCTCCCCTTTTTTTTGAGTGTCTCCACCCTTTTCTTCCGCATTTCTCTCGAATTCTCTTCTCACTCAATAATCCATTGACCATCTCAAAAAATGGTTCTCGAGAACTTGTCAATGACCCAAATTTAGGCAAAGAAAGAAAATTGCGGGACAAAGTTGGCACCCACTTCATAGGGAAGAGTTCACGGTACTGGCCAAGTTTCGGGAAAAGAGCTATTCATTCCCCAACCCATTTCCTTTTAGCTGTCAGTTTTGAAACATTAAAGTTTTGAGTCCAATCAAAGCAGCTCTCAGCCAGGTACTTTGTGCTCTAATATCCTATAAACACATCCTTTCTAGAGCGCTCAATTCTTTCATTTTTCTCGTGGCACCAATTGAAAGAGATTCGTCTTCTGAAAAGGATTTATTTTGAATCACGACACACTTATCGGCTGCCTTTTCAACCATTTTGAAGGCTCAATTGTTTGATCTCAAAAAAAATCTAAAAACCATGAGTTCTCTGTTCCAATCTGTAAAGCGTTCTGTGAAAAGCAACTTGCCTAATTAGTTACAAGAAATTCGTTAAATCAGATGACCAGTTTCAAAATTTAGCGCATCTCGAGGTTTTTTCGAGTCTAGTTTAGTCTGGTTGTGATCCACAATCTTCACTTTCAATCACCTTTTCAATGTTTCAACAAGAGCGGGGCCATGAACCTTTTTGACTACCCAATTTTTCCCCTTCAAAATTGATCCAAAAGTCTCGAAACCCAATCGATTCCATCAATCAGATCTTCGTTTTTCAAAAATTTCACAATTTCCCGATCTTTTTGCTGAAAGTGAGTTAAAGGGGACATCGCTGCAGTCCACCGAATCCACAAAAATTGCGCGAATCCCCGGGAATTGAATGGACGAAAAAATGAAACCAGTTCTTTTCTATTTCTTTTTTCCACCTTTTCCTCTCTTTTTATACTCAAACCACATCCGAAAAAAACATAAAAACATTAATAACTTCCCCACAGCAAAACTCAAAATATTGCTCTTGAGAAGGTTTTGAAAAAATGAATAGAGTCCGGGCTCATCACTATTTTGGATTTTATCATGTAACCAATCGCTTTCAATGTGGACTTGTCGTTCAGTCTGAACAAAGTTTAAAGTTTGCTTGGATGGGAGTTCATTTAACAAACCATGACATTACCCTGTATTCAAAGCGATTCTTTAAAATCTACATGGATTTGGCTTTATTGTTCTCTGTAACAAAACTCTCAATAATGAGCTTGAGATGAATCCTATAAACCCCTGAAAGCAGTAGACTCAGATTTCCTTTTGAACCCATGAAATTTTCTTGCTTATTGGTTTTTTCAAAACCAAGTTTCAAGTTAATTGATATCAAATGTGAGTCGGGGACACCAATGTAAACGACATTCGAGTTCAATATTCGTTCACTTTCCCGAACTTTTAACGTTAAACTTGTTTACTTTTTACTCCTGAAAGCCAAAGAATATCCCAAATCCACAATCCATGTGTTCATCTCAAATACAAGGGATATCCTCCAAAGGGGTGAATATGTTGTTGTGAAACCCCACAATTTCCCCCTCAGAACACGCCGTTTTTGTCCTTTTTGTCCTTTTTGTGCCCTCAAACCTTTCGTGTGTACACCATCCGAATAGAGAAATCCTCTCTATTTCATCAGTTTTTTCAATTTTACTTTGTATTTGTGAATTTCGATCTTTGAAAATCATCATGCAAACATGACTATCCGGAACGCCGACTAACTTGTTAATTTTATCGAGAGTCCCACAAAAAGTGAAACCTAAACATTTGAGAACATGCAATTCTGGCTGTTCAAGAATTTCAAGAATTAGAATTGAAGCTTTTCGATGGCACAATCACAAGTAATCTTTCTATAAATCCACGTAATCCTTGTTTTCATAAAACTTTACATGTATTTTAAAAACTCAACATGCTAAATATAGAATTTCGATTTTTCTGATGATTTGTGAAACGTGCATGTTTCAAATGAGACATTTGAAAGATGCAAAAATACACGTTTCACCGGTGCAAACTAAGTGTTAACCTACAATATACAGCACTCCATAATTTCTACTAGAATGAACGCTACTTGGGTGACTGAACTGGTTGCTAATCGTGCTTTTGGTAACTTATTGTCCATCGAAAAGCAAAGATCACAAAGATTTTCAACCGTTTTTCCCATCGAACAGATCCTAATTTCCAAAAGACCAAAGTCGCTTCGAAACGCTTTTGAACAAGCTTTTGAACGTTTTTCTCGTGTTTCACCAAAAATTCATTCTTGATGCCAATTTTTTTTCACCAAGGCCAATGAGTTTCTGAATCAAAACCTGGCAAAATTGCCTCAAAAATCAGCAACAAGTTCGGGGATATTTGACTTTTGCCTTGTAAAATCGAGAATTCGATGGTCGAATCGAGATCTGTGTAAATAAATGTACTGCATCTTTTTCGGAAAAAACGAAATTCCCCGCATTTTTGCCTAGATCACAAAAGAAAGCATGTGCTTTTTGGAATTAGTTTCGATTGAGCCTGGCTAAAGCTATATTTTTGCATTCTGAAGCTGACAATTCATTTGTTGTTTTACCGGCTATCCCGCCAAATTTTGAATTTTGGAACTTTTTTTAGAGTAAGAACTTTTCTTCTGTTCAAGCTAGTTTTCTGTTTTTTTTTTTTAATAAAACCTCACTCATTTTTTAAAAATGATTTTTTTTACTTTCTTGGAAAAGACTTTGGAATTGTGCAAAGGCCCGACACAAATTTATTATTTAGTTGAAGCTTCGATCAGGGATTCATTTTTTGGTTGCGTCGCTAGCTTCACCAAAACTGAAACTTTTCTTTTTTAACAAAAGCAAAATTGCTAGCTATAAGAAAAATTTCGGATTTCTCTTGATCCATAGCTACCGTAAATACTCTAATAGAAGTCCCCCTATAGGAGCGTTACGTAGTCTAAGTTTACTCTTAAACAAACGCTCATATCTCGACATCAGTACGATTGTTCCTACGCGCTTAGGTACCAAATTAAAGTAGAGAGGATTGGTGATTTTTGTAGGTATAACACATATTTTTAGCAGTAACCAGCGCTTAGAAAAAATGATTGAAAAGTGGCAAAAGAAGCCGATTTTACAATCATTGCGTTCTAAGCATTGGTTAATGCTAAAATATGTGTTATATCCCATCCTCTCTACTTTAATTTGATACGCAAGCGCGCAGAAACAAATGAGACATGAGCAGTTCTTTGAGTGTAAACTTGGACTACGCGACACTCCTATAGGGGGGCTTCTACTAAAGTATTCGCGGAGTTAAAACTTTTCCAAACAAATCTCACTACCCAACTTTTCACTCAAAAAGTTTGAGGTTTATTCACATTCTAGGTTACGAATTTATTGAAATTGCATTTATTTTTTTATATATTTCTTCTGCTTTTAAATACCAGCTATAAATTTTTCCAATTTTCACAACTCATCCAATCATTTTCCAGATAAACGGCTTGGATTTTATGAACGAAACGGCTCGGCTGATGCCCCCAGGCATCGATCATAATAGGTAAAGAATTGTAATTGTGTAGTTTAAAATTAAAATGCTAATTTACAAGTAACTGCCGTTTTAAAATGATCTAGCTGTTTGGCCTTTGATTGAGCGTTTTGAAACCCACTCGGGGACTAACCTTAAATCAGTCAACTGTATCACCATTTTGTTGAAACATGTAAATTTTCATTTATGTAAAAGTACAGAACTCGAATCAAAGTATTAAAAATAAGGCTTTAGCTATTTATAAAGATATTTTTTTTTACAAAAACTGGTACTTCCAAAGATCTAAAGACATAAACTCATCATTTCCTTGTAGACCGTCCGCCTCTCCGATCGACCAAAAACCCTCGTGGAGTGCCGGAGTGCAGATGATAAATGTGAGTTTTGGGAAATGGAAAAATCGGAATGAAAAAATGAATTAAGATGGACCTTATTTAGGTGAATGAATGGTGAATGGACCTACTAGTGCTTTTAATAATTTATTGTCCATCCAAAAGAAAAGATCACGAATTTTCAACTCTTTTTTTTGGGTTACAATGGTTTATCTAAAATAGATGTCTTTTAGAAAATGTAGCTTTTATGATCTTTTATGATTCAGTTATCCCCTCCAGCCGGCGATCAAGCGGCACTTCTCGGAGTGAATAGTGAACCTCTACAGAGCTCGTCTGGCACGATGTCACGCGAAAATGACGACAATTGGGCCTCTGATTTGGATAAGGTTTGGGAAAATTTGGAAATAGAAAAAATGTAATTAGGTCTTTCAATTGATTGGCGAGTTTCTTAAACTTGAAACAAACTTATTTCCCTTTGTTTCAGAGCGGCGACGATATCTCCGGAGATCCCGAAGGTGTTTGGTCACCCGACATCGAACAGGTTGGCTAAAAATTGCTCAAAATTTAAATGAAAATATTTTTGAGGCTTTCCAAGAAGCTCTCGCCATTTACCCTCCATGTGGTCGCCGGAAAATCATCCTTTCTGATGAGGGCAAGATGTATGGTGAGTCACTCTAGCTTACTTTGTACTCAAAAAACCCTAGTGTACTGAAATCTTCATTTTCTCATAACTAGTGATGTTTTGCGGATCCAAAGTCTCAAGCTAATCCCCTTGACCCTTGAAAAAGCTGACAACTGTTCGTTTTGGGGAAAACTCTCAGCGGGGATCCTCAAAAGGGCCGGTGGAGAGCAAAAGTCAAAAAGACAAAAGCGCTGTTTGTGTTTATATGTCCAAATTGGGCTAAAGAATCTTTCGTTGAATATCTTTCTCTCCTTTCACTGAATATCTTCTTTCTCTATCCATTTTGCTTGTCGGTTCCCTCATCTCTTTTCTTGATATCTTTATTTTGTCCATTGGCTAAGATCTTTCTTTTATGACTCTTTAGCTCATCTGTTGTCTCATCCATTCTCTTCGCTGAATATCTTTATCCTTCCCTATATTTCCTTCAACTGAATATCTTTTCTTCAATGTTTCGTTCAGTCTTTTGTTTCTCTCTTCAACTGAATATCTTTTTCTCTTTTTCTCAGCTTCTTTTGCTGATTGTCTTGTCTAATCTATGTTCTTCTTCTATCTTGCTTCTCTGTCTCTTTTGCCGTTCTCTAGCTGTATATCTTTTTCTTTTGCCTCTTCCACCTCTTCCCCTTGAACAGAATATCTTTTCCCTCTCCTTCTCAATCTCTCTTTGTGTATGTTTATAGGCGGTGAACTCGAAAGGAGACAAGTCCATAAATGGGAAAGAAATGAAGAGAAAAGAAAAAGAGATGACATGGATTAGGCCTCGGAAAGCACAGGGAAACAGCCTAAGACCTTGTTGCTACATTTGGGACATTGGGCACATTTTGAGGGGAAATTGCAAATTAGGGACCAAGCCTACCTAAATGTTGCCTCTAAAGTTGGTTTCAAATGTTTCAATCTAGAAATTATCTTTAAAATGCTCAGGTTTCAAGTTTAACCTGGCCCGTTTAAGGCCAGATTCATTAATAATATCATGTAAAATCCAACTTTAGAGGCAACATTTAGGTAGACTTGGTCCTTAATTTGCAATTTCCCCTCAAATTTCATTAATAATATCATCTAAAATCTGAAAAGCTGCCATGGTTTACTGAAAAGTTTAATAGCCAAAAGTTTTTCTGGGACAAAATTTTAATTCAGCTAATTGATAGACAGTGAAACCGAATTGCATAAAAATGATCTTAAAATGTTACGGTTTCAAATTAAAACTGGTCTATTTAGAGTTTAGCTCGTTGATGAGCTTATTGATGCGTCACTTAGTGATTTGGAAACTTTGATGAGATTTGGTTTCCTGTTTCCTAAAAACTCTACTAGATAATTTTTTTCTCTGTAAACTTTCAAGCTTTGATTCACCTTTATAACAATTCTGATAACACAAGAGAACGCTGGAGATTTGAGTTCGAACTTCGCCTCCCCTACCTCAAGATATTCAAGATATCCCACTCATTCAGAGTTGAAGACAAAAAAATGGCAAAGATTTCGAAGATTCTGAAAGATTCGACACAATTTTGATGGATGGGGTCATCTTCGGCTTTCCCTTTTCCTTTCTTGGGTACCATGCCTTTTTTGAGATAAAGGGGGAGAAAGAACAGATCGTGCCTATGATTTGCCATCCATTTTTGAGAATGAAGGCAGATGGCCAATGGGAAGATTTCATGGAAAAAGGCGATTTGAGACATTCGTTTTCCCTTTGTCGCTAAGATATTTGAATTTGGGGATTGAGTAAAATTTGAATGTTTCAAAGAAAAAGCTAGTGTGGGAGTGTTCCAATTCTTAATGCTGTCCTTGTGTTGATGTCAGAAAGCAGAAAACGTAGATATCTAACCAATTACTAGAATTCTATTTTGTGGATCAAATAAATAACTTAAATAGGCAAATTTGATGGTTAAAGACTTAGGGTCACTTGTTTTTTTTATGTTTCAACATAAACGGGGTTTTATGCATCACAGAGAATTTAATGATCGTCAAATGATCTTTGGAAATGTTCAAGATATACCAAAATGTAATTTTCCAGGTCGAAACGAGTTGATCGCTCGCTACATCAAGATTCGATGTGGGAAGACACGAACGCGGAAACAAGTCAGTTTAGCGACTTATATTTTCGATAATTTTGCATTGCCCTGAATTCTCCAAGCTTGAATTGCGTTGTACTTCTAGATAAACTGAATGGCCGATAAAATATTAAGCTTTATAACCTCAATAATGAATTCTTATTCCTAGGTGAGCAGTCACATTCAAGTGTTGGCGAGGAAGAAGATGAGAGAGCACACTGGCGGGAAATCCGTCAAGGTGAGTGGAATTGATCAAAACTTAGAATTTAGATATATTACCTTCGAAAGCTTTGACCTATAATATCCAAATTTGAAACAACATATTAGTTATTCTAAAATTTCCCCCATTTCAGCACGAATCCGCGAATTCCCCTCCATCAGCGGCAACCCAAAATGGGAATTCCGCGTTACTCACCCAAAACTCATCAGCCACGAATTCTGCGGGAATTCCCTCAAATGGAGGATCACCGGTGAATGGACAAACTGTGTCCACAACGGCTTCTGAAGCGAAAAACAATCATTTACTAGCGCCGATTACACAGGTACTTTGTCTTTAGTATGTAAACAAACCATTTCTGGTGCATGATTCTTTAAAAGCCTTCATTTGCAGCAAGCCCCACTCGTCCCTCCCGCCGTCACGACGAATCCCGGGCTGAGCAAGGAACAATTGCAAATACAACAATTGAGTGAGTTTTAAAATACATCTATGCTTTAAATCAATATCAAATCTTTCATTATAAATCTATTAAAGAAAAGAAAAAATTTAGGCCAAACTCTGTTCTCGGGCGGTTTCGTGAATCCTTTCATCCCGGGAATGCCCTTCACAAATGGATGTACGCCATTCACACCGCCTTTCGGAACATTCAAGGACTATTTGGGGTTCGTGTTTCGAATTAAAATCATTTAAAATTATGCAGAGTCCGGAACAACGCTTATTTAAAGTTTCATTTGGTGATCAATGAATTCGAAAAAATAACTTGAAAGTTTTGTTATTATACTTAATCATGATAGGGATAGTTACTACAGTTTGGCTCTTCTATAAAACTTGATCCAATCAAAAATTCGTCCGTTTCAGAGCCGATCCAAACAATCCCTTCTACGCGTTCACCCCGATTCTCCCCAAAGCTTTCTCCCCTCCACAAAAAGCTTCTAATCAAATGGCGTCAAGTCGGCTCATGTTAAGGGTGAGGTTGAAAGGAATATTCAGAAGAGAACTAAAGGGTCAAAGCATCCATCTACTTCATAACAATGTCTTTTCAGGAATTCACCGCCTATGTCGAGGGAGAACAGGTGACACAACGCAAAGAAGTCCTCCGAATCACCACGTCGAAAGACGCCGATCTTGTGGTGAGTGGAAAAAGGAAAAGAATGTCTTCAACTAACTTGAAATTCGATTAATTTTGAATCTTTTAAGGATGTCGAATGGAATGACATCGCCGACAGTTTCCAAGATAAAGCCCAACATTTGTACTCACAAGCACCACCGGATGGAGTGTTTCTTGTGAAATGCTGGGCCGATATTCATTTCAATGTTTGTTTTTTTAGTTTACTTTGTTTTAATTCTTGGGGAATAGCTTCAAGAATCAAATTTACAGATCGATTTTGAGACGGCCCTTTTCGCCGTCGATTCTCACTACGTTTCTTCTCAAAATTTTCCGACACTCCGAATTTCGACAATGGCCTGTTCATTTGGGAAAGTTGCGGTCGAGAAAATTGAGGTAAAGTTCAAAAAGTTGGCTGCTACTTACCCTTAGTAAAGAATAAATAACATTTCAATGATTCCAGGAAGTTCCCGTTCGATTGGTGGACGGCCATTTCGAGTATCGCTTAGAGAAGTCTCCTGTGTAAGTTTTTGAAAACGCAAAATACTTTTGCAATATGAATTTAAAGGGAAAACCAAGAGCTTTCAGTTGTCAATGGTTGGTCGACTTTGTGACCCAATTGAAGAGTCTCGAGACGGTCGCCGAAATGAATCGAGTACTCGAGAATTTCAGCGTTTTGCAAGTGAGTCAATGGGAAAGATCTCTTTCAATAGTTTGCAGTCTTTCTTTCAAATCATCTCTTTTCTAAATTGTATTAACTTTTGAAAACGTACTGTTTCACTCTGAGTGTTGAGGAAATGGTTCCACAGATTAATGGATGAAGTTCCTTTAGGGAAAGATTACTGTAGCCAAGAGATACAGAAGTAGACAGATTACTGTAGTTTTTGAGCCACAACTACGGTAATTGTTGACTGGTGACACAGAGACGACAGTTCTCTAAAATTATCCAAAAATAAAAGCTTCTAATCAATTCTCGATTTTCTAGGAGCTCCGCGGGATCAAAGAGGACAAAAGCGAGGAATCGTTGATGGTTTTCGGGATTCTCTTCGCCATCGGTGACATGAACAATATTGAGTCCGAGTTTTTCCGTATCAAGGCCTAAATTGAAGCTGATTTCAGCCTCCTTCTCAACTTATTCATACGAGTTTCTATTTTCTTTTGTTTCATTTGATTTTTTGTGTTTTTTTCTGAATCAAAACTTGTGTCTCTACTTGCTGAGATTAGCCTTTTTGTTGATTATTTTCAGATCAAAATTGCCAAATGTTTTTATGATGCAGTTTTTCTTTGGGCAATGGGAAGCTGAGTTCGAAAAGTTATTTTAAAAACAAGGCACTAGATTTCTTTAAGTTTAAAGTTTCTTGTTTCAAAAGATGTTAATAATTTTGAAACACTATCCTTCAAAGCCGAGTTTTCCAGTGAAACCAAAGAAAAATGATATCCACTTACAAAAAGATACAAAGTTTACAGAATTTTCCCTCAAATTTCGACTTTTTCTGAAATTTCTTTTGTTTTTGCTTGAAAGAGCCCTCCTCCCCCCACTCAGTCCCTCCTCCCCTCATTCAGTCCCCCCCCCCCCCCCCACTCAGTCCCTCCCCCCCCACTCAGTCCCTCCTCCCCCCACTCAGTCCGACCAAAACTTGTCACATTTGAAATTTATTTGCATTTCGTTTACATTTTCGTTTACATTTTCTTCAGTTTCGCATGAACAAAGCTTCTTAATTTTTGAAATTTTTGAAATTTTCGAACATTTCAGTTTTTTTTTCCAAAAACCGTGCATCTCTGGATTGTTTTTTTAATAGAAATTTGAATTTTTAGCCTTTTTGTGCATTTATCTGTGTCATTTTTAAATTTGTCTCAAATTTTGAATATTTAAAATTGAAATTTTCAAGACATTTTACCGTGTGTGATAGTCAAAAATTAAGGTGTTCTTGCAAGGAGAAAATTTCATTACTTTTTGAATCAACTGGCAGTGAACATTTTAAAAAAACACAAGCGATTGAGTCGATCAAATTGAAACTGACAAAATTTAAGCAACTTCTTGGATTTCTGATGAGTTTCGGAACATTAAAAAAACAGTTAAAAGTAATCAAAAGTAAAAAAACAAAAAACAGGCTCTCTTTTTTTACATTTCTCATATGGACAAACAATATCTGGCACACTACCCGATTGAATTTAAGTCAATTCGGGTAATTAAAATGACCGGGTAAAATGGTTGGCAAGGTACAGCGCATTAGAAACAGAACACGAGAAAATATTATAAATAACTTGAAACTTGAAATCTTTAGAGACTAGCTCAATCTCTCAAAGCTCAATCAAGCTTTAGAGCTCAATCTTAAAGAGACATTGTAAACAAAGATCTAACAGAAAGATCAACACTTTCTAAAAGACACTTAAACAAATTTAATCCACCCTCCATTTCTCATTCGATCAGCTCAATTTCGATATCATTGACTGAGCCTTGTGATTCCTCATCGAACCATACCAAAATTACGTTGATCGAATGAAAACTTGAGGATGGATTACGGTAGTTTGTCTAACATTGGAGGAACGTCCTCTAATCAACAGTAGAACGTTTTTAGGCGAATGGGATTAGCTTTACAGAGCATTGACTCACAACATTACGCAAACTCCCCAACTTTTAAAACCTCTATTCCTAAAATCCCGCAATCTTTGACCAGAGCACATTTGTCTTCTATTTTTTTGCGAGCAAAACAAAAAACCTTTCACTGAAACCCTTTCTTTTTTTCTATTTTGTGTGGGTGAGAGTCACGAACAGTGTCATTTTTCTCGTGAAAATTTAATGTTCCAAACAATAGAATGGACTCGAAATCACCCATGGAAACACTTTAAAGAAAAGAAAATCATTTTGAGAAAAAGATGAAGATGAACGAAATTTCGGACGGTTTTCGTTGTAATTTCTTTCTGTGCGCAATTTTTGGGACTTGATTGGCTTCACTTTTATAATAGCTGAACTCTGATAAATGATAAACGGCGATGATAAACCACAAAGCCAATTAGCAATTCGTGAAGAAGTATCTCGAAACTCGACTTTTTTTTCCATTTCAAATCGCTTCTATCAGACTCTAGAAATCGTCAAGCTTTGCGTTCTTGTTGATATTGTCTGAGTCTTGATCTGACATCTTGCTTGACATTGCTGCCGCTTGACATTGACTGGGTTCTCTTTGAAACACGAGTTTTTTTTGTTCAATCCAGAGTCCGTACTTACCGTATTCCCTCTGCACTTTTGAAATATGATTCACAAAATTTTTCATTGCAGCCAAGCTCTACTGCAGTTTGCTACAGACTATATAGAATCTAACGCTAATAAAGCCTTGCTTAGATTTTCATAATCTCATCAAATAAGTTTTTTTGATTCAATTACAGTTTTAGTCTATTCTTTTCGCATTTTTCTAATAATTTCTCGAGTTTTCTGACTTTGTGAATTTAAAGGAAAGACCTCGAAAAGACCTCAAAAATGGGTGTGGGTTTTTTCGTTGGAATGAAAAGTGTGCTCTACGATTTTGCCGTCTGGTCTACCGTAGCCGCCATTCCCCATATTGCTGACGCAAAAACGCGATGGACGAGATATTTTTGGGTGAGTTCAGTGAGATTTCTTTCAAACTGTTTTCTAAAACGATCCAACTTTCTCAAACCATAATCTTGTCTATTTTTATTCAATCTATCTACTTTTTGTATCTTTCGATATCAAGAATCAGAAAAAAATAGATAGTTTGGATAAAAAATAAAGACAAAATTAGGGTAGAAAGGGGAGAGGGGACACGCTTTAGAATCTATCAGCCATTTGCCAGTTAAATCCATCAATTTTCAGTTATTCGTCTTCATTCTCATGATGTTAATCTTTTTGGGTGAACTCTACGCGATGATCCGCAAATTTCTCCAATTCCCCACCGAAGTCGATACGATCATTCAATACTCACAATTGGTATCGTGAAAAGAAATTTTCGTTACAAATTCTTCAATCGAGTAAGACAAATGAAATGTGGAAAACCTGCTGGCCTTAATAATTACCCGAGTTTCAGCCGTTCCCAGCCGTCACCATTTGCAACTTGAATCCTTACAAGTACACCGTTGTCAAGGACACCTCCAGTTATCCTAGTTGGTTCTTAACAATAGAAAAGAAAATTGTGACTGCAGAGTTAATTTTACTTGTTCCAGAATTCGCTTCGGTGCTCAGTTTGACGAATGTGGCTGTTCAGGCGATTCAGGACAACTACAAATCGACATGTCCAGCCTCGTACACTGGGGATAATTGGGGGATCGCGGTAGGATTCTCAAACAGCCTCTAAACCTGATATATCTGATTATCTGTTTTCAAAACTGAGCCTACATACTAGAATTGCTTTCTGGACACTCAATTCTTGCCCACCTTTCAGAAAGTTTGCCCGTATCCGTACGAATTGGAGACGACAACGAAAGATGCACTCATCATCGAAATGGCAAAGCTTTCCAAAGATGATAAGGTTTTCTTTTCAAAATGACATTACTGGTATTGCTAGTTACATCCCAAAAAAGCTTGTTGCAGTGAGTGTTGGCTGGTTAGTATTTTAGAACTAGTTCCAGTAGTTGAACAAGCTATAGCATTTTACTAGTTTCAAAAGAAATAGAGTGAGAGTAGTTTGATTGGTAATAATCCTCGCGGCGGTTTTGTTTCTCATTTGAATTGGTTTGGGATCTAACTGGATACGACTAGACCCTGAAAGTCCAAAATTTTCACGAAACTTTTAGGAGCCAGCCCTTTACACATACGATGATCTTGTCACCGAGTGTTCCTTCAATTCGAGGCCTTGCAATATGTAAATTTCTATTCATATTCATAAAAACTAACATTTTAGTTCTAGATCTAGATTTTCTCTAAAAACACTTTCGATTTCAGCACCGCTTTCACGAGTTTTGTCGATCCAGTCTATGGCGCTTGTTACTCATTCAATGGAGCTGGCTCATCAACAAACGCCACTTTTCAGAGCTCTCGAGCCGGAATGAAATTCGGATTGAAGATTTTGATGACACCAACGGTAGAAATGAAACTTTTACTAAAACAGAGTTGTTTTAAGTTAGCTTAAAGAGGTTGCAAGTTGAATAAAGTTAATAGTAGATCTTGTAAGAAACGAGTTTCAAAGTAGTCGGCGTGCAATTGGAAGTGCTCACAGTAATTAGTCGTATTGATGCAAAATGATCAACGATCAACGATCAACGACAAGAATCCACGCGGGAGAAAACGTTCATTTGAAAATTTACTTGAAGTACCTTCAAAAAATATAACAATCCTCCTTTCAGCAAACGCAGCCCGATGGAACTCCCGATGTGTTGCCGATCACTCAACTTGCTGGCGCCCGAGTCTCCGTCCATGAACAGGTAACAAAATTTTATAAACATTAAAAACTTTTGATCGTTGCAACAAAGGACTAGAGTGTAGTTGTCGTTTCCCTCATTGTCAGCAATTCTTTTTGTTTTTCAGGGCGCTTTCCCGTCACTCGAGGGATCGGGAATCAGTGTCGGCGTGGGATATTTGACGGCAATCTCAATCACTATGGTAAATTGCTTTGTTGTTGAAATACCAAGAATTAAGAAGATTTAAGCTTAAACTTTAGACCTCAACAGAGCGGATGAAGAAACCATATGGGAATTGTGTCGAGCGAGAGTCAAGCTCAACCGATTACTATCAATCCTATTACTATACTCTTGAGACGTGTTATTTGGGGTGTAAACAAAGGTGTGTAAAGCTTTCAAAGTGTGTAAAGCTGGTTCTGAATGAACAACTTTAATGCAGGCTACGTGTTTTTCTGCAATAAAAATTTAAACTAAGCTTTTCAGATACAATGTTGAGAAATGTAGCTGTGCTCATCCGCGTTTCGCGTCGAGTTCCTCGCAAACGATTTGTGACCAAACTGCTTGTTGGTTTTGAAAAATGTGTTTCAAAATTGTCAAAAATTTGTTGCAACTTTTAATTCGATACTAGGATTCAATCTGATACATTTGAAAACTTGATACAGTTTGAAAATATCCAATCCAATTCAATCTACAGTGTCCTGCATTCAAACACTCAAGGGTGACCAGCTGAACAAATCCCAGCCGAATATCGACCCGATGGTGGTAAGCATTGGAAAATAGAGAGAAGAGACACGCTTTCTTTGAAAAAAGTTGTGCAAATCTCAAATTTATATTTAGGATTGTAATTGTTATCCGCCGTGCAATCAGAAAAACTATGCCACAACGACTTCTTTGGCCTCTTTCCCCGCATCGAACTACTTTGTGGCGGCTGACTCGGCCAGTGCTACTTCAGTGAGTTTTTAAGGCTTATACTTAGGCTTAGGCACTTTAGGTATGAATTGAAGCCAGGTTAGAGTTTTCTAGAAACCAGATTCTATTCTACTTAAGCCTGCGGATCTATAACTAAACTGGCCTAGAAAAATTAGGCTTTGGTACAGATTAGAGCAATTTTATCTTGCAACCACCTTTTGAACTTTTAGAAAGGCTCGTGCTCCCCATCGACCACCCAATTCGACCCCACCGATTCGGGAAGCACAAATGCGTCAAAAGCGGAGAATTGCCGAGAGTGGTATGGGAATAATTCACTCTTATTGGAGGTAAAGTTTTACCGAGCTTGCCTAATGTTTCTTTTGTTTATCCAAATTGTTGTTTTAAAATTCCACGAATTGCGCTCAATTCTAGGTGTTCTACGAGTCACTCAACTATCAACAATACATCGAAAATCCGAATTATGGAGTGAGTTGCAGGCAAAAACGTTAACGCTCTAATTTGCGTATATGAATTTGGGTTATCAATTTCAGAAGCTCGTTTCAAAATTGACAACTACAAGCTGTTACCCTAAATGTCAATCAGTTATGAACCCTTTAACTTTGAATACATTTGAACGTTCTCTGGCATACTGTAATGTCATGAGACATTAAAGTTTAAACAAAAGATCATAGCGATCAAAAGATTCTTTTAAATCGAAGCAAAAGATTCTTTTAAGCCCAATCAAAAGATTCTTTTAAACTTTTTCTCTTTTGAGATCTCAGCCGTTCTGAACGATCTCGGAGGACACGCCGGTCTCTGGCTTGGTCTTTCCATCATTTCCGTCGTTGAGGTGAAAGAAAAGTATTCCATAGGAAAATTTTAATTTTATTAACTTTGCTAAGGTCGCTTTGTAATAGTTCTTTAATTTTTATTAACAAACAAGTTTATCAACCTCTTAAGGCATTTCGCCTCTCATTTCGACAATCGAATTTAGACGAAGTTTCATTGAATTATTTAATCACTTTTGTCCAGATTTGTGGTCTCCTCGGCATTCTCTGCATCTACATTTGCGGTGGACGACGAAAGATGATCGATCCATCGATGATCAATGAAGATTCGAGAATTCGAGTCAGTTTAAAAGAGCAATTGGAAAGTGCAAGTTTCAAAGTAAAGGGTATGGGAGCAGAAAATACAAGATCGTTTACAGGAAAATTCAGTACTTATCGATTACACTGACCTTTTTTATGTAAATTTTATGAAACGGTATCAAAAAAGTGATAAACCTAAACTTTTTTTATTAATGAGTTGCTTATTAGTTGATTATTTTTTTGCCATGGCGGAACCGCGGAATTCTAAAGGGTTACTCCAACCCCTTAGAATTGCGCGGTATACCCCCTTCTTCGTATCGCGCGGCTCCCCAACTTTACATGATCCCCCGTGCAGAAAGTATTTTTAGTCGAGAGAGCATGCTTTAAACTATATTTTAAATAAAAAATATCACAAACGCTTCAAAAAGGCTCATTATTCGTATATTTGAAAAATGGTCAGTGTATTCTTTTTGCTCCAAATTCCCAGAAAGAGGATAGGTTCGGCTTGAAAGCCGTTGAAAGCTTTTTTACAAGTTCAAATCACTTCCAGGATCTTGATGACATCAAAAATGATCTCGACAATATGGAAGCTGAGGACAAAGTCAAGGAGGCTCAAGCTAAGGTAAAAGCTTTGAAATTTGATTGATTTAATCTTGTAAAGGTATTCAATTGTTAAATTTATTTTTCTAAATTTCCAGGAAGCTCTCGAGAAGAAAGAAGCCGAAGAGGCTGAAGCAAGGAAAATTCAAGAGGAAAAAGATGCTGCCGAGAAAGCACAAAAGGAAAAAGAAGAGAAGGAGAAAGAGGTGGAAATCCATGAGAAAAAGTTGTATCATTATAGTTGCGTTGTATTGTAAGGGTTCGAAGAGAAATCAATGAGCATTGAAAAAATCGACCAGAGGCATAGACTTTATAATTTACATGTTTCAAAGTTCTCGCCATTTCGCTCACTTGCAATCGGATAATCTGGCCTATGTAAACTAAAGAAAACGATGCGATTACACTAGAAATGTAGGCAATTCCATCGGCTTGTCATTTATTCAACCTTATAGTAAATGCGCATAAAATAGTAATTGTTATTCGCCTATCGTTGACTCGGCATTGTTAGCCGGTTTACGGTTTACGACTATTAGAGTTTATGTCTTTCAAAGTTATCTTCATTGACTTCATTGACTCAGGTTCATTAGAATAATTAACGTATATAGGTAGTTCAAAAAATACAAATTTCCCTTGCACTATCAAATTTCAGAAAGACTCTGATAAGTCTGACAAATCAGACTCCGACTCCGACTCGGATGATGAGAAAAAAGAGGACAAGAAAAAAGATTAATGCAACAAAATTAGACAAATGACCCGGTTAATTTTTATGAAACGATACGTGTTTGTGTGAGCTCGTTAATAAATTGTTCTCTATTAAAATATTGCCCCTCGCTTACTGATAGAAATTCTGTTCTGACACAAAAGAATCTGCTCAAAGTTGAGCTGTCGACTCGTCCATCCACTGATCCGAAAGTTCTTTGTAGTTGTGTACCCAGCAAATCACAAACTCACAAACTCACAAACAAATCACAAACAACAGTTCTGCTGTGAATAGGATTAGGTTTGCGTTATTTTGATAACCCTCTTTCGTCGTCTGATTTCCTTGGATTTCTTTGAGCTATTTCTGATCTAGACAATCTAGAATTGAACATTCGAATGTTAAAGCAAACAATTTAGAGGGAAAATACCGGAAGCCACTTGCTCTTGTTTGGTCTGGCCTTACCTTACTCTAGCTCAGCCTCTGGCTTGGTCAACCTTGATCAGAATCCTTGATCAGATCCTGACTTAGTCAAAATATCAATGTCAACCAAAATTAAAAACAATAAAAAAAGCCTTGCCTGACCTTAACCTTAGGATTAGAAAATTCCTATTCAAAACTGGTTCAAAACAGTTCTACTCAAAACCTGTACCTAGCTTCAGCCCTGTTCCTAATGTTGTCCTGACTTTAAGAATGTAAGCTTTGATCGGGATCAGGCCTAACCGGAACCTACACTAACAACTCAAACTTCAGCCCAAAACCAATTGTTCACTGGTCGCTAAGTGATCAGACTGATCCGATCAAAAATTTGTCCATAGCTTGTCCCCCATTTTCCCCAGGAATTCCCCTATCGACGTCACGGAAGGCTTTGTTCCCTTTCTCTTTTTCACAAATTCTTATCAATTGCTTCTACTTCATGTCGAAGGCGAAAATCTTTTTGGAGAAACACAACGAGACTCTCTTTTGATATTTCTATTTCGGTAAACACCATTTACCTAGGCGGAAACATAAATCATTGAGTAGCCGGGATTGCTTTTGATCTGAATTCTTGAAAGCTACAATGAATTGCTAATCCTGGTGCTGGAGCTGCTAAATTTTTTCATTGAAGACTTATCAACTGTTTATTTTGAAACTTTTGCTTTGAACATCTTCCGAGAGATTTTCCTTTTGAAGAATTTTTCACGATGAATCGACGATCGGTCATACAAAAAGGCAATTTTTTATACTATTGCAAAGGATTGTAAAATTCGAAGCTCTAGTAAAAAAAATAGAGTCGACTCTACTTGAAATCCCCCGATTTGCAGGTCTCACCGAGCTGTTCTCGGTCAACAATCTCCTCGTTCAATTGGCCCTTCTCGGCATCGGTTTTCTGATCTCTCTCTACTCGTTTTTCTCTCTAAAAGTTTGCCTTTTAAGTCTGAACCGTTAACTTTTTACTCAAAATGTAAAGAAAGCTTGAAAAATTTGAAGTTTTAAAACTAAAACGAAAGATGCACGGCACAATCGTAACTGCATAAAAATTTTGTTCTACTACTACTACTGAAATATATTTTTAAAGGTATTCGTCGATGTCTACAACATCTCGACGAGCAGCCTTGCCATCGTGCAACTGTTGTTTCTCGTTTGGAATGCGGTCAACGATCCGTTGATGGGATATTTACAGGTACACTACTGAACAATGAAATATCATATTTGAAAAAAGATCGTCCCTTTCGCGCGTCTATAACTCCCTTGTCTTTACCGTATTTCTAAATATTAAATATTAATATTACCATTGTGTAGCCCTTGAAAAGAGCTTTCAGAAAATGTCAAACAATAATAGTTTAAACTCAAAGACAAGGGAGTTACAGATGCGCGAAAGTGACGATCGTTTTTCAAATATGATATTTCATTGTCCAGTACTGTACATCAAAAGCTCGAATACAACTTTTTAAAAAGTGAAAAAGCTATTTTAATCTCAACGTACAACAACCTATTTCTAAGTTATTGGCTTAGACTCTCCATGGATAAACGGTACGGTAAAATTTATAGGATGTCGGTTGCGGGATCTCGTGGATAATGGACAGACGCAAAGTCATGATGTACGCTGGGCCATTTTGGGCCCTCGTCTCATTGGTCTTTTGGTTTCCCGTGGCCACGTGAGTTTTTGAATTTAGTTGCTCTTTAGAAAGTTTCAAATATTCCAATTTTCTTACCGCATTTTCAGTTCAAATCAGCTCCTCGTTGCCATTCACTACTTGGTCGCGCTTTTCACGTACGACACAATGATGACCCTCGTCTGCTCAGCGTACTGCGGGATTTGTGTTGAGGTTTGGAAATCTAAACCTAAGCCCAACCTGCTTTTTAAATCAATAGATACAAGCTAGACTTTGAAAGTTTAAAATTTCTTGATTAACTACTGGAATTTCCAGGTTGGCGGCGATCACAAAGGCCGCGTAAACATTATCGTTTTGGGCGAACTGTTCGCGATTTTCGGTGAGTACTATGGGACCCGATTTTAAAAATAATGCTTTTCTCCATTTTCCTTACAACTTTTTAGCTGGATTCATCATTTTTCCGATCGATTACTTCTCGAAGAACTTGATGGACTATGGGAGATTTCAGGTGAAACAAAGAGATTTTGCAATGGCTTTACAATGTACAGTGGTGGAAAAAAAATTCACTTTGTGCAACCGGGCCAATCGTAAATACCTAATATTTCTAGATCTTTTCGATAAAATGGGTAGAAGACACTGACTAAATACAATAGGTAGAAGACAACTAGGCGCAGTTAACTTCATAGAATTTACTTGAGTTTTGAAAGATCCTTCGAAGAAAACTGGTAGCTGGTAAACTGGTAAAGTTTTTTCGAGAGTGCAATTTTTTCCACCATAAATTACCCAAAATCCCGAAAACACTTTCTAACTAACAAATCAAGTCCAATTTTTTCAGATGTGTGCCGTAGTTGCTTGTATTTGCGGTGGGGTGATGATGGCCGTGGCGGGGAAATATTTGGTGATGCCCGAGATGGGCACGAGAAAGGCTGAGGAGAATGTTGAACTCAATCAAGGAGAAGGAAATCATGAAATAGTTACAAGAAACACACAGTGCTGTAATCTTATTCATTTAGAAAAACACGTGGATGAAAGCAATGCAAATCTCGTGGCAAATCATCAAACAACCACGCTTCTTGTGCTTGATTGCATCAAACTTTTTCAGAAGCTTACGGTAGGTCTAACTAATTTCCTTAAAGCCACTAGGTACAAAGTGCGATTGTTCTGATTGTTCTATCATCGTAGCAATCCTTACTGTAACAAGGCAGGGTCCAAGGCATTTACTAGTAGCTTTTACCTTTAACAGATTGGATAATTAATCACTTATTGCAGAACAATGGCAGCCGATCAATTTCTGTTGATATTCGTCGAGTCTTTGCTTTCCCGGAATGGCTATATGCCGACTGGATCCGTCGAGCTGTCGATTTATTATATTCTTGTGAGGACTGTGGGAAGGGTAAGTCTGGCAGAATATTGACTACAGTTTTTATGTTATAGCCACTTCAATATTCAGGTTCTGTTCCTCTTCCTCTTTTACCCAGTCCACCGACATGGAGCTCATCCAACGATGCTCGGATTGAATGCGGTGGCGTTGATTGCAGCCATTGCAATGCTTTTCACGGGTCGAACTTCCTATGAAGCTCTTGCTTTTTATATTTTAGTCGAGAAGTTAGCTTTAAGTGGTATCAGAATTGTAATTTCTGAAAATTTCAGTAGCTTGGGTCGCTGCGGAGCGCACGGTCTCTATTTGATAATCACCGGCGAGGTGATCGACACGGACAACGTTTTGTATAAGAGAAGGTTAGTGCTGCAATATGACTAAAGCAAGATGCATTATAGTAAACTTAAAACAAAAATATTCAGTCTTCAGACTGTATACCTTTTGCTAATTGCAGTTCTCCCCTCTCAACACTCATCTTCACAATCAAAGCTCTTTTCAATAAACCCGCCGAGCAACTGGCTCCAATTTTTATGCTTTTCATGCTCGATGCTGGTGGTTACAGTCGCTTCAAGGTCGGCAGAAAATGTAGATAAAAAGACATTCACACTTTGACAGTATACCAATTTTCCCTTAGTACACTTTTACTAATCTCATAGTAAAGCTATTCAGGCCGAGTGCGGGGCAGTCGCCTCCCAGCTTACCACTACACCCGCTTCTTTTATCTCGTCGAGTGACCCCACTCATTGTGTGGATCTCTTCGATTCGATGTTTTTGGTGCTCCTTTGGTGGCCGTTAATTTGTATCATCGGAGAGTCGATATTTCTTGCTTTGGATATGTATTTCAAGTGAGCTTTTGTCTATTGATAAGCTTTTCTAGTTTACGTGTTTTCGAAAACTACAATAACCACCTCCCTGTTAACCACCTATAGCTCAAAAGTATACATTTTTCATTTCAGATACCGTCTTTCAACGCTCGTTCCACGGGAGAATCTCGATTTCATGACTCGTCGACTCTCAGCTTGCTCCATGCTATCGCTCACGAAGCCCGTCTAATCGATATAAACTTTTGCTCAAAGAATTTGAGAAAGACAACCAACAAAAGATTCAATAATTCAGACATCCATGAGTTTATAATAAGCAAAAATTCTAAGACAATCATCGTGAAATCATAAGCGAAAAAAGGATTACGGCTTCAAATTTCCTTCTTTTTCTGTTTCTCGCCGTTTGCCGTGATGGCGATGGAAGAGACTGGATTTGGCACCTTCATTTCGTTCATCGACACCTCGGACATTCCATCCAAAGGATACGTGATCACACTTCGGATGAACGTCTCATTCCATCTAAAAACAAAAACATGTAAACGAAATCCAACATAGCTATCAGCATTTAGAATTTAGACAGTCTTTTGCAAAAAGCCCACTCAACATCTTCCCAAAATCTCGGAAAGACCCAATTCCACATGAAGCGGCTCCCATGCACAAAACGAATTCGCTCGACTAAAACAAATCATAATATTTGTAAGTCTATAAAATTTGAAAACCTACTCAAAGTTCCACCATCACCGGGTAATTTCATTCCAAAATCCTTCCATCCAAGACCGCCACGGTACATCAGATAACACTAAAAGAAAGTGATTAATGAAATTTTCATCGTTACATTAAGGCTCACATGGAAGAAAATAATTCCCGACGCGTTGAAGACAAAAGCGAGACACAGATAGAAGACCTAAATAAAAATACATTGATACGATCAGAAAACTTATAATATCAATCAAAAGTAAACGTACATATCTCGGGCCGAAAAGATGCGGCAACAAAAAGATCGATCCCAACATCAAGTCGCCCAGCGTCGAGAAGCACGAGTTGAAAAAGGTGGACCTAAGAAAAAATGAATTAGTAATTTTTTAAAACAAAAACACCGTCACTAATCGTTTTACACCTAAGTTTAAGGGCCTCTGACTAATCTTCAAATCTAAATCCCCAACTTACCACGTTCCATCGTCATATGTTTTGTCCCGTGCGTAGTTCACGTACTCAAGCAATGCCCATGCGCAGGTGACCATCACGTAGAAAGCTGTCATGAAGAAGTAGCGCTAAACAATTATTTTGAGTGGAAAATGCATTAATCCTATTAATCCATTTCTTTAATATCTCGAAAGCCACTCACATAGGTACCGATTCCATGGCACATCGAGCTGACAAAACAATGATGATCGTTCCTCAGCACGCAGAGTTCACAAAAGCGGCAATGCACCGAACGGAAAGGCACAGCTCTAAATTAAATAATTGATGAGTTTTGTTTAAATTTAGTACTTAGTTCTAGCATTGGTGTATTTAAAAGACTTACTGCTTGCATGTTTGACAAAATTTGTGAGATGGTCGAATATGGTTTTGCACAAGGCATGTTTTCGTTGCGATCTCGGTGAGGCGCTCTGGTGTAATCCCGACACGTTTCATCTGATAGCACGCACCATCTTTACTAAAAGAAAAAAAATATATTGAAGTGTTAAGACAGTTTTAGTGAACCTGATACAGTACATAAGTTTATCAATCTTAAAAACATACTGTGAATTCAATCGAAAAGCTAGTGCATTGACGAGAATTTGAAGTTGAAGGATTCGCGCTATCAAGTATATGGTCCATCTAAAACCAAGTTTTGAAAAATTCTGAAAAACCAACCCTTCATAACGCGTGTGGTAGTATGCGAGGACGAGCTCGACTGTGCCAAAACCTAAACATAAAAAGTTTCTAAAAAAATCCGATTGAAAAACTGACATAGAATGGCGACAATGTAGAAAATGGCCCAATTCAACCACCAGGTGATTCGCTTAAACGCCGCGCTGTTGGACGCCTAAATTGGAAATTAGAAGATTGATCAATACCGAGGTGAATGAGGTTGGGTGGGATGCACTTTTCTCTTCAGAAGTGCTTTGAGCAGTTTTTACGTAGATTACGAACTACATAGTGGAAGCTTGGGAAAATGCGTTTTAGATCGATTTTCGGGAACCCGAAGTCGCCGCCTCTACAGTGTACTTCACTGTGATGTTCCCTATAAGATCCACATGGGTAAAAAACATGAAAAATTCAAAATTTTCATTTTTGCCTCTTAAGATATAATTTTGCCAAAGAAAGTACTTTGCACGTTAAAAGAGTCCTCCGAGGCCTTATATGGGGTCTCCTTACAGGCCCACAGTGAAGAACACTGTAGAGGCGGCGACTTCAGGCCCTCGAAAATCGGTCTAAAATTCATTTTTCCCACGTCCGCACTATGAAATTCGTAATCTACGTAAAAAAGCTGCCCTAGAAAAAGCACTTTTGAAGAAAAAAGTTGCTCCCACAATCACACAAGTGCCTGAGATTAAAACAAGAGCAAATATAAGTCACATTTCGGAAGAAAAACTTGCATTGAGTGCCCAAACGTTCCAGGAATTAATAGACATGAATGATAGACTTTTTGCGAATCATGGACATTTATTTGGGCATTAAATGCAAATCAAGATGCCATACTCAAAGCTCTTACTGTTCTAGCTTCTTAAATTGAAGATAGGTCCTTAATTTTCCAACGAACATTGCAAAACTAAGTAGTTGATCAAGTAATGACTGCCATCTACTACAAATGATGATCAGTCAATATTTGTGTTCTAGAAAACATTTATTAAGCTACAACCCGTTTAATAAAACCACAAACACTAGGAAAAGTTCAAAGTTAACAAAACTCAAAGTTGAGAAATTGCGCCTGGGATATCAAATTAAAGGTTAGCACATTTAAAAGATTTGATAAAGTAGAGCACTAACCACACCCGATTAAATGACTATAGCAAGAAAGTATACCCGAAATCATAAAAATACGTACAAACATAAAAAAATTATCCATCAAAGTTGTTTAGCTTCTTTGGCAAAGAGTCGAACATCGCTCGTTTCCTCGTATTGTGATTCGTCCCATAACTCCGATAAGACCCATTTCGAGTCATCAACGACACCGGTAGCCTAAAAGTTACAAAGTTATAATTTAAAAAAACTTAAAAGATCAGTTAGTCCCAAATCTTTTGAAGCTGATCCCACATGGATGCCGTTCTATTTGAATATTTATGGTTTTTAGTTTGAACCCATTTACCTTCTCCAATCGTGTTCGCTTTCTATCCGGCTCTTTGGCACCCTTTTTCGTTTCCGAATCAATATCTCCTAGCGTGAACAATGCCATCAACTCTTCGGTGGCCATTGATTGAAGACTTCGGTTGTCCGATCCGATCAATGACTAAAACAAAAAGTCTTTAAGAAAAGATTCACTCAATTTACCTGTGCAGTATGCCGCTTGAAATGTTGATAAGAAAGCACTTTTTGTTCGATTGTTCCCTTTGTGATGAGGCGATAGACCATTACTTGTCGTTTTTGTCCAAGTCGATGCGCTCTAATAAAAAGTTGCCTTGCTTCTTAAAAGTTTCTAACCTGTCAATCGCTTGAAGATCTTTCATTGGATTCCAATCGTGATCCAAAAATATCACCACATCCGCGCCTGTCAGGTTCAGACCAACACCTCCAATCTGAAATAAACAATGTTTTGACGACCATATTACCACTTTAAAACACGCATGTAGTAAGTGTGAGCACAAGAAAACTTGCATGTGTAGTAAGCACGAGCACATCAATCGAGTGATCCGAATTGAAGCGATCCACCACTGATTGACGTTCGGTCGGGGGCACAGATCCGTCTAAAAATCAAATCATGTAACCCATAAGTCAAGTAAATCATCAGCTAAGACAAAATTTACAACTCAAAGCCCCACCGAGAATCATGTGCGCGACGGGTTGCTCCGTAATCATTCCTCTCGTCAACGCGTCCGACACCAATCGCACCGCCGTCACCCATTGGCAGAAGATCAGCGCTCGATGTGGCACTTGAGGCACCGAAGCGACAACTAAAAATTTGCATAAATATAAATTTACATCTAAAAACGTTTAATTAACATTTAACCGTCAAATAATTTAGAGCTCAAGTCAATTAAACTACATCACTCTTACTTTCGACCACAATGAGTGCCCAGCTTTCGCGTGCAAGTTTTTGTCCTTACTAATTCTTGCCGTTTTTTTAAGTTTAATGTAGATTTCCTGTTTGCATTATTTTAACGTTTAATTTCGTTTAAATTTTAGAGCTCGCTGAATTTCGAGAACGTTCTTAACGAGATTCGGGATAAAGTGGCACGAGCTCGAGTCGAAGATTCTGACATCGAGATTAAGGTATGCTATTTAAAAAGTTGTGTCCCTGAAATCATTTGATTTAGGTGAAAATTGATCTGCGTCCTCTGGGTCCTTGCACTCCACTCAACGAGGAGCACTACACCGAGACAGTCAAGCAGACGACCAACCACCGTTCAAAGGCATCGAACAAGGTTTGCTTTGTATGCTTTTGTTGTACTTAATCTCTTAGGAGCAACGAGGCGCGCCGAAATCAAAGAACCTGTCAGGACCTGTGAAGAAAAGTGGTACCTTTAATTGTTTTTTTTGATCTTAACTGACTTTTAGTTGAACGACTCGCGGTGACTTCTCTGGCACCCACTGATGGATGGCTTTGGCCTAAAACCACTCCACGCACTGTAAGTTTTTGTCGTTACTTGCTACAATTTTAAGTGAGTTTGCTACATTCAAATTTGTAGGCTGTCTCGCAAACGACGATCTACGAGAACGCGGACATCACCGACTCGATTCCACCACCAGCGCCACCGCTCCCAGAGGTTCAATCTTTATTTTGGTGTCCTTGTACCTTCTATTTTAGCAAACGCGGAAAACGTGATCGTCGAGACAACGACAAAAAGCCCTCCAAGGGCTAGAAGTGAGATAACAAGATTTTCACCAAATATTATTCAAGAATAAACTTTTCGCATGTTGTCTTTTGTTGTTTTGATTCAATTGTTTACCTTCATTGTCTTCATCCTTTCCACGGTCGTCGTTGACACCAATACCGCATTGCGTGAGTAGTTCGCCCAAAGCCGCCATTTTACCACTTCCACCATTTCTGACGAGATCCCAAATTGAATTGCCGACTTCTAGCCGTGGTACAATGTCGGCAATCAGACTAAAATATTTTATTGCACTTTTCAAGTTATCGTTTTGTTGTTTTAAGCTCTCGGTCTTGCTTACACAGTTGATTCTCTTACCTTGGATCATCAACGACTTTTCGAAGTGAAAGAAGAGTGTGCAATGGCGTCAAACCAAGATTTGCCGCTAACCTCTCGCTGTTTGTCGTGCATCTAAATAATCGTTGAAAATGTAACTATATCGTTCGATAACCTGTCAGCAATAAGCTTGTAAAGCTCTCGTTGGGCGTCGGTAAGCTCACACTCGTAATCTTGCACAATCTGAATAAACAAATGAACAAAAGTTGATTAACAATGCAAACCTTTTCTGGCAATTCTGGTAGTACATCTTGCTTGATTCGACGAAGAACAAACGGTAGAACAAGACGATGCAAATGACTTAATGCATCGGATCCAGCCTAAAATTAAATCGTTGGCTAAAAGAAAAGCCAAACCCACTTGTAGTTCTTTTTCTGTAGCTTTTGGTGAACGGCATTTGAGTATTGATCGAAGAAAAGAAACTCTAAATTTAAGTTGATAAAATCATGTCAAATAAGACTACCTGAATTGCTTCTCGTCTCCCAAATACCCGGGCATCAACCACGCAAAAAGTGCCCACAAATCGGCAGCGCTATTTTGAACGGGTGTTCCCGAAAGAATCAACCTAACATAATGGTACTTTTACTTCAAAATGTGTCTTTTTTAACTCTTTAATCAACCAACCTGCTTTGTGAAGTAAGCTCATTTACAGCTCTCCAGACGGCTGTTTTTGTGTTACGTAAAATGTGACCTGAACTGTACATAATAAAGTACTTATAAAAGTTTCACCTTCATCTAATATCACATAGCTCCAAGGCTGTCTTGAAAGATTGGCGTTAACTTTCAAATCCTCGTATGCGGTGACGACAAGCAACGAGTTTCCAATTCGAGCCGGCGAGGAAGATTCCCCCTAAATTAAGACAATTAGAAACACAAACTCTATTTTGATTACAGACTGCTTGAACGATGGAATTAGGTTAGTTTTTTTATCGGCCAAATTTAGTTCAACACTTCAAAACGTACCCGAATTGCTTTGCCAAGTGTCGGGAACCAGCTTTTCCATTCGCCCAGCCAATGATCGATCAATGTTCTTGGACACACGATTAATGAGGGACGATTCTTTTCCCCTAAAAACAATATGTATCAATAAACTTAAAAGAGTCTAACCTTGAGAAATCGATAATGCAATTGTTGCGAGTGTTTGTAGAGTTTTTCCTAGTCCCATATCGTCGGCGAGCACTCCGTTTAACCCAAAGCGACGCAAAAACCGCATCCAAGTGATACCTTCCTGAAAATGGAAAACTTTAATGCTTTCAGTAAACGCAAACCAATTGGTAATGCCGCAACTCGATGTCTTCTCGTAGTGCCAGAATTTCGGATTGTTTTACAGTCGGTAGAAATGATGGCTGGGAGAGCACGTGGATAAAGCAGGAGTTCTCCTTGGCCAATTTGTGGAGCGGCGGTGATAATGATGGAAGTGGTTCTTTTTCCAACGTCAAAATTGGCACAAAATTTCGGAAAGTACGAGAAGCAGCTTCTCGGACCTAAATTTTGTTTGTAATGAACTGGAGTGAAAGAACTTGCTTCAGGTAATGAATCGGCTAAACGTGGAAAGACCAATGGAGCCAACAACGAAACACATCCGACGAGTGAAGTCCCCAATAACGAAATGCTAAAATTTTAAAAATAGATGGCTTCAGAATAGATTTGTAACTTTAAGTCAACATTTTAAAGACAACAGTACTTAATTTCTAAACTTTAAACTTTAAAGCATATTAACATACCACAAAAGGCCCTCCATTGCGCCACGACGTGCATCCGGTTCTTCAAGGTTCGCAATCATTTGGCATAGCTCTGTGTAAACTCTAAAATTGGATTTTACAAGTAAACAAAAAAAATTTACCTATTCAACGTATCCGCCAACGAAGAGCTGCAAAATGTCGCTAAAGCCTTTGCTGCGGCGTGTCGTTTTTCGATACAATGCGAGCTAAGAAAAGCGAGAATTCGAACCGTCGACTAAAATAAAGTTTTAAACATTGCAACGATAGATTACCTTTTCCGAAAGTTGCGAAGCGACTCGAGACCACAAACATCTATGTAACTCCATTTTTTGAATAAAACATTCGTCATCAACATCTGCATCGAGATCGAAATACTCGTAGAACTCGGGAAGTTGATCAGCCTAAATCAGTTTTTGAAGTGTTATCCAAAAATTGCTCACCGGAAATGTACAACAAATGTGTAGAAAAAGCTCGGCATTCTTTGAGGAAACACTCGTTTTCTTTTGTGGCAGAAGGGAGAGAATTTGTTGTGTTTCCTCGGTTTCGCTAAAAACATCAATGAGTCAATAAAAAGAAAATTTATACGATTTTGGTGGCGCTTTTGGAATCCTTTGCGGACACGATGAGAATAATTCAATCGTCTTTGAGATAACCTGAGTGAATCGGATGGTAAATATATGTTTTTGCAATTTTTACCTTAACATATGGTTTTGGATTTCTTTGCCAGCTGTAGATGATGAGAAGGGGAACGGCTCCTTTGAACACTTCAGCTGCCACCGTTTCATTTTCTTCCAACTAAAAGTGATCATGAGAATGACATAGTTAAAATTTCTGCACCTGCATAGTTTCCATTAACGGTCGAACTAGTGGTGTAAACTTCTCACCAATACATCCGAAGTTGAACAAAGCGGCGGCGAGAAACGCAAAGACTCGACTAAATTTATTTCAAAGAAAATTTGTTTGAAATCTCACTTGGAGTTTGTTCTAATTGCAATTTTCGTAAACTCGATCCAATTTTGTAGTGTCTGATATCGACTTTCGATTGATTCCTGTTGTTTCTCCGTCTTGCAATTAGCCAGGGCTTGTTCGTAAGCGGTTCTAAATACTCTTTGGAATTCTTTACAGGTTATTTAATACCTAGCCACATCCTCTATGCTGTTTTCTTCAATCTTAAGTGTGTTTCGTACAGCGCCTCTCGCGCAGCAGTACGTGATGAACTCATTGCAATCGGTCGTCAACTAAAATCGTCTGATAAAATAAGGTTTTCTTTATTTTTGAGGAAATAACCGGACAGATTTGAGCTCAAACTTGCCTGCGTCACTGTACTTGTCAATTCATCAAAAGTTTTATGTCCTTGTCGCAAAATGTAGTCCAGCGCCGATATTAGAGTTAATGGTGGTTCTAATTTGTTGCCGCTAAAATTATTGCATAACAGAGTGTATAAATAACCAACCTCGTGACAGAAACCTTATACATCAATGACCATTCGTGGGTGATGATTGCAGCTCCGAGATTTTGGTATAGAGATGTTGATTGGACAAAAGTCAATAGGCAAAGTTGAAGAGATGTTGATCTAAAAATGAGAAAATTGCTTTAGCAACTCAACTTTTAAATTTACAAATGTTGGCCGTTAACTTCCGTGTTTTGGTGGTAAAGCGTTTGAATCAGCGGCGCCAAAAATTTGGCCGCCAAGATTTTCCTCGTGATGTAGAGCGAATCTTTCTCCCGGTCGTCAAGAAATCGCATCTAAAAAAGAATATCTTAAGCCTACTAATCCGGAACATAAATTTACCTCTTCACTGCCCATTCTTTCGTATGGATCCTCTTTGTTGATCGATTGGCCTTTTACGTGACAAGCAACAACATCTAAAGTTCATAATAATTTCTTAAACTGTCCATAACCTACCAATATTCGGGTTTTTATGATCCATCATCAAGCAGCTAATCCATAATCCAATTGATTCGACTAACGAATTTTCGAGGGCCAAGGATCCGCGATACCTAAAAACAACAGTCAAATTTCATTGAATTCTCAAATATACCTATCAACGATGAGTAGAGTTGTCAAGTAGAGCCGTTCGAGCATCGGAAGCGAATCGGTCGGTGGAGCGAAGAGTAAAACGCGATAGAACTCATGCAGAATTAAGTAGATATCCTAAAATTACCTTGTAAGTTTTTACGTGATCTCTATGATACATGAGATTTGCTTTGGCTTTGACACATTTATCATTTGCCTACTGATTTACTAGTTTCTAAAAAAACATTGTATCACAAAATTTTCTACCGAGCTGGGCAATTCTGGAACTCCTCGTTCAATGGCTGTTGCTATCAATCGAACGCAGAGATGAGTTCGAGACACAAAAGCGGCATCCAACAAGGAGACGATGGTGAAAAGCTGTTTGACAGTAAGCGAAACCTAAAAACAGCATTGTGAGTGTGACAACAACAACAACAACAATAACAAAACAACATTTCAACTGTCGGGTGTTTTTCTGTATTTTCTGTATTCGACAAGCTATTACTCACGTTTGTGTCAACTTCAAGCCAGCGTCCAATGATCTCTAACAGGTCGACCGCAAGTGTGTCCAAACCGGCTCTCAACTAAAATGGGACGTCTTGGTTCTGCAGGATTTTGGTAATATAACGTTATTGAACCACCAAACCTGATCTTTCTTCGCTTCCACAGCGAGCAAATTCCAAATGGCGACCACCACTTTCTCGATAAATGTTTTTTGCACCTCATGCACCGTCAAATTCTCAAAAAGTGACGATAAAGCAGTGACAGCCGTTGAAATGACCTAAACTTGATGGTATTATAAGACTATCAAATTTTCACTCACATCGTCAACGGGATCATCCAACTTGGCGGCAACATAGTTGAAGAACAAAGTGAAAGTGTCATCAAACGGAGCGATCACAAAATGATACTTCATAACGAGCAGGGCGCTTTGTCGACAGATCCATTGCTAAACAAGAACTCTTACAAAAAGAAAATTTTATTTCAAATACCTTTTCTCCTTCCATCGATAAGAGTGTCTTCAGATGGTCCAAAACAAGAGAACGACGTCGTTTATCAGCACTAAAAGAAAAACTTTGCAATAATGCAAAAAAATTGTAGACTGATATTTTTATTTTATTATCCTAAAGTAACCCCACCGAAACATGTAATGAGCAAGTGCCTGAGAAGCGCTTTCTCTCACAGGCGCTACTGCTGTTCTCCCGGAGACAAAATCAATGAATCGGTCGAGGGTCAGGATCTAAAAGAACGAATACAATCAGGCATAAATAAATTTTAGTAAACTAAGGTATTGCTTACCTGAAGTAATCGAAGAGCACATAAATCTCGTATTGGTGGTCGTAGTCTAAATATAACAATGGGTAAGTCGCAAACGTTGCAAAAACCTCGTCCAAGAGGAGCTCAATATTCGAGTTATCGCTAAAGACGCTCCATGCCGCGTTTGCCATTGTTCATTCGCTAACCTTGACAACTAAAATAGAAAGTTACCAAAAATTTAAATTTGACCCGAACTAAAACCCACCTGCACTTTAACAAATATCTCCAACGCGGCATTTTCAGGATCCACATCTGTTGGTTCGACAGAGACTTGTGACATATCGTTTAACGAAGTTAATTCCTGAAGAATTTTGATCAAACAGATGAAAACTGAACAATTTACCGCGCCTTGTTCATACAATTTGGGGGAATCGGACCTTGTCATTGCGAGAACATCGGAATCTTGTATAAAATCTTGCGATGATTGACCTGAACAAAGTGATTCAAGAAGGTTCGTATAATACACTTGATAAAATTTCTTTTATTTCCCATAAACTCACCCGTACTAGGCACAAAATCCAAATGTTGATCAATCAGTGTTCGTTGCTGTTTCGCGTTCAAACGGAGCGGATTCTTGTCGTCGATTTGGCTTGCGGCGGCACTAAAAATACAATTTCACAGATGGAACTTGATCATCTAACTTTTAAGATTAATTTTAAACATCCACCTCAATAAGGGACGATAATTCTCAATGAGATCGATAAGAGAGAAGTTCTGCAGGCTTTTTGTCGGTTCATTCTCTTCTTCATGAGATTCCCTGGGTGTAGCCGCTTTCAGTAGATTGATCAGAGCATCGGCGGTGGAAACTCTTGCCTCCCATGAGACGCTGGTGAGGTGCTCGAGGAGTGTCTAAAGAAAATGGCATTGAACTTGTACACAACGATATTTTAGTTTGAGAGGTCTTAAGGCGCCTTGTCTAATTTGAAGCTTTCAAAAAATAATCAAAATTTATGCAGTCGAATAAGTCGAAAACGAACTGTTCTCGTCTTTTCATCGCTGAGCAGAAAATTTGCGAAGGCGGAGGCGGCTTCTTGTCGAATTGTGCGGTTTCGGTGTTCGAGCAGCACCCCCAATTGGGCCACTCGACTGCCCTTATCGATCGGCATCTAAAACTGAAAAAATCAGTAAAAAATTGACATCTAATTGCAAAAACAAATTGAAAAGGAAATAATTAGACATGGGCGACGAGTGAAAGTGAGTTCAACCTTGTGGTTGAAAGAATTGTTTTCATTATCAAAAGTGATTCAATTCGGAAATTTCCGCACTTCACAGGGGACCCTTCCCTTCTTTACCCCGATAATGACGCCTACGAGTTAATCCTTTCAACAATTTCACTAAAGAGATTACAGCGAACCAATTTCTCGCTGAAGAATCCAGCGAGCTAATACCTATATTCAGTGCAAAACAAGTGCAAAACAAAAATTAGATAAATTTTTGACCAAAATAGCTTCTTATCTAGGCATTTTTGTTTTCGATGTAAGCAAGCTTCCCCAATCAATTCAAGGACAACTCAGAGTTGGAAGCTATTATTTTTTCCATGCCAATCACTACAGTTTAGATAATTTTTTGTTTTAACTGAGTACCTTAAAGTTCTCTTCGTTTCAATCCTGATTTCAATTCTCTGAAGGTGGCCTTACTTCCTACCAAGGCTTTTGAGACCAAGAGGCTTTGGAGTGAAGCGGTAGTAGGATCTTGAGAATACCGCCATTGCTAATGTTTGCCATTGAAAGCTTGTTATTTTCTTTGTAAACCAATTTGCATTAGAATCTCATCGATTTCTTCATCCAAACAGGGTTTTTTTTCCTTGTTCTTTTTGTCGACGTGTCCTTGTGCCCCCAATTGCGCACACTCGTTGCGTCATGCCTCTCACTGCCTTAAAAAATTTCGTTGAGTTTCCGAAATACTCAGATAACACTTTTAGATTGATTCCAAGATTCGGATCTAAAAATTCAGCTACATACATACATCTGAACTGCGACATTTTACTGAACGAGAATGCGCTCTAGCGCTGCAATTCCTCTGCTATTGGCCGTTCTCCTGAGGTTCGGAGGTAAGTCTCTCAAGTAAACTTTTGACTTGATACGACAAAATAATATCAGCTACGTATTAACCAGTTTTACACAAACTCCTTGGATCAATGAATTCAGAATCGGCTGCTGATCGCGTGCTTTTGAAAGATGTAACGGCGATCACGTTGAATCGAGGACAAATGACAACGGGTGAGTTTCGGAAATGAAGAATTGGTTGCACTAGAAAGAGTGTGTTTACACTTTTGTGCACAAAGAGCATTGCAGAGTTCTGTAACTTGTTTTCTATGCATTTCCAGGCCGCCGCTCCTCACCCGTTCCCCAATTGCGATGTGTGGGTGGAGCGGCTCAGGGTGTCTATTCCCCGAAAACCGTGCAATGCTACAATCGGGGATCTGATGGATCAGATGTGCAATGGGAATGCAAATCGACGATGGATGATCGCTATGTGCTGGGAAGGGTTAGTTAAGAAACTCAACTTTTCAAGGCTTAATCCGTTACAGATCACTGTTTCGTGTGAGGGCTACGATCATCCGCATGACCCCTACATTCTCAAAGGATCCTGTGGGGTTGGTGACATTAAAGAGTGTTCAATACATTGAAAATAGATCTAAGCACGGTATTCTAATTGTAAGTATCGGTGTACTGGCTTAAACTGTCTTTTGATCTACTCATTGTCTATTATCAAGTAACTTACAGCTTGAGTACGAACTTGAGTACACAAGTGGAAGTGGATCAAAGACAAAGAGTACCGGCAAACAACAAGAAGAAGGGTTTGACAAGTTTAATTTTCGGATTTAATTTCCTTATTTCAGCGGATTCAGCCCTCTCCTCATAGTTTTTGTTGCCATTTTCGCGTTCATTGTCTACTCGTTCTTCACGAATCGCGGTGATGCTCAGAATCGAAATGATGGACCTGATGGTGGAGTTTTGGAAGATAAAACACCAAAATAGAAATGTTATGACCTCAAACATTTTTCAGGTCGTGATCCACCCCCATATCCAGGGTGGAGGCCTGGTGGTGGCGGAGATGGACGACCCCCAGATGCCCCGCCGCCATACGATGATGGAAAAGGAACATTTACGCAAGGTAAGAGGATCATTAGCTACTAAAGAACACAAAATCCTGCTAATCATTTTATGAATATGATTTCCAGGCACAAGTGGATCCACCAGTCAATCGGGTCCCGGTTTCTGGTCTGGCGCCGCTGCTGGAGCTGCCGCTGGTTACATGGCTGGACGAGCGCAAAATTCATGGTGGGTTAATTAAATTCATGTCTTGGCTTTGGCTTTGCCTGTGCCTAGTCAACTTCTAGCCGTACCTGTATCCGGCCATACTCTAATGCAGGCCTAGTCCACGAAACTACTACAAGTCTATGGACTTCTCATAGAACCATTGCAGTAATTCATCGAATTCAGGGGCTCCTCTTCAACTCGCCAACGTACAAGCGCTCACTCATCCTCTCACCAATCAGCAGGTTCGTTTGATCCAAGAGATGATTGGGAAGAGAGACAACGAGAAGACACGAGAAGTCATCGACCAAGTGATGAACATGAGACAACAAGTGGGAATGTGATAAAATGCATGTTGTGTGGTTTGAATAATGGTAAAATCAACTCAAACCAAGCCAAACATGAGGCCTTGGCTAGGCTTTTTGCCTTTGAGCAATCTTTTTATTTTTTTGGGTTCATTGTTTGGCTTTGCTGTGTACATCGTACTTCATTTGACTACAGTCGAAGGGTGTGCTTTGTTCTCTCAAATGTAAACTTACCCCCTCTGGTGCATCTATTCTTTCATTTTTTTGTTGCAATGATTGGTATCGCGCAAAAATAGAAGAATTCATTACGCAGTGAGGGTATGTTCACACCTTTGAGACCACAAAAAACACATGTCTAGTAAAGGGCTTTTCTCTTGGCTAAAATGCTCACTTGAAACGAGTCAATCTTTAGGTTTTGGTGGTACTTCGAGAAGATGAAATCATATATCTCTTCAGGAATTTCATAATACCCCGTTTTTCTTGTTTTCTAGTATTCCCCGTCCCTTGTGATTTATTCTGACAACCACTTAGCAGCAAATTTCATTTAAAGTGACCCAAAATGGTCACAAGTACCTATTTTCTTTTGTACCAAAGATACTGGATTCATCAAAGTGGCCTTCTGAAAATAAATCTTTTATTTCTAGACGCAAGTTGTGAAGAAATTACTGATCAGAACCCGAAATTGTAGATCGCAAAAATGAGAGTTCAGAAGAGAAGGGGAAGATCACAAAAAAAACTTTTTAACTATAAAACGATTTAAATCAAAATGCAAATTAAGTCTATTTTTCGAGATTCAACGTAAATACCGTATTTATTCTAATTGAAGCACAGTCTCCAATAGAAGCACAGTCTCTAGTAGAAGCAACACATTTTTAAAATGCACTACTTTGCTACCGTACACCATTTCATTCATTTTTCTTGCAAAACTCCTCTACAAGCCTTATTATTTTTTACGTTAAACTTTTTCTCCTTTTTCTTTGCTTTTATAAAGTTGCTAATGTCTTTATTTTTAGGTGTGATGGCTGAGCGACCAACAATTCGTTTGGATTCTCTCGAGGAATATCGAGCTCTACGAGAACACGCCGAACACAAGGATTTCTTCAGGGAAAAACGGTAGAAGAACGCAAATGAAGTGATGAATAGAAAGCCAAAGCCGGAAAACGATTACTTGAATTCTCTCGACGACCAGCAATTGTTCAAGAAGCGGAAGGCTTGTTCGATTGATTTCAAGCTAGACGCCATCGAAGATGTAAAGAGGATCTCCAAAAATGATGCGAGCAATAAATACCGTGTAGATCGAGCAATGATCCAATGGGAAGGACAATTACAAAAAATGAGGAAATCGTACAAGCGATTGAAAGGAGCCGGGGGAAACTTACAAACAAACAACTCGATCCAGAACTGGATTGGGTCCGAAGCGAGCGGTAGAAGAGGAACAAAGTTTCGAGGATTTTGATTCACGGAAAGGCAAAAAACGTGTGCGAGCAAAATGATATCAGGCTCGGAACAAGGAGATGATCGCTCACTTGTTGGAGGAAATCGATCTTGGCGAAGATGAAGAGAACAAGTGCTACGACAATGATGCCTCCATTGAAGTCGGTGGTGTTAACGAAAATGATATCGATGATAATGATTTAAATTGTATGTTTGCTTTTTCATTTTGTTAATTGATTGTTGCCTACGTTTAAATGTTGTTTTACATAAATGCATAAATTAATCATAAATATCTCTGATTTGAAAATGTTAACTTCTTGTAAGCTATTTGATCAATTTTGGAGCGCGATTGAAAAATAGGAGCACACGTGCTTCTATTAGAATAAATACGGTAAGCAGATTTGTAGAGATTTTTGAAACATTCGGAAAGATTTAAACTGAGAAAGCCCGTTTGAAAATCACTAAAAAGTGAAATCAGGTTTTGAAATTAAAAAGTACAATTTTTTAAATCTAAATTTGTTTAGGTCAATTTTCTCATCTAAACATTTTCCACGATTTTGTACGGATGTGTGATGACCGAACGAACGAATTCGGGTGTCCATTCGACGTCCTCCCAAAAACGCGGGAACAATGCATTCAAATAGAAGAGACGACCGTGAACGAAACGGACACGAGACTCTGCAAACGGGACAGTTTATTGGGAAATCAACTGTCAATGTTTTCTATTCTTGTTTAATCGAACTCACTGAATGTCCCTCGATCTCCCTGAATCGGTTTGTTTTTACTCAAGAAGAACTCCATCATCGCAAAGCCGTTCTTCAAAAACATTGTCTAAAATTTGGTTTTTAAAATGATTCTCATTTTCCCTTGACCTCCATGCAAGTGATTGAGAGACCAGCGATGAAGGCGATCGCACAAAGGAGATAACACTGCAAGATGGGTTGTAGAGTAAGTCTTGGGGAGAGTTACAGTTTAAGGACAACTATAGATCAGATGCTACTTCTTATTTACGCTTTATCTCACCCACCGCCCATGGCAAAGAATTGGCGAATGTTGGCGTGTATCCTTGAGAATACCATCGAAACATATTCAATCCAAGTGCGTGAACACCCAACACATCGATTACAACTTGACCGAAAGAGAGCAGATAGATGGACCTGGAATTTGGAGAGAATTCAAAGGCCAACTAACCATTATATAACTTGTGACTAACTTGTGAACAATAAATCTGACTATAAGAAGCTTTTAAGTTAGGCAAGGAGTGCACTGTTAAAGAAATGCTGACCGACTCGGTTCCCCCTTTCCCCAAGACTCACCACGTCCCATCATCGTCTCCTTTATCCCTCCGCGATTCACAAAAACAATACATTCCCCAGATTCCAACAATCATAAACCATAAACCCATCATGTAGAAATAACGCTGAATTTCCGTTTTCATTCAAATCCATTTTCGCAAACCAAAGTCGCAACTCCAAGACAAGTATTAACAACGAAACAATGATGATCATTTCTCAGTGAGCACGTCCCGCAAAAGCCACAGTGTACAGTGCGGATTGGTACCGTTCTGGAAAAGAAATGATTACCATATCTAAATATAGTAACCGGATTTCCTTCTCACCAACCTCTCACATTTAGGACACCATTTGTGCGCTTGATGCTCATTCCCGTGTTTATCCGTATAATTCTGTGAGGCCAAAATCTCGAGTCTTTTTGACGAAATCCCCAAGCGATTCATTTGATAGAAAGGATTGTCTTTACTAAACGTTTTTTGCTTCAAATCATTTGCAAAAACAAACTGAGCACTCCATCGAATGGCGAACATGTTCAACAAAATTTGAGCCTCAATGAAACGCGCCAAGTAGTAGATGAGATCACTAAGTTGGCTTTTAGCATTAAATCTCATCAGCTGACTTTACAGCTTATCAGGCAAACCTGGTGTAAACGGCTGGAATGTAGAGGTAGATCGCGAGTTCGAAAACGGTCAACACTAAACAAAAGGATGTTGTTTACTTTTCACTTTCTAACAGAGTCTTTTCAAGACTAATTTTCAAGGCCAGGCCATTAGCCAGGTCCAAGTCTGGCTTCTAGACTTGCTTGGTCGAACTTTATTGAAAACGCTTAGCCTATAAAACGTATCAAAGGCTATACCTGTCTCTGTCTAAGCCTGGTTTACAAACCCTAGGGCCCTGCTTTCCAGCCTCGAAATTTTTATTCAGTTGATTATTTTGCATATAGTCAAACTCTAAAAAAGACAATCTATAGTCACTTTTCTTTTTTTCGTGCTTTCTTTTCTAGCTTTTCTCCAAACGAACCCAAAACGACAACGAAAAGGTTGATCAATTCAGCGAGCCACCTTGGAAACCAAACATCCGGCATTCTACGAATTGGGGGCACTGGGTCGAGACCTGGGAATTTGCATTTGGAAACAAAAATATTGTCAGAACTTGGCAGTTTTTACATTTTTGCAACTCACGATCAATATCGTTTCCGTTTTCCCCAATGAGCTTCTCCATTTCAATTGTGCGCCTCTTGAGATTTTCCTGAAATTACAAACTTTCTGAACTTCCCATTCCACTCACCTCTATCATTCCATTTGTAATAAATTCAGAATATCAGAATATTAAGGCAAGAGCGGTGAAAAATGAATCATCGAATCATTTCCTATCCTTTCTCTGCAAACAAAAAACCGTTGAAAGATTGAATGAAATGGAGAGGTTTTCGAGAAAAAGCTTTTCTTGAAGAAACATTGGAAAAGGAAAGAAAGAGAAACCTTCGAAGAGAGAAAACAATTGGTTTCATGCTTGAGATAAGGAAAGAGAAAATATAAGTGGGGGAAATCGGTATTCGGGCTTACAAACGACTTTGAGTCAGCTTTGGATTATTTCAAGTTTTTAATAATTGAGTAAACTAATCAAGCTCTGTTAGAAGCCAATCAGGCTCACGTTTTAGCAAACGGATTACTCGAGAGAGACAAAATCTACTCATAACATGACCTCACAAAGAGATTTGACTCAAAAAAGCTTTCCTTTCCCATCTCGATCCGATGAAACCTGTTGTTGGAGATTTCCTCAACACCCATCTTTTCCTTTTCTTCACCGAGTCGCTTTAAATGGCATTTCCCCCACAGGCACACAAACGATGATCACCCTTTTCGCCTCAAGGCTTTTACCGAAAAGAAAACATTCACTGGTGACACATCGAGACTGCAGTACTCGTCGATACAGACAAAATGCGTTTCTTTCCACAAATTCTATTGGCTCTCCTTGAGTGTTCACAAATCCATGCCGATTTCACTCCGCATTTTCGCCGTTTCCTACACGACAGCTACGGGATATCGATGGTGACACAATTGGAAAGAACAGGTTCAATACGAGATCGATTCGAATTTGACTAGGATTACCCAACAATTTTAAAGACCTCGGACCTGGTGCCTCGTTTGGTGGCCGAGAGGATCCATTAGAAGAACCGACAAATCAAGCAGTGATCATCATTCACGGAATCACGAATACAGCATCGAGATTTCATGTCAGATCTTATTGATTTCATTGAAATTTGTTCCGAAAATTTAGCGAACAGTAGAATACCTACGATCTGCTGGTTACAAAAGCTCGGAGATCTACGGTACAACGTGGGGCGATGCGGGTGCCACTCCAGTAGGGCTCGTCGACATGAAGTGCTCGTTTGTCAAACAAATCAGGTAAGAATATTTTCTAAAGTGGAAACATTGATAGGTTCAACAACAACTCAGAAAGTCCTAGATCTAGTTCCACGACTTTTTAATGTCCATGCCCTATACTTCAATTTAAAAAGCACATTAGCTTTCTCCAAGCTTACCTTTTAAAAACACTCAATTAGCTAAAAGGTCAAGAAATCTACAAATGTATTCAGTTCAATCCAAAACCTAGATCTTTCTAGATCAATGATCATCGCCGTTCGACAATACACAGGCACTCGGTAGGTAAATGTAAAAAAGAGTCGACTTATGAAATGAAATAGTGTGGACGTGGTCGCCTATTCAATGGGTTCACCATTAGCAAGAAAAGCGATTCTCGGAGGGCAATGTGTTGACACAAGAGAGATTTTGGGTAATTAAGCCAAGCTACAAATCAAACACCCATTCAGGCCCCCCACTAACCGAGCTGATAGACACATTTTTGTCGGTAGCCGGTGCAAACTACGGAAGCTCATTGTGCGCTATTCCTATTCCCGTCGGCACCTGCAATCGGTAAGTGCCATAACTACGATAAATATAAAGCAAACTGTAAATAATCCGAAAGTCTTTCAGAAGGACCGGCTTACACTGTGAATCGACTTTCCTGCAAGACATCAATCATCAACAGAAATATGAAGGCCTTTTCGTCTTCAGCCTCTTCTCAACAAGTGATGAAAAGGTAAAATAAACTTCAAACTATCTTGAAAATAAAACTTGGTAACCCCAGGTCGGCTTCCGTTCATGCGGTCGACCGGTGAGCCCAATTCTTGGCGGCACCGGATTTGTCAAACGAGACGGAATGACGCACGATCAAGTACTATAGCGACCACTCCTAGCACGCAATCAAGTTTCAGATCATGGACGAAACAATTCCCATCCAAGTCAACTTCATCAAAAAGCACACACCCCGCTAATATTCCTAGAACAACACTAGAAATGTTCTCATATTTACCTGATCGATAAATTATTTATTTACATCGACAAAGACACTGAAAGTAGTACCCGGATGTAAAAGGGTAAAACACTGGTGAAAACATAGAAAAATCTTTGGAGCAAAAAACTAGTCACAAAAATCACAATTGAATTTTCGCTCATGCAAAATGCATAAAAATTCGACTAATGTTATGAGCAACTACAGAGAATAAATGCACATGGAAATTTGCGACATACAGCCTAGAGCTCAATTGGATGACGTTGTGGGAGTCCGCCGTTCTTGCACACATCGGTGGCAATTTTCTCGATGAGCGACACCTCGGTTGGAGATCCTTCACGAGCCACCTTCAGATTTGCAGTGATTCGAGAGGCAGCCTAAATAAATATTAATGTTATTAAGAATTGAATTAAGTTTCTTTACTACGACTTCCCTTCCTACAGCAACGTTTTCTTTCAAAAACCTATATGCACACTATTCTTTCAAACTATAAGGTGCTACAATTTCAGCAAACCACCTAGATTCAACTTTCTAAAGTTACCTGTTCAGCGAAGAGCTTGACGATATCCTTTTCATGTTCAAACGAGGCTGCTCCGTGTTTAGCCGAAAAAGTCGCCCTTGAGAGCACACACGTCAAAGCAAAAATGTCGATGGCCGCATCACCGATACGCGTAAGTTCAAATTGACGTTCTAGATTTAAATTTGCCGAAGTCAAAGTAAAAGTTCTCACCAATGATTCCTTTCTTGTATTTCAGCAAGAGCTTCTCGATGGTAGCCCCAAAGTCCTTGATGGCAGCATCGAGAGTAGCCGCTTCAGATGTGAAGGCGCTATCAACAACTTTCAAGAAATCGCCTCCAGTGCTTCCTCTGGAATTTAAAATGACCTACTTATATGCCTTATGCCTGAAGAAATATTGAAGATACTTTACAGCAACCTACCCAGTCACTCGTTTTGTCAACTCTCCGAATAGCGTTCCAATGCCACCCGACTTGATTTCCTTGGCTGTTTGCTGCAGGTGAAGACCCGCGTGCTTAAAAAATTTGATTAGCTTTTGAAGTTTGATTAAATGCATACTTGAATTCCAGTCAAAGCAACAAAGAGACGCAGCACATCGTTGGCTCCTAAAGATTTGGAAATTTATCGGTTAGTAACAAAGTATAACCTATACGACAACTCACAAACAAACACCTATATATACATCAAATATATCAAATGCATAGATATAACAAAACTAACAAGCAAAAAAAACAAAACAAAAAACTTAGTCACAAACCTTCGAAGATACGAAAGATTCGAAGATCACGCAAGAACACTTCCAATGCGGTCTCACGAATGAAGCCGTAACCACCATGGAGTTGAATAGCCTCATCAGTGCACCACCAAGCAGCTTCCTGAATTGATTATAGCAGATTTATTACGTCTGTTGTTAATCCTATGATGTATATTCAGTAGCTCTTACCGAAGTGAAGACCTTTCCACACGCAGCTTCTAATTGGTAGTCTTGTACGCCAGCATCCATTGTTGCTAAAAATTTTGTCAGCACTTTTATTTATTAAATCACTCACCAGCAAGCATGTAGACAATTGATTCCGAAGCGTAGTGCTTGACAATCATTTGAGAAAGCTTAAACAAGAGATAAATTTCTAAAAAAAACTTTAAACCTTTTCTTTCACATTTCCATACTCTTCAAGTTTGCGGCCGAATTGAACACGGTTCGTGACATGATCAACCTAAACTTTATCTTTTAAATAAGCAAATAAATAGTTTTCTACCGTTTTTTGAATCACATATTTCATCGTGCCAGTCATTGAGGCTGGAATACCGAATCGCCCATTGTTGAGAATGTTCATAGCCACTTTGAATCCCTCACCCTCCTCACCGAGTCGATTTTCAATGGGGATCTAATAACAAATTATAATAATCTACATAAAATAAGTCTAACCTTAACGTTATCGAAGTTCATTGTTACTGTGTTACTTCCTTTGATGCCCATTTTCTTCTCTGGTGGTCCATTAGTCACTCCACCTAAATAACTTGGTTTCAAATAGAATAATACAAACAAACCAAACGCCCTCTCAACAACAACGGCTGTAACTTTGTTCTTTGTTGATCCGTCAGCCTGTTTGATCGGTTGCTTAAATAAAATTTAGTTAAATATTTTGTGAAAAACTTTACTTGTGCAAAAACGGTGAAAACTTCAGCAAAGCCGCCATTTGAGATGAAAATTTTGTTTCCGTTGAGAATGTAGTGCTTGCCATCATCCGATTTGGTGATTGTTGAGCTGATTGACTAAAATGTTTATTTGCGATGCGAATCATTTCAAAAACAAACGTTAGCGTCAGATCCAGAGCCGGGTTCGGTGAGACAGAATGATGCAAACTTTCGGCCAGTAGCCAAATCTGGCAGATATTTTTTCTTCATGGCCTCATCTCCATACAACAAGATACCCTTGTAGCCGATAGACTAAACGAAGTTGTTATTTTGCCTATTAGCCAAAAATCGGTGCCTGATGAGCTCCCATCGTTACACCAAGACCAAGATCGTGGGCCCCAACGATTTCAGCAAGTCGAGCCATTTGAGAGTTATTTAGTCCAGCGCCTTCGTATTCGACAGGTACCAAAGCTCCAAAAGCACCTAAAAAAGACAAGATAAGCCATCAAAAGAAAAGTTTTTACCAAGTTCGCCAAATTGTCGTAAGACTTCTGGAGGTTGAGAAGCCGTTTCGTCATTTCTAAAATAGCAAGAAGTTTTACCGATATATACAAATGCCTTACTTAAGCAAATCGTTAACCTCAGTAAGAAACTTCTCGGTTGGGTCCACAATCATGTTTAGAGTTTCTCTCTGAATCAGTGATTAAGTAGAAGAAAATAAAATACCAAATACCTGATCCGACGACAAATTGAGCGGGTAGGGGAAAACGTTGTCGAGTTGGGCCTTCCCGCGAAAGATGTTCATCGAGAAGCTTGATGTTTCCGCAGGTTTGCGTTCCTTCTTTGCAGTGCTCGCATTGGAGACGAGACGGGCAGAAATCGGCCTAAAACTATCGTTATGAACATATTTCACAAAAAACTAGATTTTTAGTGCGCTTTTGCCAAAACCGCTTTTTCACAGTTATTAGTTAACGAAAAGCATACCTCAACTTGTTGCATTTCAATTGGCGCACACCGCTGGCGAACATCTTGCTGAAAGGGAGCTGAAGGAATTAAATTAGCACTACAATCGTAATAAAGTGAACGAAGAATGCCGAGCAAAGGACAACAAGCGATAAGATCTCAGAAAGAGAGCCTTTTCGAAAGAAAAAATATGGACCTTGCCCCAAAATTAATTAGAGAAATCTACAACACAATAGTTGTTGAATAAACTACCTAACTCCCATAAACGCAATGACGTGTTAGTATCAAAACAAAGAGGGTGCACACGGGGTGTAATGAGAGCATGAGGATAAAGACAGGTTCCTTTTGGGGGTGGACTTTGCCCCTCGTAGTTTGATGTCTAATAGACTGCACACTTGCGTGCGTCACAACGATATAGTTTTGACTGGCAAAACTTTCAACAATGGAAAATGTAAATGGAGCATCAAAAAAACCTACTTTTGTCGTTCTGACTAAATGACTAATTTTTCCATAGCTAACTCTGAACTTTGAATTTAAATGTAAAGCGACTTGTCAAAATCAAATGTGACCCGCAGTGACTGTACCTCGTACTAAGCACTTAACCAAGCGCTTTATCAATGTGACGTTATTAAAAGTTATCAACGCATTATTAATTAAAACACCTAATCAAATTATTTATTCAATTATTATAGCACAAAAACCGTAGACCGACACCTAATGTAAGAAGTAATGAAAATGCAATATTAAGAAAAAATATCACCAGTAATGGGCGGTTGTATCATCAATCTAATGAATGTTTTCCCGGATATAATCACAATTAGAAGAAAAGGGTAAACGATAAAAAGGTTTCTAGTCGTTATTATTAGAATATGACCGAAATAAAGGATATAATATTGACGCCGGAACACCAGAAAAAGAAAACGGGAATACACAGCTAGGAAGCACCCTATTACATTTGCATGGACGGAACTAGCAAAATCAGGAGGAACCAAATAATTCCCAACGTAGATATAGGGGGAAGAATAATATTAGAGATCATGAAGTGAAAATAATTTGTCTATCTACAGAGAAGGTGAGCCCGATGTTTGGCCAACAGAGTCTTCATTTACTAAAGAGACATTTATTTGTTGAGAAAATTTGTTTTTAAAATACCAAGTGTCCACTCGCATCCATTCCTCCGAAGCGTGTACGCTTTGCTGCAGGTGGCTCACAGGAAATAACAGATGATGAAGAATTTGCATTTACATCTAATTTAAAAAAATCTTTGAAGGCGCGGAAACAAACTCACAAGTCTGTGCAATGTTGGAGTTCATCGCTGAAATCGCTTGCACCACTTCTGTTACAAGCTCGGGACTGTTTGACACCAACTCTTTCCAGCCGTCTGTCTAAATCATATTAATCAAAATGAGGCCTAAATTTTTAGTTCTACAACGGAAATGATTTTCATTTAGATAGAATGTAATTCGCTAAAAGCTTACTTCGGTGACCGGTTGTGATTGGGTCGTTATGAATTGAATTGCATTTTTTTTCAGCGCGATAGCCATGTGTAGATCGGCAACGCAGAGGATTCGGCAAACGCTCTCAATGCTGAGCTGTGCACGTAGGCTCTGTTCGGCGATATCTTTCAATCCCGGCATGGCGAAGCGATCAGCAGCTGCGAGGAGCTCGAGCGAGATGTCGGAGAGACGAGTGCATCGCCCAGTGTACATGTACGTCAGTAGTTCTTGCATAACCTGTAATCAAGTTGATAAATCTTTATAACTTGAGAGTTTACCTCAAATTCTACATCAGATTCATTGAGACGCAGACAGTTCTTCTTTGATTCTTCGGTATGCGGTTCTAACAAAGCCGCAAAATAAGGTGAACGGGCTGCCAAGATCACCTAAAGTGTTTCTTTAGAAGCACTTATGAAAAAAATACCTTATGCACATCAAGACGTCGATCTCCCACATAAATCATGAAGTCGCAAAAGCGTCGATCACGAAAAACGTTTTCCAAGTCTCTAGCTACTTCAGCTGGCTTCGGTTCGGCTTGTGCAGAAAGGCGCGGCAAGGGGTTTTGTGAGCTTTTTGTGACCGTATCGAAGGTGATGGTCAGCGTCAATACCAACTAAAGCCATATATTTTTTTTCAAATAAACAAGAGCTAACCTGGAGCTCATCTTGAGGTGCTATGTGCTGAACCAATAAATCCCTACGAATGTATTCGAAGTACCCATGAAGCTAAAATAAACTGTACTCTACTAAAAGCTAGTATGAAACTTGTTGGGTGCCGGTGTAAACTGTTGTTGGTATTTCTTCATTCCTTGTGTTGAAAACAGCAAATTTGGCCTTGTATCGAGCTTGTTGGGCATTGCAGAATACCTACACAGTAATTTAATTCCTGTCAACTAGGTAAAAACTTTAATGACTAACCGATCTGCCAATAAAAATAGAATAGTACCTGAAAAAAAGTGAAATCCTTATTGCTTTCTTTGTTCCCTTGTGGATGTAACCGAATTCGAAAAGGCAACGTCCCATGATCACCAAGTCCAACGCTTTGAGTGGGAATTGGGACAATCTAAGAAAAGCCACAAAGACCGCTTAACAACTTAAAAAAACAAACTTGTTCCTTCACTTTCACAGTAGTCTCCAAATAACGGCATTCACATTGAGAAAATCCTCGAATGGTCCATACGTGATTATGTTGAAGCGATTTGACCTAAAACACAAACTAAATCATGATTTAACAATTGAATGCATGTTTACATTTTTAATAAACGTAGATTTTAGCAAAATAGACTTTCAAGTTGAAAAACAAAAATATTAATGTTGAAGAGATCAATGGGACCAAAAAATTACTTCAGTTGTCGACCAAGAATCCGCCGAGTGCTGAACGGACGGAGGCCCAACAATGTCAGCCATTCTAAAAGAACATGTAGTTAATAGCTGAAATCAAAAGTAAAACACAAAACGAGGTTTTGGCGAGAATAAATCTATGGAAACAAAAACCATTTTCAAAAGCGGTCGATAGTGAGTGACACTGGAGGCAGCCGCTTTGAGTGAGATGGGGCGTTCTGCGGAGACGCAGAGAGAAATCATTTACGAAAGACTCGAAAGTGGAGAGGGAAATCCCTCATAAAACGTATTCGAATATCGAAAAGAAAGTCTCCGAGATTTTGAGAGGCGTCAAACTTCCTAATTGGTGAGTAGTGAAGGGGTGGGGTTGGTTGTACTACTAATTACTGTTTAGTTGAAAAAATCAAGCAAGCTTTAGTCGACTCAAAATTGAATCAAATTAGCAAACGTGCATCGGGATCAGATGGCAGGTAATACCCGAAGTACGAGCGGGAATTATCCTTTTATAAAAAGTAGCAGATAAATATTTTTGAACCACGAAAAACTGTGCTTCAATTCTACAGAAACTTTGCAAAATGACTTGCGATTTTAAAAGGGGCAAAATGCGTACCCTTCTCAACCTTTTGATTTTCCTTTTAGGAATGTTTGTCTCAATAATCTGCAATTGGACCTCAACATCAATACCAAAAAATAAAACTTTTTAAAGATACATAAACGTAACACAAGCATGTTGCCAAATTTAAACTCTTTAAGTGAAAATGTTTATTTACAATATATAAATCAAAACAAAGGCATACTGGTAAGATGATGATGAATTTTTTTGATATTCTCGAATCAATTGAACGGCCGGTGATTGTCGTCATTTCTTGCCGGACTTCTTGATTCCTCCACCAACGAGCGGTCTAAAAATCCTAAGTAATGAAAAAGTGCTAATAGTCTACCCTTTCTCAGAGGCTTTCTTCGCCGCTTCGGCCATCTTCTTTTTCTCCTCCATTTGCTTCTTTTTGAATCTAAATCAAAATAGGTAAATGAACCGCAATCTAAATCGGCTCACTCGACGTCGTCCTCGTCAAGATCCTTGTTGTCTTTCTTTGGTGCCTTCAGTGGTTTCGCTTTTCCTCCTTGTCGTCCTGACATTGTCTAAAAAGAAAGAAGTTATTCTGCAAGATTCAAAGTTGTCCAGAAAGAAAAAACGAAAACGGACTCGAGGACAATTGAAATAATTCTTAGCTATAAGAATTAAGTGCAAGATTCAGGTTCTACGGCAGCTCAAAAAATATTTTTAAAGTTTTACGACCTACCTAGCAATGTCACTTACCCACTGGTCAATTTTCAAAGAGCAAAGGTCACGTGCGTTTAAAATCAATAAGTTACAGTAATTAGTTCTAAATTACTGGAACTAAACCAAACTCCATAGGAATCGTTTTGGGATTCAAGGTGCTATCAAGTCTAATTATTTTAAAACCAAACATGTATCACAAAATCATTCCTATCTAGTAAGTAAAAGGAGCGCGATAACGAAGTTATTTTTACACGGTTCAAGGCCCGCCAAAAACGAGAAAGCAACCGTAGAACGTAAATGTGTGCGCGCTCTCGCCGCTTGGCATTCTTTTCGGTGGAGCGCGAAATAGAAAAGACAATTTGCAGTATGGTAGAGCCATTCTTTGCTTACCAAATTTGCATTTAAAACGAAAATACACAAACAACGAGTTACTGTAAAACCTTTTTTACTTTTTCAGTGGCAGATCTGTGAAAGTACCAATTTACACAAGTATGAGAAGGGGCTCAAAGTGCGGAAAAGGGGCTACCTGCCCAGATAATGCAGATTAACTATAAGCCGCCAGACCCAGTAAGATAGCTTTTTCTCTGGAGGGCACCTTTTAAATTAATGGCATAGGAAGAATATACGTGCATTGGTTTAGCAGGAAACCTACCAGGTAGCTCAGTCCTAACACTTTACTGGAGCCTGTCATATAGGATGAAATCAACCTATGAATGGATGTTCCCGGATCCATCAACGAGATCTCGCAATCAATTGAGCTCAAGCTATCACTTTTTTTTCAGTGGTGAAAGTTATTTAGTGAACGAGCTTAGCGAGAGGAGCCCGATCAACTAGGAGAATAGGGGGATTTTGTGTGTTGAGAAGAGGAAGTAGGTCAATCCGCCTCTTTTCGTTTTTCCTCCTCCATAACCACAACGTTCAGCCTCTCCCCGAAATATCTGAGGGATCTCCCCTTTATAGATGTCTCTTTCCGTTGATCCACTGTACTATAGCTTTTTTAGAAACTGATCGATTTTTATTGATAAAATGTGCGGGATCGATTGTCAAGCACCGACTATAAAACTCTTTGTTACAAGTTCAGTTATCGTTTTCGATATGTGAACTTGCTTTGAGAGTTTTTCTTTCTCTATCAATCACATCACGAGTGAGTAATTCCTCTACCACATCCTCTTTCTTCTACACACTCAACACCTAGTGCAACAGTACCCAGTTCTAAGCCTCCTGACTTAAAAATTAACTTACCAACCGTGCTGTATTTCTCAACTTTTCAAAAAAATCGAACTCAAAATGTTAAAAATTGAACTCGAATACCAATTCTCTTTTCACAAAATTCAAGTGTTTTCCCCTCTCAAACACCTCAAAAGTTCTATTTTTATCCGCTCATCATTCCAAAGGTTTCCATGTTTCCATTCAAAATGCAAAAATTCTCTCCAAACATTTCATTCGCCAATCTTCGTCTATTCCTTTGAGATTTTTCCTGGTCTGTTTACGTGTCGATTTCCAATCACAAAACCTATAACCCATTTTTTTCTCCTTTCTTGCGTTCGTCAATTGATTCGTTGTTGTTATTGTTGATCGAAATTAATTGTGATTCCTTACACTTGATCACCCAAACGGGTTTTCTTCTCCCACTGGAACTTGAGCCACACGTTAAGAACACTTTTGGGTCGTTTGTTTTCCTTTTATTTTTTCAAAATCAACTTTATTTTTGATTCATTATCAGCTTTTTGTAGATTGTAGCGTGTTATACAAGGCTTAGGACAGGTTACGGTAGCGTGTGATGGGGTACCTGAATTTTAAGACCGACTTGCACCCTAGACAGGTTATAATAATTCTTGTACACGCAAAATTATCTCTGGTGTCTCCCCTTGGCTATTGATGGATTGTGGTCTGCGATGGCTAGAAATACCCCGAAAATCGGCGTGTCTCAAACCGGTCTTCGCCCTCAAAAACCTCTCCCGGCTTTTTGTTGTCAATGTCTCTTCCCAAGTCGAGATCTCCATGAATAGGATCGAGTCTAACAACACATTGAAATGAAGTGTCTCTAATTTTTTGGCATAAGCATTATTTTTGTCAAAAACACTTATCAAAAAAAACACAAAAACATTCAAAGAAATAGTCAGATTTCTTATTCCATCTTCACTTTCTTTTTCCAAAAGTTTCTCTCCTTCAAAAATGGAAATTTATCATAAAATGTCTAGTATCTCCACTTACTGCACACAATCATTTCTCTCAGATCGATCAAAACTCTCGTTTTCGATTTTGTTAAATTTCCAATTATGATATCAAGACAGAACTGTAAAAAAATAAAATATTTTTCAAGATTTTATTACTCACAAAGTATAAGAACAAAACCTATGAAAGGATTTTATGGTCCTGTGACAATTCAGCCGCTTGTGCGCGGTTCTCAAGAAATGCTTAACTTTTCTGTGACTAGCTTACTCATTGTCAGCCGTATTTGCTGCGTACGCTTGAGCGTGTAAACACATCCTTCCTAGTGCATGCAACTTTCCCTTTATGCAGCAAAAATAAGGCCAGCGTTTCTTAGAGAGCACAAAGTACGCCGGCAAACACTCAGGCTCGAATGGTTTTGGATTTCTGTTTTAAAAATTTTTCTAAACCTTTTTGCCGCCTCCAAAATCTCAGCCTTTTCATATTTCAAGGATATCTGCCAAAAAAAGTAAACAAAAAAAGTGAAATCCCAGGTAAAACCAGAATTTTCGGATCCCCTTGTCCTTGGTGAATTTCACCGAAATGCGCCAGGAAGTGATCGTATTCGGCTAAAAGCTTTATCCAGTTTTTTAAAATTCTTTGCTTTCTCCGTGACCTCGGTTTCTGTTTCTCTGTTTTATGTACTTGAGAAATTTTGAGAATTATTTTTGTTAGATGAGATGAGAATGAGTGTGAATGAGTCACAAAAGCTCTTGAAATAAACGGGTTTTCTTTGTCTCTTTTATTTTCCTTGAAGGAAATTTTGGTTGGCTGAAAGCTTCAGTTCTATATGTTTGTTCTCTTTTGGAAAAACCTATCTGGTTGTAAATACATCTTTATTTTGTGATCCCAATCTGCTTGTTGTTAATTTGTTTTGAGATTGGTAAACAAATTGCCAATGTGAAGCTGTTCAACTTGAAATGAAGGCTTAACTGATCCCTCCCTCTCCATAGGATCATTCGATTTGCTAATTTGTTACTGTTTTGCTGTTTTCTAACTCAAATCATTTCACTCATTTTCTATGAAATTACATGAAAAATCAAAGAAAGATCTGTTTTCCCCTTCCCCGAAACATCTGTTTTCCCTCACTCTTTTCTTACCATATTATTTTGTTGTGTTTTCTATTTTTTTCGCACTTGAAAAGTTGCACTTTTATTTGGTGTGACAAGTTAAGGCAAAAGGGAGTATTTTCTCTTTTTTCCCGAAATTTTCCTATCTCTTCCGAAAATCTTAAGACATGAGCATTTTGGAAAGACAACAAGAGAACCTCGATTGAAAAATAATCGAAATCTGAGGTTCGATTTGAGGAGAATTTCGAAAACGAAAATATTTTTGAATTTGGGCTATATTTGGGAGTCTGTGCTCTGAAGATAGTTCTAATGGAAATGGTTTTTGGTGCACAACTTTTGAAGTCCTACTTGAAGACAATAAAATTACTGCCAAGAAGTTTTTCTTGTCCATATCTTAACTCTTTCAGCAAATATGTATGAGACATAAAGAAACTTATGCAGGCTCAAAGGTTAAAGTTACTGAGTAAACTATACCTAATTAAATTTCAAACTGTACCCTTCCTGAAATTCATTATTCAACTTCAACCACTAATCGCTCGTATCCCAATGTTCACGAAGACTTTAATGACCCATTGAGCATAAAGCCAAATGGGTTCAAATGGTGAGCAAAATATTCTCGAGGCTGACCTTTACGAGAATATTTTGAGAAGGTACGAGAGAGGAGAATCGTCCAGAAATGGAGCGAAAAGGGATTGCCCTCCTCTTCTTCTTTTATCCTCCCTTTTCATTCAAACTCTTTCTTTAAATCTTTAGAGAAGCGTCTCTTTTCTTTTCCCATTTAAAACCAGCCTCATCTTCATCTTTTTTCATCTCGTTCTCCTCCTTTTTCACTTTTCCTTCTCCTGAACAGTTCTTCTCTGAGTCGATCTCCCCCATTTCACCCAAAGGGGAACCGACTCACCCCCACAATGGGGCTAGTTTTCTAATCCGCGAACCACTTTTCTTCTGAAATTGATTTTTGCATGGGAAAACTTGAATCAACAAGTTTTCGATTGAACTTCAATAAGCTACTATACCTAGAATTTTTCATATCCGTTTGTGAATCGAATTTTCTTTTGGAGCAATTTTTGAAAATTTAGAAACATTTTGGCTAGCCAGTTCTTATGCCAAGAAACCTTGCTTTCATCAAAAAGCGCTATTTTTCAATTCGCTGAACTGGTGTCATAGATTGCAAAAATGGCAACGGTTTCTGCATTTTATCCTTCACCTCTTTGATCAAAAGATCATTACAAAGAAGTTTGCCAAATAAAGCTCTCATTTAAACCTCTTCAATGATTTCTTCAGATAATTTCTACGATGATTTTAAAACCTTTCAAGTCTGTATACTTTGTGCGCATCGCTGTAAGCGCACCTTTCTGGCGCACACAATCACAGTTCCAATCAACTTGAGACCAAAAAACGGCCACCTTTTTGGGCAAAAATCTCTCTCGTTGATCACTTTCAATAAAAAGAATTTTCGTCCCATTCACAACTTTCCTAATCACTTTTCTCACCATTTTCCCCGCCAATTTGCAATGAATTCTTTTGTGACCGGCAAAGAGAACAGTTTAGCAAACTGGTACTTTTCTTTCATTCAAAAAATTTCTCTCTACTTTTTTAGACAATTTTTTGACTGGCCTATAGAAATCAAGGTTAGGCATTTGGATTTTTTTTTCTGATTGATGGGGAAAGCTTATTGTTCGAAAGAAAACTTTCTAGTATGTTTTGACAGAAATTTTCGCCTTAATCGATCTTGTCCTGACCTAGTCAACCTTGGTTTTGAGCCAGATGGAGCAGCTAATCCTGATAACCAAACTACTCTGTAGTGTCAGTTTTGGCAGATTCTTGCTTTTTGTAGCCAGTTTTTTCATCTTATTGTCCGATTGCATTCAACCGCAAAGGTTTCAACAAGATTTTCCCTCAAATTTCCCTTTCTCAAATCATTCTATTGTTTTGTTTCCGCAAATTGATCAAAGACAATGGGTAAAAGCAAATCGAGAAAACTTTTTTTGCCAAAAATTGGATTTCCTTTCTTTTCGTTTTCCCACACAAAACCATTCGATCAGTCCTTCATTTCGAAAAACGTTGAGAGAAAATTGTTAGTGATTTTCGTCATCTTTGACACGAAAAAAAATGTAATGTGGTTAGTTTGGGGAAATGGGCAAAATTTTGAGATTTTTCTTTTCAATATGGTGACAACTTGAACAGACTCTTTCAACTCCTTTTCTTTTTTTTGAGATTTTCATATGTTTACAGATTGTCAAGATCATTTTGATCGATTTTGCGATTGATCAGTGTGATCACAGTAGACTCGGTGTCAGAAAAATATGCCTAAAATTTGGAACAACTTTCTTTTATGCTTTCCCTTTGATTCCCAAGCTCTCATTCTTAAATTCCTTTTTCCAACTCCAATCGATCTCTTTGATCCCTTTGATTCCTTAGATCCCTTTGATTCCGTTCGATCCTCATCGAATCAATCCCTCATTTCAGCATCGGCTCATGCCGTGTTCTCCTCCCCCATTCACCCCTCCACGAATTCGATGGAGGAATCGATCATTTCTCCATCTTTTATTCCTTTTCTCATTTCCTTATTCTCTTCACGCATCACTCCAATCGTACGATGAGGGATTTGTATTGGATTGGCTAAATAAATCGACACATTTGGGACTTTCAACAAGATGCACCGAGAGTTTATCCAGGGTTCGTTGCTTAGTTCGAAGCTATAAATCTTTGATGACCATTTTATTCGAAACGCATTTTCTTTCTTCCAGGTATGGCCCTATCTAAACATGCACGACACGCTGGATGTACAAAGGAATTACTATCATCAATCTTTCGGAACTGGTGAGCAAACAACAAAATGTTTATACTTTTAACATTGACTTTTGAATTTGTTATATTTAAAGTTTCTATCACACGTTTCCAGGTCCCGGCTGGCTTTTCCTCAGTCGCGATCAGGATCGATGGGTTTACAGGGGATACGAGTGTCTTTTAGCCGGTAAGTCATTTCTAAAGTTATTTAATTATAACTTAAATCCTATAAAACGAATAAATAAGCTATACAAATCTTTTTAAACTTTTGGAACTAAAGAACTTCAGCGGGCGAAACTGTTTACTCGCGCTCCGAGCATCCGATGCACTTTTGCTATGGTAAGCGTTTGATGATAAGATAATTTATAGCTGAATATATTTTAGCTTTATTACCAACTTGCAGATAGTATACTCTTTTAACAGTTTTTGATCTAGGATTTGAATCTTTAGGCCTCAAAGAAGACGAGGAGCCCGGAACCGACGCCTATAGTGTCTGCATTCCGTCACCATGTGAAAAAGAGCATAAAAAGGTCAGACATTGATTTTTGTCATGAAAAATGGTATTCAGTTAAGAACTTTAAGTACTGTCGGCTTTTAAGAATCAATTTTAAAGCACTACATATATTTCCTTCGTCAAGTCCAACTTCACATAGCAAAAAATAAGGTTTCAAATTATCGCCTTCTAAATCAAAAGATCCCCAAAAAAAACGTTTAATAATGGCGGGGACATTTCTTGGTTTATAATGAACAATAAGCTAAATAAAAATTCAAATAAATATTCAGTTGATAACTTTATGGCAAGAGATGGTCGATCGAGATGCAGTTGATCAGACAAAAGTCGACTTCACGAGTTGTATCGCCTCGAGACACGAAAAACAATGGTTTGAGGTTTCCTTGAGAATCCAGAGCTAGAGCAAAATAAAACTGCAAGAATTAACTATAAGAGAATTAAATGTGAGCGGGGATATTTCAGGCAATTTTCCAGGTTCGAGCTTCCGATCCCTGTGGCCGATTTCCTTTTCAACGCTCTCCTTTCATTGTTCATCTGCTTGGCCACAGTTTTCCATATGCATCGAGGCGATGAAGTGAAGTGAGTCAAAGGATTCATTCAATCAATTTGATTCAATCAACAAATCCTTTCTAGAACAATGTCCCAAAAGCTGTTGCTATGCTTCTCGCTGAAGAAAAACCTCAAAAAGGCGACTTGTTATCCAAAAGATCCCCAATCGACGATCACCTGCATGTTTGGATTACGGTAGGTGAAATAAAAAGTAGAAAACGGATTTGAAAACAGTTTTAACTTAGAGATTGAAATAAAAAACTTTTGAATGAAATCTTTTCAGATTCCTGACGATGGCATGGACGTTGGTCGGTCACTCGTTCATTTTTATCCAAGTTTGTGACATTTTGGAACTTCAGACAAAAAGATTTTAAAAGAATTTCTAATTTGATATTTCAATGTTATTTCAAGTTTCTCATGTAACTTTTCTTTTCCAGGCCTACATCGGAAACGTGGACAAGTTCAAGGATGAGATGGTTGACTCGTTCTGGCGACAATGGATCACCAACTTTACGCTCAGGTAAAGAAAAAGTTAAAGCTCAAAAAAATTCGAAACTTTAGCAAGTTAGAATAAGACAAAATTCAATGTCAACACCTGGCCTAGCTATCAAAATTTCCCCAACTTTCCAGTGTCGACGTTTTTCTGACATTGGGCGGAACAGTGCTCTCCTACTCATGGTTCAGGAAATGGCTCAAGAACACTACAGGTATCAAGAGTTTCAAAAACAGCTTTAAGCTTGAACTTTTTTCATCTCATTGCTTCCAGAACCCGAGCCAAAATGGAACTCGTGGGGTTACTGGTTCAAATTCTATCAACATCGAGTCATCCGGCTATGGCCTGCTTATCTCTACACATTGATGGCTGTCACGTTGAGGTTATCAGGTAAAGCATACTATTGAAAGAATATATTACTAGTCTTGAAACACTCCATACATTTTCTTCACTTTCAGTCACTCATTGGCACCCAATGTGGCCTCCAACCGATCCCGCAGTTCAATGTCCCGTTCATTGGTGGCAAAATGCTCTCTTCATCAACTCGTTGACCGAGAATAAATGCATGCCGTGGACATGGTTAGTGCTAATTTTTTGACAATTATAAAACAACTCAAAAAATAATCCATGTAGTAATTCATGAATTTTTTCAAAAACCGAGTTGTTACCCAGTATTTCTATGCGCAGTTCATCCTTTCAGGTATATCGGCACGGAGTTCATTTTCTACGTGGTCTCACCGATCTTTTTGCTCTCATTGAGAAAATCGCCGAGATTCGGAGTAATCGTTTGTAAGTTTTAACCCAAATGAATTGTTTTGTCAAGATATTTAACTCAAATGCAATTCCAAATAACAGGCATGGCCACAATTGTTGCCTCCGGAGCGCTGAATGTCTTCAAGATTCTTCAAGAGAATTTCCCGCCCACCCAATTTTTGTGGAGACAACCCGAGATCTTCAATCCGAACTTTATTCAGGTAACAAAATCGTTTTTGCAAACGTTATTCAGCTGGCGCACTAGATTAGCCGTTATACTGTATCATGGAGAGTTTTCAGCACCACGTCGAGCTCTACATCAAGCCACAGTATCGAATTGGTCCCTATGTTGTGGGAATCCTTCTCGGATACTTTTTGGCCGACTATCAAAAGGTAAAATTGATTTAATATGCAAATTTTCAAGTAGTCAAGTAGTGCATTATCTCCTTTAGAATCCATTCCTCGACAAAAGGGCCGTCAAGAAAAAAGTGTGTTTGGATCGTTGAGTGGAAATCTTTTTAGCTGTGCCTACTTCCTAAGCTTTCTGTAATTTGCTTTCAAAAACTTTCAGCTTCCCTATGCTTACTATTAGCTAGAAAATCTAAATCTATTATTGTAAAATCTACTTTCTATGCGCTTTTCTGTAGTGTGTAGAATACCTTTAAACTTTCAGACAAGTCTAATTGATTCCAAGTAAATTCTTCAGCTTCCTTGAAGCTTTTCAGCTTGTTGCTAGTGTTGTGTGTAGTGATTTCTCCTTTTCTTCCGCTAAATCTAAAGCTTTGTAATTTCAAAGAAATAGAGTTCAAATTTTACAATCAAACGCATTTCAAGGTAGCCACAAAAGAACCCCGATCGGTTCGTTTCATCGCTGGTGGATGGATTATTTCGTTTGTGGCGATGTTCTGGGCAATGTACGGAGTGTATCCATCTTTACAGGTAAAGAATAATTTGTATTTTATAGGAAAAAGTTTTCGAGTCTAAAACATGAACTTTTTCCAGGGCTGGGACTGGGGTGTGTATCATTTGATCTACGGATGCACCCATCGAGTCGTTTTCTCGATTGGACTCGCTTGGGTGCTTTACGCATGTCATACTGGTAAGTGTAGTTATGTCTTTACTTCATATCTGGTTGGGTAAAGTGCTTAAAATGAAAATTCCAGGCATCGGTGGCTGGGTGAACAGTTTCTTGTCGTGGAAAGTGATCGTTCCATTCTCGAATCTCTCCTATTCGGCATATCTCTTCCATATGATTCCGGTAAGACTTTCCAGGGATTTTCCATGAATGCTGTTAAGAAGGACACGTGTTTATTTCATTTTAGAGCCTAGGTTCTAAAGCTTTAAACATGTAAATGATATTTTCAAAGCAATGACCGCATTACAGGTTGTCTTGACATACCTTCTCGTCCCCTTCCCGATCACTTACAATTCAATGTGGTATATCTTCGCGCATTGCTTCGTTCAACTACTTATCTCGTGAGTTTTTACAAGATTGGCTATTATTGATCTTTAAAAACAACTACATTTTCACAGTCTGTCCTTTTACTATAAGACGTGTCCATGTACCAACAGGTACCAATCTCAGATGTACTTTGTCAGATGTCAGTCAGATGCAAGCTAGTCTCAGATGTACTTTGTGTTTCAAACATAAACGCACCCTATCTGGCCCGCCTAATTCTTCTATCTTCACTTGGTGGTATGCCAGGCGGCGCGCGTTTAAGACATGAACGCCTCAGTCGACACCGCATTGTTGTTAATGTAACTGTAAGAAAAGAAATTGAGTGCACTAGAAAGGGTGTTTTTACATATTAAGAGCACAAAGTGGACTTCAAGCATGACTATCTAACAAATGAAATCTTTTTTCAGTTATGTCTTCGCTTTCATCTGTTCCACATCAATCGAATACCCAGCACTGAATATGGAACGACTTTTGCTCTTCAATGCTCCAAAAATGAAGAAATCTCATTTGAAACCGGTCGAAACGGCTGAAAGTGAATTGCAAATGAAAGATTAATGAAAGAATTAAGTCATCAGTCAAAGATTTTTCGTAATCAAACTTAACTAGGTATTCTTTTGAAATTTTTGCCCTTACAAATGACTACAAATGACTACTGCTTATCCAACAAAATTCTTCCTAGTTAATTTTATAAATTTTCCACAGTTCATATCATTTTCATTGTACATATCAAGAAATTTCAGTTTTTTTCTCTTCATTTTGTCTATTAATCGGGTAAATAATCCATCTAAAAACCCCATTTTTGTAACTTTTTGAGGTCACGTTTAAAATCGATTTTTTTTCAAACTTTTCCTAATGACCGATTCATTTGAAACGGGTAAAAATCTATTTTTCTTCGAGTTTTTTTTTGAAACTTGTGATTTTTGAACAATTTTCTTCGTCGAGTCTTTCTTTTCGTTGATTTTATCTGTGCCTCAACATTAATTTGAAAAATTAGTCTCAGAAATCTAGTAGAGAATTATTTTTTGGAAATAAATTTGTGAATAAAGTTATTCTTCTAATGGACTCTATTTAAAATTGCAAACTTTCCCTTTTTCAATTTCAACTTTTTTTAATCTTTTGATATTAACCAAAAGATTAATGGCTCGTCTCTGAAAAAGCAAAAAACGAAGAAAGAGATGAGAGAGAGAGAGAACGAATCGAGTGTCATTTTGAGAGCAATTGGGCCCCACAACACTTTTAGATAAAAGAGAGGCTTTTTGATTGACGCTTGATTGAGATTTTGGCCTTTTCGTTTCGTTCTTTCATTTCTAAAGCCTAATGCACGCTGATCTTCTTGTTTCGGCTCACAATCGGTCTTTGAGGACCAAACTTTATTCAGAAAACCAAAAAACTCACCAAAATCGCTATTTAGTGATTCAATTTTTATCGTTTATATGATTCATTCGATTTATTCCCTTCAATGACTCACCCTTTTCGATATTTTGGAGTGCTGCGAAAAAAATTTCGGCCAATTATTGGGAGGGTGACCTAATTTCGGAGCAAATTTTTGGGGTTCTCCGTTTTTTCGTTTATTCCAGGGTCCATCACGAAATTGATATTTCAAGATATTCGTTGTTTAAAACAGTTAGAAATTTCCAAAATATCTATCCAAGTCAGGAGAAAAGATATCTTTAATATCATCACCCAATCAATCAATCTTTTTCTATTTAGATGATCGATTGTTTTTTGTCCCAGGACTCGATTTATCTGGGATTAAAAGTTAAAAATGAAATATTTCTTTTTGAAATAAAGATTGACTCTTATTAATCTTATTTTCTAAAAATTAAATATCCAAACTTACTAGATGAAAATTTTCTTTAATGTGGACGGGTTTTTCTTCACAATCATCACCATTTTTCTACGGGTTACTTTGGCGGGAAATCTGGCAAAAGTGAAGATTCGAGAGGGAACGATCGAAGGTAAACTTTAAATATTTTTCAATATTAAAGGTTTTCTAAGCTTCATTTCATCAGAAACCTTTCAGAAATCGAGTCAGCGATGTCGCATTTCTACGCGGAAAATCATCATTTACACCACGCACTCTTAGCCGAATATCATGCACATTTAGCACCGATTTATATGCTGGGTGAGGGTGAAAGATTACTTTGCTTGATTGCTTGAATATAAAAAGTATAGTAATCTCTATAGTGCAGTCTTTTAGATAAAGCCCGCCACTCTTAAATAATTGAATTGTCTTTAGATCATAACGCCACCAAATTTCGCGTCCCGTCCTTCAAAATCTACGTCAATCTGATCAATGCCAAGTTGATGGACATTGTGGGTTTTCAATACTAATTTTTCCATTATAGAGCTAACTATATTTGTATTCATTGTTTAGAATGAGGCCAACGAGCTCCTGTCAATGATCATCGATTTGGAAGTGGTGAGTGTTCAGTTTGAACAATAACCGAAGGCTTAAGTGCACCAGAAAAAGTGTGTTTACAAATTAGAGTACAAAGTACATCCGATTCCTTTCTTCTGAACAAATCTCTTCACCTAGAGATGGAGAGACATTCGTCTGCGGTGGAAACCCGGCAATTTCTCTGGCATTGAGCATATCGTTTTGCCCGAAGCCATCATTTGGACACCCGATTTTGTCTACTATGATCAAGCGTTTGTTTTACTATTTCTACTTACTATTAGCATTAATATATCGCACAAGAAATGTTGAAGTACCAGTTGCGCTGGGCGTTAAGGAAATCCCTGTTTATCACCCAGTGACTAATTCCAAAATTTCATGCAGATCCGTCCCTGGTGAGCTGTGCCATGAAAAGTAAGCCTTTTCGTGTAATGGACTCGGCACACTCTTTAAGTGTTAGGAGAATAATATACAGTAATTTTTTCCAGAGCCCAAGCCATCAATCTGATCCCCGAGGAGGCGAGATACGTGAGGGTGAGTTGATCTCATTGAAGAGAAACAATCCAAAGCATTAAGGTAAACTTAAAGTCTAAAAATAAAATCATAAGATTCAGAACTACGTACATGTGGGCCAAGTGCAAAAAATGGCCCCAGAATCTCATAGTCAATTCCAGATCTACTCGACGGGCGAGGTAGTGCAACCAGTGATGCATTTGGTGAGAACGAGTTGCAATCTCAACGTGAGTTCGGTCTAAACTGAAAACACTTTAAATAGCTATCCAGTCATTTTTTAAAACTCATGATGTAAAAACCAGATATGAATGCCTTTTTTGAGATGACCGAATTCCCATTCGACATTCAACAATGTTCGGTGGCGCTTGGCACGTTGATCTACGCGGCAAAAGAGATATCCTACCAGATAAATGTACCCGAATTCAACGAATATAAAAAATCGGATGTAAGTCCTTTTTGTAAAAATTCGAAAACTGAAATCTTGTCGCAGACTTTTGGATGGCATGGGAACAGCGAGTGGGAGGTGGAGAAACCGAAAGCTGAACGAATCAAAGCGAACAACACTTTGGTCAAATATGAATATGTAAGTTGGAAGTTGTGGCCTCAAATCAAACAAGAATGTTTAAAACGGAAGCTTTCAGATAAACATCGAGTTCACTTTCGCGCGACATCCATCTTTTTTCATGGCTGTCATCATTTGGCCGGTGTTTTTGTTAAATTCTCTCTGTATCCTTGGAATGTTCGTTGACAAAACTGGCGATTGTTTGAATAAGGTTTGGTTAGAGTTAAAGAAGTTTCTGACAATCATGAAAATGCTGCTCAAATTTCCAGATGATTCTCGGTTTGACAACCCTAATGGCGATGGCTGTCGAATTAGAAATTATTGCAGAAGAGATGCCAAAAACCGAGAAAATGCCTCTATTGGGTGGGTTCATAGCAAGTCATCTACAAAAAAATCCAAAGACTTACCTTTTCTTTCCTAAAGGAAACAAAACTAGAGTCGAAAGCTGTAAAGCTAAGCCAAAAGCTATCTAATCGTAATGCTATAATTTGTCAATATTCAGCAAGTTTCGTCTTCCGTGCAATCAATCTGATCGCGCTCGCCTCGGTGGTGATTCTCTTTGTGCCGAAAATCAAGAAAGCCAGGTGCGTTTGTCAATTAAACACGCAGTACTTTAAAACAGACTAACTAACACCATGTTTAAATCTCAAAAAGAATCTCAAAGTGTTGACTGCAGGAAAAAGCTACCCGATCGTCATGCTCGCAAACTCTTCCAACCGAACTTCATCTTCCTGGTCATTTTCGAGACATTGAATGGGTTGAATTTCTGGTGGTTACTTTCACACAAAAAGCCTCATTCATGAGAGAATATAAACTATTTATCACACATTTACCCGTACTAAATAAATGAATGTAATATTTTCAACGAATTTTCTCTTTTCCTTTCTGTTCCTCGATTTTCTGTTGTTCGGTGAGAAGGAGAACCGATCCAACGATCACCAATGAGAGACCTGTCCACCTAAAAGCTACTCTAAAGTTTGCCTGTAACTGTAACTTTTAAAAACATTTTTGTAATTCTGTTTTATTTTGTTTGTAATTAAGACATTTGTTTAAGTTTTGTTTTTTGTATTAAAATCTCTTACCAGAGCATTGAATGTGCTTCTCCCCAAAGAACTCCTCCCAAAATACCCTAAACTTGAAATATTCAGCCAGTTTTCATCAAAAATCCAACCGTGAGTGTGAAGTTGGTACCCGTGTTCAGAGCCATCACCTAAAGGACAAACATTTCATTAATTTCTTTACCTAAAATTAATATTCAAAATCCAAGATAGTAATTAGACTTTCACTCACTTTTATCGTACTCGTCGACGTGGCGAGAGCTCTCGAGAAGAAAATCCACATCGACACATTGAAAAGGAGAAACAACGAGAGGAAGAGCACAAATTCCTGGAAAAGAAATAAAATTTGGCTGAATATCTTTTTGATTAACATATTATACTCGAAAGATTCGTAAAAGCACCCACAATTGGTTGTTTTTCCCATGAGAATTCGGAGAAAGCGAATTTGCTCGAAACGGCCCCCAATGAAGCACAAATGCCCGCCGAAATCGAGAAGAAAATGTCCATCGGAAAATGAAAAAAAATTGAAAGAAATCGATTCGTTTTAATCCATCTACGAAAAAAATATATTTAAATCATTGTTTATTCAAATTTTCATTAGAACAAAGAGTGACAAGCACTTATCAAACAATTTTCACAAACCGATTACTCCACGAAAATCCCATCACATTCAAGCATTGCTTTCTATAAATTGCCCCATCGAGAGTACTCGCATTGACCTGAAACACAAAAATTTCCCGCCAAACCTTTCCCCAGCGGGCAAAAGAGACAGCTTGGCTTTGTCCGTCTCTCTTTTCTTTTCTTGTTCAGTTCTTGACTCTCAGTTGAGGACATAAATGGCATTCTTTTGAAAGTTCCATATCTTTATATTAAATTAAAATTTTGGTCCTTTACGTTTTAGTCTTTTTAATCTTTTCTTATCTTCTACTTTGGCAACTACTACTTATACATATCAGTCTAACATTTAACTTCCTCTGGGGTAAAGGAGATCAAGTGGGTTGTGATGTAATGGTTGGCACAGTTGCCCACTGCCCAGCGAAAGGTCACGGGTTCGAGTCCCGGTGGCGCCGAAGTTTTTGATTTGCCCTGGTTCCAACCCAACTTTTTCATCTTTACATATTGAGAATCTAAGTCTGTTGCCGTAACTTGATGCATCAGATCATTTTTCAATAACAATTATCATCATTTTTGCCATAATGATTGCTGTTTTAAAGAAATCAATAAGAAATCCCAGAGTCATTGACGAGAATTTCCCTCCGTAATTGCTTATCGTTGGCCAGTGGCCAGGAAAAATGTGCTAATGGGCAATTGTTTCCACATAGAGTCATCTGACTGATTACATCTGGCATCTGCCATTCTTCTTTATTACAATAGTAACTTTTTTAAAAAGCCAACAAATCTTATAATTTCTATGTCTTTGTGGCTTAAACCTTGTTCTTTTCAAGGTTTTTTATCAGCTTTTACTTTGAATTCGTTGAATTCTTCTTTTTTAACAAACACTCCATTTTCTAATAATTTTTTTTCTATAATGCTTTAAAAACCAAATCAAAACAAGAATTTTCAGAGGAATGGGCAAAACACCGAAGAAGCGCGAGGAATCTGCCTCACCCCAAAAGACCCCAACGAAGTCGATGAAGAAAGCATGGGCTTCACCATCGAAATATTCAATGAAAAGTCTCTTCGACAACTATACCCCATTGAACGAATCATGGGCAGAAATCACAGCAAGTGATGCATCGTTGCTTGAAGAATCCCCAAAAGATTTGATTGGTCGACGAAGAAAAGGCGCTCAACCCCGAAAAGCGCAAACTCGGCCGAAATTCGTAAAATCGATCGAGTTGACTGAAGCGATTTTGAGTCCATCAAATCGGAAAAGCGAACGAATTCAACAATTGCAAAATGAGCAATCGGGATCGAGAAAGAGACACATTTCGACGACATCAACGATCGCCGATGAAGTGGGAGGATCGCCGACAAAGAAACCGAATTGTGAGACGAGCACCCCGGGAAAACCCAAGAAGAAGCTGCAAAATTTGGCAGAACCCGCATCACCGAGAAGCCCGCAAATCAAAATGAAGGACAATTGGGAAGAACCGAAATTGGGATGGTGTACGGATATGAAAATATTGGATAGAAGATCGAGGGAAATCGAGCGAGCAAAGGAGAAACCCGTCTATCAGAAATATGCGAATGAGGTGGCGAAGGGGCAACGACAAAAGGGAATCCATCCAAGAACGCCGAATAAGCTCTTGAACTACTCCAGGAGATCGTGGGATGTACAGGTGAGACTAAACAATAAAATAATATTCTAACTTTAAACAAGTTTAAGAATTTTTACTATTCTAGGTTTTTCAAGAATCGAATCACTAGTTAGGCAAATTCATATGCTTCGAATAGCTCATTTTTCTTGGAAAAACGATAAGAGAATGGCTTCAAAAGACTGGTTATTCTGGTTCTCTAGATTTGAATTATCATTGTCAGTAAGTCTTTAGCTTTCAGGAACCACTAGTTTTCTCAACTGAACACTTTTTATCTTACCATTTTATAGCTGTAAAGCATTACAGTATCTTCAATCACCAAACACCAAACGCTTCGATCACCAAACTAGTAACTTTATCTCATTTTTGTTTTCTTCATTCCTCCTATTCCCCTTCAATTAGTTCTTGTTTGAGCCGATTTGTGCCGTTTCTTTTCTTCTCTTTTCTATTCCCCATTTTTCCAATACGCACTCCCCTTTCCCGCCCAATTCTCGAGTTAATTCAAAAAATATCGCACCCTTTGACTCTCTTTTTGGTCAATCAGGTCAACAGATGCGTGAGGAAATTAATAGGCAGCAATCTGGGGTTTGAAATCGATTAGAAATTAGTGTTCATATAGACTTTAGTGCCAGAAAGGATATCTTTGAAATTTTTGAGTCAAAGTACATAATAATGAAAGCATCAATTAAAATCTAAACTAGAAACAAATTAAGAACTAACAAAAGCATCAACTTGTAACCTAATAGCCCATTCACTTTAAGATTCGTCGCTGGAAGCGTTCTCTCTACGAATGGGCCGGCGAAGAGCCGAGTGACTCGGCGAATACATCATTCTGTTGTTCGGAAACCGATTCGGTGAATGGTGAAGGAGAGGGAGAGAATCGAGAAAATAGAGATGCACCCATTCTCGCACATCTTGATATGGAGGATATTGTTGTTGGTGAGTAGAAAGAGATTTTTTTACCGTAACTTTACATCAATATGCCGATTAAGACTGACTTCAATTCAAATAGATGTCAGTTTTTAAAGTTCTTTGCAATCCTTATACCTATTCTGTACTATCTTTGACTGATAAGCAAGTCTAGCACTTTGCGTCAAAATTTTCCAAACCAAAAATCCAATCATTTCAGGTCGAGTTGACGGTCGACCCGAGGCTGATCAAATGGCGTCACTTTTGGGGAAATTCGATATGGATACACGAAAGGGTGATGAAAGTACATTGAAGCCGTTAATGTCACAAAATGATGGTCCCACTGGTCCCACCGATTTCTCAGCCGTTCATCATTAATTTTTTTTATCATTTCGAAAGGCACAGGATTAGATCTAATGATCTAAAAGTACTACCCATTTGATTTTAAAAGTCCTTTCACAAGATTAGTAATGAATACATACAGTCGAAAAGCTTTACTCTACTCTTGTGCCTTCCCAAATTGTATCACTTATCACATGTAAATTTCGTATCCTGTAGTTTTCACAACATTCTCGATTCTTAAGATTTTTTTAGTAATTCCAAATTCACTTTCCATCTAATTCACTTATTTTATTCAAAACACTCCAACAATTACGATTCCTCAATTATTTCCGATACTCATTGAGCCCTTTTCGCCAGTATTTTCTCGTGCTGTCTTGAAAAGCGATAAAATAATCAAAAAATTCCCAAAAAATACAGAATACACACAAACATTGTATATTTATTAATGTCCAAGATAAAAAAAGGTAATTTTACTTCAAAGAGACATTTCTTTTTTGATCCAACTTCATTTATCCTTTGTGTTCTCACCTTTGCTTCTGCCGTCCAAGAGAACCACCGTCGAACTTGAGCTACTTAAAGAAAATTTTTAAAACGTTAAAATCCTATTATTTGGGATGGTGTACGGATGTGGAAATATTGGATAGAAGATCAAGCTCCACATATTAATTCTGACTTTCAAATTTAAAAAGTAGCTTCAAAATAACTCACAAATCACTTGTATTCATAAGGCTATCCGTCTTCACAAGGTTTCCATTCTCATGAATTTCGGGGCGATTGTGCGTTGACTGCATTATCTGAACAAAAAGCTTAATTATTTCAAACAGTCAAAAAACAGAAGAGTCAACCTTTATGTAGTTGAACAAAAATGGAGCCACAAAGATGTAGAAGATGTAGGGCAAAAAGTAGAGTGAAGAAGCTGGCTGGAATTAGAAATGTAAACTTACTACTCAAAAGACCTAGGCCAACTTAATTCAAATAGGTATGTTATTTGTTTAAGAAATCCTTACCCCGATCCAATATTTGTACGAGACGAGGCTGAATGAGAGAATTCCGAAGCCCATCGTGTATGAGATGATCAAACGTCCTAACACTTTCCTAATTGGATACATCCAAGTCTAAAAACAAACGAACCAGCTTGGCTCCAACAAAATGCAATACCTCATAATAAATTCCTCGAATGCTTGGCGTTCTTTCAATGAGTGCGTAGAACTTAAATAAATATAATTGATCAGATTCGAATAGCAATCTTAGTACCTCATTTTGCGCATGCATGCATGCAAACTCAAAGCCAAAGAAGAGGAAGTAGCCGAGGTGGAAACCATGCCAGATCGCCAAATAGAAGAGGGTGAGCAGGTGAGAGAAGCGCTTATCACCCATCCAACGAAGACGACGAAACACGTAACTAAACAAACAGTACTTTTGAATAACTACAAGGTAGTAGCAAGTAAAGAACGGGCAATTTGTTCAAGCCAACAAGTCTATATCCAAAAAAATAACTTCTTCATCCAGTGATTGGTGAGACAATTGAACGCGAGAATGAGCGAATTGAAATCGGTGCCTGTCTCCCACAGCCACACATCCACATTTCGGCAACCATCCCAACTGAATCCATCAATCCTTTAAACAACTCCAACCACTAACCGTTCTCGTTTTTTTCTCTTCTCCAATCCATTGTAGGCAAGACCACTGTAGATACATCCAGCTTCCTAAAAATACACTTACACAAAGTACACAAAACACAACGTAACAAACGTACCGAGAATAAGAAGATCGAAACATATTTACTGAGCATGATCCTCGCCCAGATTGCACAAACCGTCCATCTCATGAAGAAAGAGCGCTCCTAAAGAAGTAAAATGCCACCAATGATAAATTCAATAGCTGCCGATAGAGGATGGCTGTAAAACAACTCACATAGAATTCCGAACTGTTGAGATATTGGTCGGAAATTATCGAGCAACCGACTTGATGAATCACAATGTAGATGAAGCCGACGATGAAACGATTCATCGCCTCAGGAATACTAAAAATAAGACTGTTAATAAAGAAGTTTTAAATACATAAAGCAAACTTATTAATTAAAAGGCAGATTTTCAAAAATATATGTGCCTTGATTTTCGGATCTCTTTCTTCTCGCCGAGATGATCCCCATTGAGCCAGGCGCGGAAGCGATTCAATGGCACTTGAGGTCCTACAAGAATGGTCGTGTAGTTGAAGCCTGCAAATAAAACAAATAGTTAAACTCTTGAATCAAATTTTAGTTGCAATTCTCCACAAACTTACCAAATGCAAGAATCTCAAGCAAATCGGGTGACTTGGCAACGGCATCTCGTTTCAATTCGGGTCGAAGTTGATTCTAAAATTAAAAATTTCAAATAGTTACAAATTACAAATGATAAATAGTCTTTATTAGATCGGTATATAACTTCCAAAATTTACCATTTTTCTTCCATCATACACATCGACCACCAACCCAATGTAGCGAAGACACATCACACAGTAGGCAGTCGTCCACGAAATGTCGTAATTTTCAGTGGCTGTTTTGTAATATCCCCATAGCAGATGACCCTAAAGAAAGCATTTACTTGATATGATTTATTGCCTAAAATCCCTTTAGCCGCCAACTAAATATCTTTCAACGTTAAATATTTCACTTACCATGAAGATGAGATGGGCAATAGGAACCGAATCAGCCGAGCCTCCAAGCGACAGCAACAGGACCCAGCAAGCAAGCGACGAAAAGATCAAATGCGTCGTGCTCCAACCTAAAACAATAATATTTATAAGATTATGAATTACATTAGCCGCATCTATGATAAAGCTTACTTCCAGCAAAATCTTCAAAAGCTCACCAAAATTGACAAAACAAAGCACGAGTCCGGCTAGAAGAATGAAGATTTGTTGGTCTCTAATAGGGCGCTTCGCGATGAATAAACTAAAAGGACCACACAAGACAATCGATAACAGTAACCCATGAAAAATTTAGCATCAAATCGACAATACTCACTGGTGAAAATGAGAGATTGGTATGACGGCCCACACGGAGAGAATCATTCGAAGAGCTTCTTCGGGCGCTCCCAAAAGACCCGCAACCACGCTCAACATCTCGTTTAGCTGGAAACAAGGCAGTTATTCAATTTAGTCCTTTTATTCATTAAAACTTTGAACAGCACAAAGTTTATCACTCTATAAACTGTATAAACTTTAGTTCTGCGTAACTCATTCTAATAAAAAGCCTAGAAATTAAAAGTTTGTTCCGGTTAGCGTTCTAAAATTTAAGAATCAAATTTTAAAAACCGACCTTCTACGATGATGCAAAGAACGAGAATGAAAAATTTGTGGCTCGAGTTTGAGATGCTTGCAGCATTGGATGTAAATTTTTGTGTTCGTATGCAAATTAAGCAATTAATAAAATTTTCTTTTTGCTGTGTCTGTGTTTTGTGTGACTTTTGCACAATTTTATTGGCATAATGCACAGAAAGTAACCTCAAAACTTGTAAAACAAAGGCAAATAATCATTTTGACTAATATTTGATACCCAGTGTTTTAAAGTGGGAAAAATGTGAAAAGAAAATCGATAAAATGATGAAAACTCACCGAAAACAGCACCGAAAATCGAAATGGCATACTCAAAAATTGGGAATTGAGACTAGAGAAACGTTGTGTAAGATGATAAATTAAAGAAAACTTTGAAAAGAAGTTCGGATATTGATTAGTTTTAAGGATTGTTTTGGCTTGTGTATTTTTTTAGGCTTCTTCCTCAACGTCTTCAAGCGTCTCATCTTTGCACATTGTCTTCAAATAAGCTCTCACCGAGTCCGAAACGGCCGGCTCTGCTTTATCGGCCTCCTGAAAAGGTTGAGATTTTGGCATAGTTTTGGGTTTTCGATTTTTTGAAAATCTGAAATCAGCAATGTCTATAGAGTAGATTGAGTATCTTACTATTCATCATTTTCATATTTTCACTTGAATTTCACCTTGGCAAAGATCTCCAAATGATTCTTTCCTTTCCAAATCAAGGCACACTTAAACTCGCTTTCATTTTTCGTCAAAAACTTGAAGATCTTATCCAAACAATCGTGTACCTGAAATGGATTTTATTCTCAAAATTCACTTCACCATACCTTGCTCAATACAACATATGGCAACGGTTTCAAAAGTTTTGACACATCTTGTAATCCATACATTGGTGGCTTCTTGAAATCTCCATTTCCTTTGAAGAAACCAACGATTTCCTAGAATTTTAGTTCTTTAAATGGTAAAATTTCACGACTTCTATGAGAAAATGGAATAACTGAACGGTGGGTTACTCTCTTCTTCGAACCCACTTGATCAGCCGATGTAAAGAACAGTTGAGCCCATGTGAAAAATGGGAAACCGGCTCCTTCTGGATATGTTGTGATTAACTAAAAGCTAGATATAAAAATATATAACTCTATAAAATTTAAATTAGCATATGTTTAATTTTTCTAATCACCACAAAAGACACCTCACCTGTAATGGAGCGTCTCGAGGCGTGTCTCCGTAGTTTATCACCTAAAATTTTTTTGTCTACATTTGTTTTAATAGAAATTTTTACATTCTTTTCAGCACTAAGCATATTCAATACTTATTCTTTATTTAATATTTAACATATACAATAAAATTTCTCACCTCAATGTGCTCAAAGCCGTCTAACTTTTTCTTCTCGGGTAACGCCTCGGCTGCATCAACAGCAAGGCTAAAAAAATTGCATTTAAATCCGTATCAGCCTCCTAACACAGATATTAGATACAGATATTAAAAATTTTATAAATTAGTTTCTTTATCTATTAACTTTTCATAGAATTTGGTATGTATCTACAATTATAAACTCACGCAGGTGCTTTCACAGCCGCATAATCAGCACAATCCACCTCAAAACGAACCAAAAATTTGTAGTTTCCAAAAGTGTACGAGATCAACTAAATCTCTGAGCTTTTTTTCCTTAAATCGTTCCTTTCAATACTTGAAAATATGGTCCAACAGCAAATTTCCCTCTCGGTTTGCTAATTTTGAATTGGAGATTTTTGTCGAAAGTGCAATGACCGATCTCCATCAAATCTGAGGCTTCAACCCTGAAATTTTTCTAAAGCTGTTTTTTTTGAAGCCATAAACACGAAACCTATTCAACAAAATCGTTCTTCCAACTCGTTCACAATCGATTCGGAATAAACCGTCTCCTGCCTAGAATCTTATTTTGGAATTCATTCGTGTTCTATCATATCTTTGGTACCTATTGATTTTCATTTTGAAATGACTCACCTCCTGTGCAAAAGCGAATAACTTCTGTAAATTGACGGCGTCAGTGATGAAATGATATTGTCCAAAATCCACTGGTTTCTTTCGCTTTTCAGCGAAAAGTTTTGCCGCAAGAATCACTGGATCGAGTGAGCCTTTCTTGATCTAAAAGTTATCGATTATTATAGTTTTTCGCTGAAGAATTACTTCCAGCTCTTATTCCCCACCTTCATATGATTAACATCATAAATGATAACACCATGATCTTGAGGCAATTTCCCACCCGGCCAATGTGTCAACTCTCGAGCGGCTCCTGGGATCTGAAAATTGGGCAATTAATCCAAATCTAATAAAGATTGGCTTCCTTTCGTCCGACTTTCTTCAGATTTCAAAGTTAGGTTATAAAGTTTCTGAGCTTTCTGAGTTATATGTTTTAAGTTTTGAACAATGGTTAAATTTTAATTAAAACCACAAACCATTACTGTTGGTGACTCGTCTTGAAGATGCCATTGATAACTGCCTACCCGTTCAATTTGTTTCGTTGTAGTTGGACCACCCTAAACTCGCATTGACGTTAAGACTGAACTTCTTTATGCTGTAGCCAGTTATCAAAATTTTCAATACTCATGTTTTCTCATATTTACCTTTGCGGAGAGATTCACAAGTGGCAACAATCCGTACGGTTCCTCTTCCAAACCCTCAAACAACCAAAAACCCTGATCAACCATTTGTGTGCTTTGATTCTGAACAAATTTCATTGGGTGCAGGTAATTCAAATAAAATTTAATAATAAATCATAAAATTGGAAAAGAAACGATTCATTGAAGTTTTGAGGAATGAACGTTTGGGATCCATTTCAATAGTTTAGATTGATCACAAACAATAGACATTTTTATTATTCAAAAAGCCATAGCCGATTTATAAAACATATCCACACGAAACAGCTGCTTTAATCCCAAACGAATCGATGAGCCGATCTCCCAAAGTTGTTGACGTTGTTTAGGCCCAGAAAGCTGAGACTCAAAAAGATCAGCCAAAATCACGAAAGAGGAGAACAGATGGCATTGAAACAAAAAGAAAAAAAACATTGAAACTAAAATCGGGGAAAGAAAATAGTTTCAGAGCCTGAGGGTGGAAAAGATTTGGCGGGGGAGTCCCCCTCTTTACACAAAAGATCTCTCTTTTCCCTCTTTAAATATCTTTTCTCTTTTTCGATCTCCCCAAGAAATCTGCTCAAAGACCTAACGATTGAGTGAGGATTTCGTAAATTTTTGTCATAGTGAACGGATCAATTGAGAAAAAGTTGTTAGTGAATCGGTGACGCTAGACTTGGTGAATCAAAATATGCCTCGTACTCTTGTAGTGGTTCAAAATTCGATTTGGTCTAGGTTTATCCACAAGATTTCATATCAGAAAACCTTTGAAACGCGAGTGTATGCAACTTATACAATAAAATTTGGCACGTTTATTAGCACTGGATCTCATCAAATCTTTCCAATCCCTAGACGATGAGAGTCGGATTCGGTGTGTTGTGATGATTTCTCTCGTTCTCATCAAAGACTTCTCTATCACTGTCAAACGAGAATTGTGATACTCCATCATAAGTACCCATTGAGGATTGTCTAAAACAATATTTTAAGGTTTTAAATAGCCTTAACGTTTAAGTTTTTATGTACATTTTTCAGAAGTATCCATTACCAACCTTGACAAAAACGGAGACGAGTTCTCTAGCGAATCCTGGTGCACTTCTTCTGTTACCTGAAAAATGATCTTATATTTGAATTTTAAGAAAAAGAAAAGTCTTATCACTCTTTACAGAAAACAATACCACAATCTCGGGCAAAAATCCATTATATGACCGAGCCCTCGGGAATCGTCCCTTCAACGAAATCGATCCTATGCCTGCAATTGGAGCCGAGTGCATTGAGCGATCTTCTGAAAAGCATTGCGGTTTCAAAAACTCCAAAGATTACTGTGCTGATTCAACACATTCGCGACAATACCATTTTTCAATGTTTTGGCCTCAGAGACCAAAACGATTTTAGCGCCGGATCAACCCGAAAATTCGTCTTTGGAGCTATCAAGGTTGGGAAATCCGAATCCGTCGTTAATTCTCACTTATGAACTCATTAAGCCAGTCAAAGACTTGGGTGCTTCTGGCACATGGCACAAAAATTCCGAAATAACCGGGATTTTTTACAAGAAAATTAATAATGTTGTTAGTTTTCAACATTTTTGGGATCTCTTCACTTTTTATTAGAAGAGATTTCATCTTTTGATACCAAAAGCATCAAAATCAGAAATATACAAATTTTTAGCTTGATCTGTCCATAAATTAGGGCAATTTCATGTGGGACCGGTGGATCCCATTGTCGTGAGTGTGTTAAAACTATAGCCATTCTTTCTATTTTACCATTTTCAGCTCACTTACCCGATCCCGAGGTCGACCTCCGATAACTGAGCCTTCTAATCGAACGGCTCTTCAACTCTGTCAGCCATCTAAACTTTACACATTCGAAAACTTTAACTTTATAAATGAAATTGCAAACTCCCATTCCAACCATCGAACCTTTGTGCACTTTTCTTCGCTTCTCGTAGCTTTCGCTTTTGCCGAGCGTTTTCCTCATTTTCGACACGTACCCGCATTGAAGTAAGCATAAATGTGACCTAAATCTTGTTCTTCAAACAAAGAAGTACTCATTTATAGAGTTTGAATAGAGTTACATCAGTTTGATATCTTTTCCTACCTGATCATCTAAAGTCTCAGTCGGTTTAATTGCTCTAACCATCAACACGACGATCACTGAGGCGAAAATCGAGAGCATCACCACTGTGTAGATGTCAGCACCGACCAAAGCTGCCTAAGATACACATAGAGCAACCAGCTTTCATTGAGTCGATAAAAGACTTACATGTGAGTTCTTGTGCTGTGACCAGATATGATAGTTCACTTGCTTCATTAGAGATCTGAAATGGGTTGCTATGGGTTGGGAAATGGATAATCATGACTTTTTCCTACCTCAATTCCCCATAACATTGTCCACGTGGATCGAGCAAACTCGGGCAATCATTCATCGCTTTTTGTGGGGAATAAAGGTATGGCGGAAGTGAGAGAATGTGTGAATAAGATGAAGTTGTTGACGAGGATGAGTTCATGTCTGAAGTGACAATGTAAGTTTGTCCTAGATAATCCACAACACAAACTTGAATAAAATTCAAAGAAAATTCTCAACATTCTCTGGTCTTTAATTAAAAGGGGCAAATGGCTAGGCTGAGTAGTTCTGGAAAAGAAATTGAAAAGAGAAAAAACAGAATTTCAAAGGAGCAAAAAATAAGTCCAAGAAAAAGATGGGAAATGAACAGCTAAATGAGGAAAATTACTGATGGGGTTCATTTCAGATTAATGAAGGAATATTTTTGAATTAGCCAACCGCATTGTAAGTCAATGATATCAAAATTGGGTTGGCTGAATGTAAACGGGCAATTTTTTACGATAATTTTCTAAACTTACACTCGAATAAACTCGAACAGACTGATTCTTGGTATGCTAGGATTTAGTGCCAGATTTAGGTCTTCAGAAATATATTAAACAATCATATTTGAATGTTTTCAAAAACAATTCTTGATGAAGAACTTTTTTTGCCGAAAAGAGGAAGGGATTTACGAATCGGCGGGCCTCTTTTTCCTTTCTGGATAATGATGTAATTGAATACTTTTATTTTTGAATGTACTGAAAAAACATTATAAAAACGTTTGAGAACTAGTTTTTTTTGTTTTAAGCTGATTTAAGAATTCAATGATTAAGTCTAAAATTGGAGACACGATTAGACAAGCGATTTCGGTGTTTTAAAAACCACCCACACATTTTTTAAGCCACTTTAAGGCACAGAAAATATTAAACCCTTAAAAAGCAAATATGCATGTTTTCCAAAACATGGCATTTTTTAGAACTACCGGAATCCTTACTAAAGCACTCCAAAGTAAACTATTACTATCAGGAATAAACAAACTAATCACAAGCTATTGTAACCAATATATTATATTAATGAAATCAATAAGACGAACTCAAAGTCCATGAAATTATATGATTTGATCTTTTGAAAAGACTTTTTGGGGGAACATTTCTTTTTTCTGATCCATGTGAATCGACCCCATTTTCGGGTTTGGTTACCCGGGTGATTCTCAAAGAAAATCTTCTAAACTTAAGTAAATTTTTTGCATTTTATTTTTCTAAAACGCTATGGAAAAATTATTGCGTCTGTAAAATTTGTTTAGGCATGTAAGAAACTCAGTACCACTTGTCTGAAAATGTCGTCAAGATTTTTGTAGCTTGTAACTGTTATCGCAACTTGTAGCCGTGCAATCAGAGACACGGGATTTCCTTTCAAAGCCACATCGAATCAGATCAGAATGTTTATTTGGAATAATCAAATCAAATATCACATCAATCCAAACTCATAGTGTTTGAACAAAAGCTCATCCTTGGCACTGGCCCATCATGATCGAGACTCATCGAGCCGCATTTACCACCCGATTTTATGAGAGACGCTGAAGAGCCTGCAATTTATTTCAATATAGGTTTTAAATGTTTCTCTACTTGTCTTGTTCAACTAGATTTCCATTGAACTCTTGTTTGAATTGAAGATTCTTTTTTCATCACCTCTACTCCCCGCATCGCCTCTACTACCGCGAACTGATGACTTTCGACGTTGAATCGATGTGGTGGATTGTTTCCGAGATGATGGAGCTAAAATGGAAGCTTCGAGTTTTAATATGTACAAAAATCAGGCCAAAAGCTATGCAAAACCATTGCCATAACTTATGAGAATAGTTTTGCATGGCATGGCTCAAAAGTACGGTCTGGTCTAGCAATTTGATCCTAGTACCAGTCCTGATACAGAAATGTTTACATTGGTTTGTATGGCTTTATCTATTTATCTGTTTTATCACTATACTTACACGATTCAACATTCAGTGAGAAATGTGATCCAATCGATGAACAAACGGAGCCCCGTGGCATCGATAATGACCTAAAGCAGTCTGTGGAATAATTTCTTTCCACTATTTTGTGAAAAAAATGAAAAACCTCACCCTGATCTTGAAGAGTTATAATTCGGTGAGTTCTCAAAATCGTAGAGAAGTGACAAAGCAGGTGTCTTTGAGCGGTAGAAATCAATCGGCATCTCATCAGTCACCACAATTTCCGGGATCTCCGAATTGGAGGAACTAAGATGATTCCAAGTCTAGTAGAAGTGGTAATCCCAATCTGCTTCATCAATATACCTGACAGTTGGTTTCCTTGGTGGTAACAATTGTGGAGTTGTTCTCCATCCTCTCGGTTCTCCATTCTGCGCTTTTGTCAACCATGCAGCTACCTAAATCAAACTTTTTTCTTTTATCTTATCAATTATTAAAAATAAACAGTCTGATTTTTTATGACCTTTGTCTTAGCTTTCAACAATCTCCTTCGTTGTCTTTGTTGAATGTCTAACTCTTCACGAAATCTCATCGCATCAAGGAGCGCTTCCATCTAGAACCAGGTTTTATTAATGAAATAGAGGCAATTGTTTGTGGCATGTGGCTTTAAGGGCTTCTTCACATGAAGTCTGTATCAATATATTTTATAATGGATAGTTATTGGTAGAAGTGATAGGAAAACCAACATCCGAGCAGACCTCAATGGCCGAAGAGGATCTTTTAATCGATCGGAACATCAGCAAAACGATTATTGCGGAAAAGAGGAGAAGCATCGCACATGTGTACACCATTCGACCCATCTCCGGATCATTTGCCCACCAGAATTCCTCTTTTGGTAAAGGGCTGAAAGGATTGTGATAGAAATAGTGAGTAAAAGCTGGCTGGCTTTACAGTACCTTTAATCGTACCATTTGAAATTTTTGAACACAAAGGACCCAATGAATTTCACTCACTTTGTGATACATGATGCGTAGATATCTCGTAAACAGGTACAAGCACTCATTCTGAATTCGATAAAATTCAAAGCTTTGCTTTTTGCAATTTCTGAAACAAATTTATTAAAAAATAAAGATTCGATCAATAAAAATATTAAAAAAAACTAATCCAGAAGATATTTTTGAGGAGAATTCTCTTCTCATTGTTGCTTTTGGGGATTTCTCACGAAAGCCTTTGCTGAAAAGGGGATTAATCAGCGATTTCGTGCCAAAAAAGATGAAAAAATTTTGAGAAAATCTTCGAAATAGAATTGTTCTGAAGAAAATTGAAATTTTGAATGATTTGTTTAGAAGAAGAAAGTGTTTACATAGCTATTGTAGAATGTTTACAATGTCAGAGCTCAAAGGCTACGGTATCCCGGCGAAAAATGTGCTTTCGGTATTTTTCTAAAATGATGCCTTTTAGGTAGTGCATTAGCCAAGATGAACGCACTTTGATACAGATGTTATTTAAATTTTTAAAAACCGCTACAAAAACATTAAATCAAAGAGATGTCAGATGAGGTAAAAGGAAGTTGAAGGAGGCGAGTCGAGGCGGCAATTAGTCCCCTTTTCTCCTCATCGAGTCCCATTCCCCGCTTCTCTCATTTCTTGGCCTCATTTTTTCATTTTTTTTTAAATCTCCATCACAACCTGTTTGTTTCTTTTGGCTTTTTGCGGATTTTGATGAAAAATTGAAAACTCGAGGAGAAGTTGACTTGGAACATGAGTTTTTCAAAATCCAACCTCCATTCAACATTCTAAAGGTTTATCCACAAAGATGAAGGCAAAAAATGATCAATCAAACGCAAAAAAAATAACAAGAGACATGAAACACCCGTAAATGAATAAGTCAGAGAAATGTCAAAACAAAAATTATATAAGCAAGCAAAATATTGAGCTAATCGGGTAATTTCGCTGAAATCGGCTGTCCACTCGGCCGTCGTGGAGTGTCGATTTTCTTCCTGGAAATGAAAAATGCCTATTGGAAATGGTGAAATGGTTCAATTCTTGGAAGCATCTACAACGTCAATACTTTTACGGTTCAAGGCATTTGAGTTCAGGCCAAGATTTGGCCTGGAACAATTGTTTTTGTTCTAACCCTGGACTCATTGACTCACCGTATACTCCTGTTGAGAATCTCTTTCCTGTCGAGTTTCTCCGTTTCTTTCGGTTTCTCCAAAATGTGATTTGCATTTGCTTCGAGATCCGAGAACGAAATTCCGTATTTCTAAACGATAAAGATATTCATTTAATTTAATGCATTCTATAATTTTAGTGCTTTATAGGAAATTGAGCATTCACGGTGCTTTGTGCTCAGGGAAAATTAGGATTTCTATCAACAAAACTTACCCTTTTCAACTCATCCGATGTTTTCTGAAATTTTTTTTAAAAGTTTAAACATTTTTCGGTTCTTTACGGATAACGGGGGGGGGGGGTGGGAAGTTTTTTTTTGGCCAACTTGCAGCTCATTTTTAAACACCTTAAACTTGTCAGATCGGAAAGTTTTAATAAGATTTAGATAGCTTAGAACGTCAGCCGCCAGAAACCATTTGTTTTATTAAAAGTTATTAACAAAAACCTATCTAAAATCGGGGTGCAAGTTGGCCAAAAAACTTACCCCTCCCCCCCGATAATCGCTCGACCCCCCGCTATCCGTAAAGCACCCATTTTTTCTTATTTTTTAAATTGAAAAACCTTTTCGGGTTCTTTGTCTGCATGAATTTTCATATCCTCAGTCTTCATTCGATATTTCCTCAAGTGTTGTCGTTGGGGATGACTCGTCAACTTTGCAGACCCATCCGTGTGTAAAAGCTGAAATTTTGAAAAGACTTATTGGTTTAAAACTAAAGTGTAGATCCTTTACGTGTATGCTCACACAAAAAAACGGATCAACAAAGTATTGAACTATCCGATGCTAACAAAGTTATTAGCAAACTATAGGAATTGGACTTACTTTAACCGTATCGGTCAAGCTCTCCACATAAACGGATGGGACCTGATTGTGAAGTTGATCGACCACGAGGAAGGCTACCTGCAATTATTGGCATTTTGTTCTTCAAATACTATTGGGTTGATCATTTGAACATAGAAAAGGATATAATGCATATTGCGAGAAAAGAATGGTTACACAGAAACAAAGGAGTCAGTTAACCATGATTGCTTATTATTTCCGAACCTCAAGATTTCTATCCAAAATATAATTGAACTCGAAGTCCTCATCGTCGGCTCCAAATGGGAACATTAGATCTTCTCCGACCTAAAAGAATATTGTAAAGATTTTGGTATGCTAATTTTGTAATTAGAAAACACTCTGCACTCACCTTAAGCCATCCGACGTAGAAAAGAAATTGCAATATCGAAAAAATCGGCACAAAACTGAAACGATTAACTTGATGATTTTTCAACGATCAATTATATATCAAAATCGAATTCCCACTTACATATCGACTTTCTCATTGTACAAATTGACACTCGGAAATTGTTGGCCAATTAATGTGAACATGAAATACCCATAAACAGAAATTGTTGAGACCTAAAGAACACAGTTATTAACGTTACCATAAAACTACTGAAATTTATTAAATCAAATCCATTTTTGTTTATTCAACCTGTGTGTAAACGAGTGGAATCGAAATCCAATCGTAGATAAATAATTTGAAGAATTGCGAGCGAAAATTGTCAAGATTATCCAAGAGAACTCGGAGCTCATTTGTGTGTGAAAGGGTGCCCTGTAAATTCAGGAAAAACTATTATACAATCATTTGAAAAATCTGTATCAGATAGCATGTTTGGCGATTGTTTAGTTGAAATATCAATTATGATTGGGGAAATTCGATTTTTAGATCGGTTTAGTTACCGATATATCCTAGACACACTGTATTTGTTATTCGATTCACCTTTTCAAAACACCTCAACATCATCGTTTGTATCCAATTGATGGGCACAAACCATTTCTGAACATTTCTTATTTTATCACATCTTTTTCATTTACCTGATGTGGATCGACTCGAACTTCAGTTTTCTTAAAAAGAGCTAATTCTTCTCTTGTCACCAAACCCGAATTGATTAAATGTTCGTCGGTTGGATACCTGCAAGTGTGTAAGATTTGAATATGCCAGATTCTTACTAATCTTTAGAAAATTTAGACTTTAGGTTTCAGAGCTTTGGAATAACTTTGTAATAAGACTGTTAAAAAATCGTTTGAAAATACAAACTCACCGTTTCAAAACCCTCAAGGAGATACTCCTCCAAGCGAGCACCGATGCGAGAATCGAGTAACGGGCAATGGTTCGACGGATTATTCGCGTTTCTTGCTGAAGTGAGAAATGAGCTTTTTTATTCTTGATTTAGTATTGACAAGCTTAAAATAGGTAGCTATTACTCTCATTCCTCCTTCCAAACTCACATCGGTGCCTCTGACCAGCGCGGAGACATTGAATAGAAGGGTGTCCGGCCATGAAATCAACTGACAACAATCCCACCATCTAAAATATTATACTTTAAACTAGAAATTGTCCCAATTTTCTCATTTTGCATTTCCTTTACTAGAATTTTTCATTTTCCAATCAATCCACCTCCTCACAATCATTGCCACATAAAAACCGAGTAGGAAAGTCAACGGGATTTCTTTGGTCCACGAATCGCACAGAATAATATATTTTTTAAAGGATTTTTGCTGATCCGCCGTCATGAAGAATCTAAAAGCAAAGTTTACAATAAAAAAGCAGAGACAAATGAGCATTTGCAGTACTTATAGGTTGTACCCGCGCAAGAGTACTCTGCACTAGTTACAGTACTCCAACATGGTAGTCCCTATACTTCTAAACCCGTACAGTCTCTTAAGATGGTTTGATACTTTCTACGGTAGCCATATAACAACTAGAGTACACAGCACCTACAAGAGCTTGCGAGAGGTATAACTCACAAGTACCGCATTTGCTTTATGTGGTATGTGATTTATGTGATAAATGTGACAATAAAGTTGTAGCCTCACTCACAAAAATTCACGTTGCAAAAATTTTCGTCAGGTTTACTTGTTGCTAATGGCTTGAAAAGGATCTGGGATGCTCCGATTGGGTCTTACTATTAGGGCCTGTAAGCCAGGCCAGGTCAAGATCACATGACCTGGTCTGGCCTGGTCAGGAAAAGTTGTTTTTGGAACAACCCTGAAAGGATAAACAAGAAAACCTCAAATCTCCACTCACCGATATCCTACATTGATTGCATAGTAAAGAATGAGATAAATGAGTAGTTGTTTCCAGATTGCTTTCCATAAAGATCCTTTCCATCTCAATAGGAGATTCACGAATTTATCCGAGTAACTGATCGTCATCGGTCATCAATGAATAAATCGGTAGAGCTTTAATCTTTTCAGAAATTAACTCCAACAAAGGAATCAAATATTCACGAAAGCAAAGTTTGCATATGACCTCTTGGGTAGATGAGTCAACTGAATTCAACGGAAACTTTAGAGCCTCATCATAGACAAAATAGTTTTGGAGTAGTAAATCCGAAAATAGTTTTGCTTTTCCAATCAATATCCTCAAAATGAATACCCCTGAATGTGCCCGTTTGTGTGTATTGGTTGGGTGCCGAAATGTGATCTTTCTTTTGACTTGGGACTTCAGGTTCAGGGAAGTATTGAAATGAAAAGGAAAAAGAGTGGAAAAAGATAGAGAAAGAATAGATCTGAGACCCGGAGAGATGCCCGTTTGAAAGGAGGTGAGAACGAGGTATCAATCTATCCGATTCCTTTCAGTGAGTTCACTCTTTGGTCCGTGTCTTGTCCCTTTCCCTTCCCTCCCTCACTTCTCGGTTTGTAACAGGCGATGGGAAGAAATTGAGTGACTCTCAGGGAAAAGCAAGGGAATGTGAAAATAAAAGGTGGATTGAAAAAGAAAGATAGGTATTAAAGATTCCTATTTGACTTTGGGATAGATCTGAGCTATTAAAGATCTGGAGCTTTGTTTTTCAATTTGTTTTTAGATTTGTCAGATTATCAGATTAAGAAGGGGCCTTCCCTAAAGAAACTACTTGTTCAACTTATGTTTTGAAAACCAAAAGCTTTATCCAGAATAAATCTTGTCATAACTAATGAAACCAGCGAAATGCTTGCTGACATTATTCGATGAGACTTTTCTCTTGTCACACATAAAATGGCTTGTTGGTGTGGATGAAAAGCGAGCTTATATTGGGGTGAGGGGATCTCCCCTCATCGAATCATTTGTTGTATCTCCGCTCGACTTCTCTTTTCAATTTGCGAGTTGTGTTTGGATGGACAGGTGTTATCTCCTTCCTTCCTATGATTGTCTCTTCTTTTCTGTTCGATTCCTCAATTCCCCTCAATATCTCTACGAAAGACACAAATGAACTCTTTTCGGCAATGAAAATAACGATTGAATGAGCGTTTGGCAAGGAGAGCATAGAATCATCTCAAACTGGGAAATGGGGAAATGGAACCAAAGATTTTCATCTGCAAATGGGACATTCATAGAAAGATTGCAAACATCAAAGAAAACAAGTTTTTAGAATTGTCAATAGAAGCTTTTATCTGTGCATTCTTCGAAACAAAGCTCCACAAACGTTTTCGATAAAAATTTATTAACCCAAGTCACTCAACCACTTTTGTATCAGCCGAGCCATGTTTTTCGGAAGAGATCGTTGATTTGCTCGGAGTTGAGACGCTTGTGGTAGGCCTGAATTTCGAGGAAATCGTGTAACAAAAAACTGAAATTTTTACAAAATCAATAATTAAGATTCAAATTAATTGTAAGATACGTTGTTTTTACTTACGGGAATCATATTGTATGGAGTGGCCCTTCCGGGGAAATCCCTCCACGATTGAGAGTCCGGTGATCGCAGATTGTCCACATTCAACGGTCGTAATCGCTGAAAGATCAGCATTTTGAAGAAAGAGCATAATAATGATTGATTTGGCATTTAGGTATTCAAATTAAATACTAAATTGTGTCAGTTGACATTTCATTTATCTTTCTGAACTCACATATTGTGCCTCGATGAAATCGTAGAGTATTCCAAAGAAACTCAGCAACAATATTCGGAGATTCATTTCTGAATGAAGTATTGTTAGCTAAATATTAAACAAGTTGACAAATAGAATACTGGAATGAGTACTAGGGTTTAAAAATGACATCGAAACAAAAATAAAATCGATTATCTCAAAAAAGATAGCTTTTTAGTAAGACCCTTATTCTGTCTCCTAGCATACTTACAGTATGCCGGAATAAAAAGTTTTCAACCGGCAGGAAAGGGTAACTTTCAAATCCCTCAAGGCAAAAACGTTGAGTACACATTTGTCACTTGAACGAATACTTCTTGATATACTATATCGAGTTAGTTACTTACAATTAGCCTTTACAGAATTGTCAAAAAGGGACCAAACTTCATGTTACCAAAAATAGCCAAATGCTTATACTTTAGGTGAAAGGAAACATAGGGAATAGAAACACTCGTCGTTGACTGAAATGAGGGTAACTAGTGAAGGGAAAGGGAGTGAATAGAAAGGGGAATAGAAGAGGGAATTCATGGCGATAGGGGTGTCCGAATACCCTTCAACCCCCACAAATGAGAAGGCCAGAAGTCTCAATTTCTTTATGTTCAAAAATAACACTTTGAAAACTTGGGGAAATAGCCGATGATTAATCTTGGACTTTATCGGTCACAAAAACTGATAATATGAAGCATTGAAGAATTGAGTGCCCTAGAAAGGACGGGTTTACTTTTTTAAACACAAAGTGCAACCAAAGAACATATCTAATAGTTCAAAACAAAAAAAAACATCGAATCGCCTCTTTTCCTGTTATAGTCTAAAACCAGGAATCATTTAACGAGGTCAAAGAAGAAATGGCTTAATCGTAAAGGAAATCTTTTCTCTGTGACCAGAAAGGGAGCATTCAATTTTGTGCTAGACGGGAAAATGACCCTCGTCATTGCATCAATTTGTCCGGAAAAGTATCTCCTTTGAAATTTGAAGACATTCCATCTTTGTCAAACTAGAGTATGTCTGGATAAATATTTTTTTTTTTTTTTCCTTTTTTTCCCCTTTCTTTTTTTTTTTTTTTTTTTAAAAAAAAAAAAAAAATTTTTTTTTTTTTTTTTTTTTTTTTTTTTTCCCCCCCCCCCCCCCCCCCCCCCCTATTTTTTTTTCCCCTATATACAATAAAAAAACCCCCCCCCCAAAAAAAAAAAAAAACCTACATGAAAAACCCCCCCCCCCTCTCCCCCCCCCCTCCATTCCTTATTTTTTTTTTTTTTTTTTTTTTTCCCCTTTTTTTGCCACCCATTTCTGGGGGTGGGCCCGGGGCCCCCCCCCCCTTTTAATAAAAAACAAAAACCCCCCCCCCCAACCCCCCCCCCCTAAAAAAAAAAAAAAAAAAAAAAAAAAAAAAAAAAATTTTTTAAAAAACCCCTTTTTAAAAAAAAAAAAAAAAAATTTTAAAAAAAAAAAAAAAAAAAAAAAAAAAAAAAAAAAAAAAAAAAAACCCAAAAAAAAAGGCGAAAATTTATGCAAAAACCCAATAGTTCAGTTAACACATCCAGTCTACAAAAATTATCTCAATGAACGCTTTCGGGGTAAGCAAAAGCCCCCAAAATCTCTCTCATTTTTTTCATCGCTCGTCATTATGTGCGGCCATTTTTGGAAACCACCCGGCAATTTCCGGATGCCGAATCGAGAAATGAACAGATACAAAAAGCTTGAAGCTTGAATCGAAAATTTCAATGGTATCTAGTTTTTTAAAATGCAAAGCTCTACCGATGAGTAATGTAGTGAATTACAGTAAAATGAGAAAAGGTCAAGTTCCGAGCCCTAGCTCTGGGTCTAAATGTAAAGCTCTTTCAGCTCTGGGTCTAAATGTAAAGCTGGAATTTGAAGATGGAATATCTTCAAATTTCAAACGAGTTACTTATCCAGACAATGGAATTGATTGCGAAGTTAATGAAAGTGAATTGTATAAACTAGTAAAAAGCTGACAATGGATATGGATATATAAAGTGCAGTCGAGTGCGCACATGAACCATTTTATCTATTCGTAAATCTGAGGAGGAGCTTGTGCGCGGGGATTAGCGTGTTGTGTGGGAATCATTCAGAGAAGATCTCTTCACTGAATGAGATCCACCCTCACTCAATAACAAAAAGAAGTATCCATCTATAGAGATTGTTGGTGATTCTCTTTGTGTTTATGCCCTTGTTGATGTTGATTGATCTTTCAGTCTACACGAAAGGCAAAAAAAGAGACTTCCTGTAATTTGGGCGGTGTTGACGCCATTCTCCGAGATTGGCATAGAAGCATGAGATGACATTCATTTTCGACGATCATGACGTGGAAGGTTCAATGTTCTAAAAATAAATCTATAAATCTAAGTACGTGCAAAAGCGAGATTCTCAAACTTGGCATTGATATGGTTTTTGAGATCGTCCGCAATTTATGTTGTATGGAGTGAAAGGGAAAGGATTCATTTTAAGGTTTCTGGGCATTAGGTTAGAAACGTTTTTAAATGAGATTTTGGTTGCCTTAACTGAATAACATTGCATTGTTTACTTTGGCCTCAAAGGTAGATACGTTAATGTGTCTTTTAATTTGTAGGAAAATCCAGAAGCTAGAAAGTACGTTCTGGCAGAAAAATGTATAGCTTGAATTTGCTTGCTTGTTTGTTTGTTCTAACGCGCAATGCCAGTCCGTTTGAATTTTCAACAAAAGTGAAAGATATTCAGTTAAAGTCTTCCCCTTTCTCATTTCCCTTCATTAAAGCCCTTCACTTTTCCGTGGATCTCTTATCGTAGCCCCCAAAAATTTGTATTTTGTATTTGCTCGTTCTCTTCAGGAGTTGGATTTAACACGTTGTCATCGTCGAAATCTTAAGATTTACCTCGTAAAATTGATAGTACGTGTAGAAATTCCTTCATATTTTCCTTTTAGTCCACACATGTAGTTTTTAAAAGTTTGCAAATTATAAGCGTTCCTAATTTTACAGCAATAGCTCTTCCCTGAAATTTTCTAAAAGTATCATTCATGTTTGCTGCTTATTTTATGGCTTCTACAATACTATTTTGTTTTTAGATCGATTTACCAGGAAGTGCCACCAATCTTTCGTCATCATGATGAATTTCGAAGTGAGCACAACAAAACGTGGGTTTGCGCTTTTCCATTTGAAACATTAGTATGATAATATTAAAAGTAGGCAATCATGGACTTGTATCGTGTAAAGACTTTTTTTAAAAAGTTATATACTTTCTCTTGTAGAGATCGGTGTCGGTTTGACGGGATTTGGAATATTCTTTATTTTCCTCGGGATACTACTTTTCCTTGATGCGGCTCTGCTTGCGATCGGAAATGTAAGAGTTTTATGTATAACAAAGTATTACACATTAAAAGTTTGGCATTACTAGATTGTTATAAAAATCTCATTAGATGGCACGAAATTTGCAACAGATTTCACAAATTAAAAGAGATTTAAATGCACCACGTTTCATCTACTAAAGTAATCGCAATTTTCTATTTCTTTAGTTACTCTTTATCGTTGGAATTACGTTTATTATCGGAGTACAACGAACAATGGTTTTCTTCTTTGAGTGGCGAAAGTTAAAGGTCGGTTTTGTGTTTTTTAAAACCTGCTTGTATTGATAGGTTTTAATTTTTTTTAAATTTAGACAGGTTTTTGTTTGCGATCAATCCCTGTTTTTTAGGGTAGTGCTCTATTCTTTGGCGGCATTTTAACGGTGCTCATCGGATGGCCACTTATTGGAATTCTTCTCGAATGTTGGGGCTTCATTTTGCTTTTCGGGTCAGTTTTTGAACAATTTCATGTATTTTACGAATTGCACTTTTAAAGGTCATACCTTATCAAAGACTAATTTCACTTTTAAAGGTCCCAATTGATGAAGAATTAGTCATACATCGTTTCATTTGTTTCATTGCAGTGGTTTCCTGCCCGGCATCGTCAATCTACTCAGGAGTATCCCATTCATCAGTTGGATTACATATTTGCCCGGAATTAGACAGGTAAGATTAATGTGAGATACTTTATTTGTGATAACACTAGGACTAGTTGAGAAGGAGACATGCGAGTTTTGGAATCTGATACACTCGTATTTAGACATGTTACTGGCTTAGTCAAAATGCCGAGAGCAGTCACTAAAATTCCCCAACGTGTTAGTTGTTGTGCTTTTTGCAATTCATATTGCTTAGGTTCTCGATCGACTCGCACCCGAGCACAAGTATCCGGTATAAGGCGGTGATCTTCTAAACATTCAACTGCAGCATCCTCCCGGCGGCCATCCTTTTCCGATACGGTCTTTTTTATGTCAACCTAAGGTTTTTTGGCCTTATGAGTATAGCCTTATTTATTATTTTTGTTTGTACGAGGTTTTTAATTGAAAAATTTATGTACTATGCTGTTATACCAAACAGAACGTTTTACTACGTAATATGCATATTTTATACCTTGATAAAGGTATAAAACAGCCTTGATAAAGTTCATTTTTAAAAGCGTAATAACCCAAATTGTCTACTTTAGATGAAAAACGTTTGGCTATAATAGCATAGTACCTAAATTTTATAAAAACGTTCGGCGGTTCTTTGTATCATCGATAATGCAATCTTTCGCCAAACGTTTTTTGTAAAATTTCATTTACAGTTCTCCACATTAGCCCGTATATTTGTATGCTGTTCCGATGAAATTTTTTTAGGCCGCCCTCTCCATTTTGCGGGTGTAATTTTTGTTGTTTAATTAATTTTTGATTTTTTGTTAAGTAACATTATTTTCTTCCATCTCAACCTCACTTGTGCATATAGGAAAATGTGATTTTTCTCTTTTGTTTATAGAGTGTGATCGATTTCTTTTTTTGGTGAAAAAGTTTATTTATTATGTATTTGTTTGTGATCAGGAAAAGAATTTATATAAGCGTTTTAAAATAACATACATTTAGATTAAATTAACCCTGAAAAAGTCTAATCCTCGTGAGAACACAAAATCGAAAACGCAATTGAGCTAATTTCTCTCATCGGTGGGACTTTTACGATAATTTTGGGTTTGAGGGAAATTTTCTTCAGCTTTACACCCACATTAAACCACCTGGTTTCTTTTTGATGAGAGAGTCAATTTTTGAATAGGCTCTAATTACAGAGATCTCAGGAGAATTGATTGTGATGAAGCAAGCTTCTCTGAAAAGTGTCATATATAAGTTTGTATAGAAATCAGTTTTCGCATTTTAAACGATAAATCTTTGGAACTTTTGATATTTATTCTCCCCAAACCACAGGAAAATTTTGGGGGTTTCCCCTCGTTTTTCATGCTTGAAAGCTATATAAGCTATATGTTTAATTTAGGCTATTTTAAGTCGCTTAACCAAGAAAAGACACTAACCTTACTTTCCAATAAAAAAGGTGTTGTTTTTGGTGTCATTTTGTTGCACTTATTGGGATCTACAAAATGACACCAAAATCATAAAGATCGACCCACTTAGAACAAAGTTATGGCGAGTTGCGCAAATGGTCCTTTTGCGGAAATTAGCCTACCCCCAAATCTCAAATTGGTACCCCATCAATGGGTGAATGTGAAAGCGAGAGTCATTTACCTATCACAGGACGCCACACTCATTCAAATCGAGAGGGTGGGAGAGTGTTTCCTTTTAACTCTTTCTTCTCCTCAACTTCTTTTCCCGGGACTTCTCTTCTCTCTTTTTTAACGGGACTCATATGTGAGGCACGCCCAGTCTCCTTTTCCCACCCTCCTCCGGCCACTTTGAGACCTTTTCGGTTTCCTTAAAATTTCACCTCATACTACTGCACTATGACACCGATTTTGTTCTTATGGGTTGCGTTTTGTAGGCTAAAAGCTAAATAGGGGCATTCACCGAAAAATTTATCTATAAGTAAATTATCGAATTGCTCCTGCTTTTCCCATGACAACTCAAATAGGTATGCAAAATTCTTTGAAGGGAAAAATCAAAGCATTGATCACCGCTTACATCACCATTCCCTTGCATATTCTATCCCAAACTCACTTGACGAGTACTTTTCTCGAATGTTTTGTGGTTAACGGGAGCTTTTCTCTCTAAGTCCTTTTGCTACCTTTTCTCTATCACCCATCTGTTCATCTGTTCGCTTTGGCCATCATCGCTTTTACCCTTTCTTCCATTCCTGAAAGCTTTCCCCTTTTCTTTTTCACCAAAAACAATAGGAACCTCCATTTGCCCGCTTCTCTCATCCTCATCCTTCCAAAGTTTAATTAGAACCCGATTCTTTTGCTAGGACCAAAGTTTGAGGAGAACCTACGAAATTCAAAGAGTTCATGGAACCTCTGATGCAAGCCTGGTCAAAGCCACTGCACTTTGAATTCTGTTGTACCTTTGAAATATCTTTGGGTTGCCTTTTGCCATACCAAAGCTTGAGTCCTGAATCCTTTTGCATTTCGTAGTACTTTCGATATTTTTGTTGGCATGGTTGGGAGTGAGTCGAGTGTAACATGAGCTCTTCCATGTCTTTTCCCTCTTTCCTCGGTTTATATGCTAAAATATTTGGGTTTTTTTCGAGCTTTACGAATGTTTCTGATTCTTTCAACGATCCATTAAAAGTTTTTAATCATTTTGTTCATGACGTTGAACTGACACCAAGATACAATTGAATCTTCCAATAAACTAAAACTTTAAAGACAAACGCCTCCTATGTATCTCAAGTATATTCTTAAACTAATTGATATGGATTTTAAATGCAGTGTCTTGGTAGTTGTTTACTGTATAATGAAACATCAACATTTTTCAATGTTCCGAACTTTTCTTCATTTTCATGATCATTTTCAGGGAGGCCTTTATCTAACTTCTCCAAGTATTGTTTACCCAAAAAGTCACATTGTGAGCGAGAGTGATGGGTGTGTCTTTTTGCTTCAAGAGTTTGAATGAGATTTCCCTGGATGGGTGTCATTTTCCTGCCTCATCTCTATGCTATTTGTGGGTCGAATGGGTGAGAGAAAGGAAGACCCCTCCCCGCGTACACATTTCGACCGACCCTTTAGTGAAGAGAAAGCCTTTCTTTTTCTTACCCCCTTCTCCTTCTTCGGGGTGAATTCGATTGTTCAATTGCCCCTTTCCCCCCTCGTTTCCTTTTGCTCGAATGCAACCACTGAAATGGGCACTAGTGCCTGCCTGCCTGCCTGCCTGCTTGCCTAGCTTAGTCCCTTCTTACTCTTGTCTCTTCCTTCTCTTTTCCACTAATCATTGAATGTCATTTGCATTGATTCTTTTCGAGTCTCTTTTGAGGATTCTAAATTTTCTATGTTCAACGAATGTTTATTTCATTCGCACAATTGTTTCTCTATTTCCACCTCAAAATCCACACTCATTTCACTCAAAAATGCATCAGAAAAGGCAGGCAAAAACCTCGTAAAACTTTGCCGAGCGATACTCGAGTTTCTACCGCAAAAGAAACAAATGCATTCATGATGAAGAAGCGGGCAAATTTTGAGACATTTGGCTCTTTCGAATGTAAAGGTACACATTTTATTGCATATCTACTTGGCTAAAATAAATCCAAATCAAATTTAGAATGTTTGTCTAAAGTGAATAGAACAGTAAGCGATTTCCATGCTAGTTGTAACAAAGCAAGTTGACTGGCTCATCTCAAACTCTTTCACTTTCAATTTTATATAATACGCACGTTTATCCCTCTTTCGGTCCATAAGAGTCGTTTCCTTGAATATTCATAAATGTTAAAGAAAGGGCTTTGAGAAAAAGGAGAATGAAAGAAGAGGAAGGTCTTTTGCTTGTGGTTGAAGGGGAGAGTTCGGGTAGAAACAAGAGGGAAAAAAGGTAAAAGGGGAAATGATCCTCGAAACGGCTCGCTTATGAGAACCCCTCGTCTTTCACTCTCATAAGGAGAAAAACCCACATTACGAGTATTGAAGATTTATTCCATTTTTGTTTTGTTTTCAAAGTTCCATGTAAAACTTTGATGCAATACGGCTATAGTGAAAGAAAAATATAGAAAGTAAGCTGCTCATACTATCAACTCTGACCTAAAAGTCACAAGGACTCAACCTCGATGTTATTTCAGTCCTTAATTCTCCATTTGCTAAGCTATGCATTTGACAAGAATGACTTTTTTTTGAGTTGTTTTTCCTTCAACATGTTTTTTCCTTTGCTTCTATACCTCACTCCTTCAAAATCCAATTTATAGCCGAAAACAATTTTGCGCACCAATGCAACAGCCACCAATCGACTTTCACGAGCATCATCCTGAACCAAATGGAGTGGTGTGTTTCGTTTTAAATAAAAAACAAGCTAGGTAGATAGTTTTCTACTTTTGCTACTTTTGAAAATACCGTAAGTCTGAATAATATTGAAGCCTGTCTCGCTAGGTAAGATCTTACAGTAGCCCATTTTACAATGCGGATAAAAACCTTAAAAGTTTTTTTAAACTTAAATTTTTGAAAGTTTTTCGGTGTTATCGAAATTTTTAAGCTACGAGTTAATACGTTTAATTTTTTAGTGTAACGGTTCTCTAATGCCCTCTTGCAGTAAAGATGGTCTTCATGAAAGTGACGAGGACGAGGAAGTCTCACAGGTTAATCATTCCACAAAAAGAACTCATTTTTTGCCGACAAACTCAATTTTCTAAATTTCGTTTCCTTTGACGCTTTCACTCCAAAAGCACTCATTTTTGTGGTTCTCGTCAAATGACATGTCTCCATGTCCATTTGTCTCCATGCAAGGGTCGATTTCGTTGCTCTGTACAAATTTTGGAATTCTTTGATTTGAAAAGTGAAAAACGAAAGAAATGGGTTTTTAGGTGTTCTCGAAGATTCACTGTTTGATCCCGAGTAAGTCACAAGTGCTGTATTATCTCTCATCGTCCACGAACTTTCGAATCGTTCGATCAGGACCCGATCTACAAGTTAGTTTAACTGGTATAACGCTCCATGATATTTTGATGGCGTATAACTAGCCAGTAGTACTAAAAACAGTCAATAGCTAACGATTTTATCAAATTTTCAGGTCACCGATCGATCATGTTTTCCACTGTTAGACATTTGGCCTGAACGTGCGTGTTGTTCCGAATTATGGCTTGTCGAATCATACGGAAGCCAAGTTTTGGTTAGAAAATGTCTAAATGTCGGTGAAAAACAAAAGAATGCCAGATGGTCGCTGACCGATCATCAAATGGATGGTCGCCGTTCAGACGGAACACAACTAATGTGCAAACAGCCACCGATTGGAATGGTGACATAGTTGGACACCTATTGCCTGGTAACGCTTCCAAATTTTGTTATGCATTCACCAAGTTCTTCCTCCCAAAGTAACGAGAACTTTTGCAGGGAACCCATTTCTCATCCAAAATGCGAACAGGACAACTATTGCGAGATGTGTGACTGTTGAATGTGGAGAGCCAAGGTATGTTTAATAACCCGACTTTGTCTAATAGCTCGATTTAATATCTTAGAATTTTTAGAGAACTTTCTGATTCCCACTGTCTTTTAGGATTCCAATTCAAAAATTAACACCAATTAATAGCAAAAAAACATAGGACCAACAGCACCAATTAATATTGCTTTAGTAATCGGGACGAATGGTCGTGTCTTCTTGAAGCCACCGGACGAGAGGCTGCCCGTTTAGACTCAGCCGGAAATCTGTCATTCACCTGCGAGGTATGCAAGGTATTAAGTATCAAGCTAGAAAATTTTCAGGTTGGATTTCAACTTAAACTGCTCATTGTGATTGCTTTGGCAAGAACAAGAGCTACACGGCCACCACAACCGATGTGCTGGCCATTTTGGTTTCAATAAAATATACTACAACATATTAACGGGTTGTATCCATCGTCTTTTTTATTTAGCATAAATAAATATTTTATTCATAACAACATTGATGTAAGTGTAAATGACAAACTTTCATGTGGTTCGGCTTTGAGCGTCTTCACTTTTCCATTTGAAGTCCTATAGGCGATAGGAAGAAATGGTGAGTTATTGAAGACAATCAGCTCGGGTATTTCAGTGCCTTGTTGCAAAAGAGCAATTCCACCTACAAGCTGCATATTTTACGAGTGAAATTTCAGCTAACCTGCAATAAGCTGTTCTTTCGAAAAATAGCGCATCCATTTTGAATTGGTAAAGTTGACATCGATCCACCGCGAAACGATTTCTGTTGGTGTTTGATCAATCGACCTACAATGAAAAATGACACCTAATATACGCAGAAACTCACATGTCCAACAAAGACACCCCCACGCCTCGTGCCATGCTGCACCTTGTAATGGCCTCACCCAATCCAGTAATTGCCACAGCAACACGAGACGATGAACCTGCTAGTAGTTTTAAAAAAAAATAAGTAGGTAAACAGTCATGATTAAATTTAAAATGGCCCTAACTAACACAATACCTGCAGTTACTTGGACAAATTTTTTTATACTAAAAACTTACGAGTTTCCGCCCAAACACCAGCACCCCAAATTGGAGACTGACCCACGCGCCCTGGGTGCTTCAAAATAATACCACCACTGGACGAGCAAGCAATACAATTTCCCTCGTCCTAAATTTGAAATTGTATGTAATAGGATTTTCAACTCACAGTAATTTCTACGGCACCAACTGTATCCAAAGTTTGTTTTACAGGTGAACCAACGTGTTCCTCTAAAACAAAATTTAAGATCATTGAGTGTCGCTTACGGGTACTTTTCGTTAATGCTTTTGCTTTAGTCCAAGATCGTAAACACTTTTGATTGACTAACTCCTTCGGATCACACAATTGCATGCCTAAAAAGCGTAGTTTATAAAAAGCTTCAAATTTACACCTAGAGATTTCGCATAATTTGATGCTTGCGCTCCGGCCAAAAAGTTTGGTGCAACAAGTCCTTGTAGTTGAGTACAGTTGTTAGCAACGGCAGCCGCTATAATAAAAAGTTGATCATAAGTTGACCAGAGCTTGCCTCACCTAATTGAGAGGGTGATCTGATATCGGAAAGGCCTGCGACACCACCGAAACGACCATCCGAGAACATCACTCTTCAAAATGAACTCTAGATTACAAGCTCATATTTAACGCCAGAAAATCTGCGTGCATTGAAAGAAAACTTTTTGAGTACCACTTCGTTGACAAATTGTTGACCCTGCAATTCAGCTAACTTTTCCATCAAATAAAGTGGTTCTGCATTTAGGAAAATCCGTTTTTTTCGTGATCGCCTCGGCATGTTGTAAAGCAGACACGCTCGAGTCAATGCTCACACGTATGAGGGTTGTGGCTGTTCACTTTTAAAAAATACCGACTGGGGCTACCAGTGGTGAATTTATCGCATACACGAAATATATCAATCACAATACAACGACACACACAATACTAGGCTATATCTTAACTTAACCCACGTCATGACAGACGGCTCCCTAACCCTAAGCTCAATGGGGAACTAAATAGCTTTTTTGGTGGTGAAGGGAAGATGACGATGAAGGAGTGGCTTGTCACTTTAAAGAATTGGGGCCACAACCACCAGACTGCCCTCCAGAAAACCTCTCAACCCGAAGGGAAAGGAAATCCGAAGGGGGTGACCATGTCGCATGTGGGGTTCGAACCCTCGACCTTCCGATTAAGATAAAAGACACTTAACCAGTCAGCCACACGTGCTATCCACACACTATGCCACACGTGCTTTTTATGAAAAAACACTAATAGTAAGTGGTCTCTTAATAATGTAAAACTTTCCGAGAAGTCGATTTCAATATAATAGCGCCTATCAAGTGGGGATGCACTTAGGCAGGTCCGGGAGGGGGTCTGTTCTGCAAGCTCGCCGGGAGGTAGTTGGGGTGGAACCCGCGCTATCTCTAGAGAGCTTGCAGAACTGACCCCCTCCCGGACCTGCCTACGTTCACCCCGGATGACACGCGCTATCAACCACCGGGACAACCTTTGCCCAGTCGAAGAAGTTGGATCCACTTTAGACAGTTCGGGCTCCACCCCAACTAGTTCCCGGCAAGCTTGCAGCACTGACCCCCTCTCTGGCCTGTCTAAGTGGGTCCCCGCTTGATAGGCGCTATTATCTTGAAATCGACTTCTCGGAAAATTCCACATATATACCACTTACAATTAGTGTTTTTTCATAAAAAGTGAATAGCCACAACTCTCAAACGGTAACTCTCGAACTTTCGAACCCCCGAGCGTGTGTGCTTTACAACATGCCGACCGCCTTATTTGGTTGTCAAGTTGTTGAGATGGCAAAATACCATTTATCTTTAATATAGAAAGCTCTAAAATATAATTGCCAAAAAAAACTAACCCAGACTCGCATTCGATGTTACCCTCCCAATTTAGACTCGAGCCACAACCAGCGTTAAAAGACCCATCTTGCTCTAAATGCTAAACAGCAACAATGTGAAAATTTATTGGAAAAGGTACCATCACTGTTCCGAGGGCGGTTTTTCCATCGCGGAGAGCCGACGCACACCTTTTCAGCAAATCATCGGAGCTTCCGAATGTCGCTCCACCATGACAAGCTATCCAACTATAGCAAATTTAATTAGTGATTATACGAGCAATGACAATTAAATTTTTAACGTCAGAGTTAATGAGTCTTACTGTATTTAACGAAGCCGAAAACTTAACCTCATCGACTTCAATGTCCGCGAATGTACTGTGTCCAAAAGTCTAAATGAGAGAATAAAAATTTCCAATATTTACAATTCCGCTTTCAAAATAATTTTGACCTTGATATCAACTGACTGTATTGGTTAAACATTAAACATTTCTTTATTTAAGCAAACAATCTGAAAAATTGTTTAATGATCACAGAAGGTTAAGACCTAACAAATGTAGACAGCTAAAAAACCAAAAAGCAACAAACATGACACGAAACACAAAATTAAGTTGATTTATACGGCACTCGTAGAAGTTCACTGAAATTCTTGATTGCGTCTGGCCCACGTACCTAAAATAGACTAAATTTATTTTAAGTTTAAAAGAAACCTCTTTCTCCAGAAGGGGCAACTTTGTCACATGAAAGTCTTCGTACAGATCACCAATCTACAAGTTTAGAATTTCGGGGACAAAAGTAAAACAAACCTGCTCCAAATACTTTGACTGAATGTTGTGACGTGATTGACATTTCTTACATTGCACACAACCCTTCTCGTCTTTATCCGGATACAAGAGTTGATTCACAATGATATTGTGAGTGTCAATATCCTGAATTCGAAATAAGAAACTAATCACCAAAGAATACCTGTTTTGTGAGCTCTTGGATCAAACGTTCCGTTTCGTACAAAGAGAGAAACTCGGCAATGCACACGCAAACAAATGTAGTTAACTCCTAAAAGAAATGGAATGGTATGTTTCGACAAAAAATATACAGGGTTTTTGAATTGGGCATTCATGTTGCGCACAATTTCCAGCGTTTCCTTTAGTTTGTTAACGGTCTCATCAATATTCATTTCACCCGCTCCCATCAAAGTGGAAACCTAAAGGTAAAAATCTTAAATAAGATTAAAACCAAAACTTGTGAGATCATAGGAGCGAACGATGACTGAAGTTGGAGAATTTTCGTGAAAGCTTGCTCAATCGTTGATGGAAACTAAAATTGATAAGTTGTGTGAGAAACAAGTTTTACACTTGAAGAAGTCGCAAGGTGTGTCCGGTTGGAGCTGTGTCGAAGACGACGACATCAAAATCCATATTCGTAATAAGTCTAAAGTCTATTTATAAGTTTTAAAAGATAGTATTACTTCATCATTTCGGAAAAGCTCATTGCTTCGTCAATTCCCGGTAACCCGCCAGCCATACTTTGTAAAAGCTTCTTTCCAGCGCCAAGCATATTGTTTTCTAAAGTATTCAGTGGGATTTATTTTATAAGATTGGTTGCCAACCATTCTCAGGTAATCCTTCAAGTCCCGGCATGCTATCGCTTTCAGTGGCGCCTTTTGAATCAATTTCCTAAAAGCAAAAAAAATCAGGGAAAATAAATTCACCAACCATTGCAAAAAGATTTTCGAATCCATTCACTTTTTGAGGCGTCTTGCTAAACTGTTGGTTGAAGGCGTCGGAGATGTTGTGAGCTGGGTCAGTTGATATCAACAGCACATTACGTCGCACTGCGGCCAGTTGCGTAGCAAGTGAGCAACTAAAACATTAAAGTCACTTAACCGCATAATCCCCAATATTCAATTTACCCGTTTTTAATCTAAAGATTCAGTACCTGCAAGTGGTCTTGCCAACGCCTCCTTTGCCGCCAACGAAGATCCACTTCAGTGAATGTTGATCGATCACGTTTCGGAGTGAGGGCTCCAAGCCAGTCATTTCTGAAATTCAAAACAAAATTTTATCACAATTTTTTGAAGGCAGCAATACAAATATTCCTAGGAGAAACCACAGAATTAAAAAGAGGAAAAGAGATCGCAGAATGACCAGCATCACGTATATATTGTACTCTATCATCAACAATACAAGACTCAATAAGAGGAGCAATCATGATTCGGAGTGCCAAAATCGAAAGAAATGAGGATGTTGACCTTTTTACAAAATCATCAATATCAAGATCCATGGATGATAAAGTATTTTTAACGGGTTCTAGAAGTTCAGGATAAGGCTTTAGCATTTCATGAATGTACGATCCAAATTCAAGATTTGCCGACGCAGAAACTCCGTGAAAAGGTAGATGACGAACAGGGCCATTTAGTTGATCTATCGTAGATCGAACAACAATCCATTCTAGCAATGCGCGGAAAATTTGTTGTCGTATGTCGAAATCTTCTGAAGCCATATACTGCTCGCGCGCGTAACACGCTAATTCACGTGCCGCGTAGGTAAAACTTGATGTAAGCCCATTCGACAGTGGATAACCAAGCGTTTCAATGTTGCAGTCCATTGTTTCTGCGCATTTCCCCCACTTTTGCTGATATAATTTGTCAGCACCTGCGTTTAGTTTGTGATAGCAACAGCCAAACAATATTAAACAGGTAATTTGTGGATGTTTCGTAAACATCCGAATTATGGTCGATGAGAGATCTCCACATGCGTGTACCCCAACCAAACAAACACCAGCGTCTTCGCCTGGAATTTTCGTTTCGGCATTTAAAGAAACATATTCGGCCTTTCTTTCAGGTTTAATCCACGTGGATTCATCCGAAACCAGGAGAGAACTAAATTTTGAATCCAGCTTCCTAGCTGCAGATACTAATTTTTCATTTCCTTCAATTGAATGCACTCGAACAGGCAAACTCATCGATATTGCTCTTGTCAAGTGTCCGACGCCGGCTCCGATGTCCACAACATTTTCAAATTGGGACTTCAACCTTGCGCATCGTATCACTTCCAGAATTCGTTCAATTTCGTGCAATTTTTTAGCCTTGATCTTCCGTTTTAGTTCAATTGATAAGGATAGCGAGAAATCCGGCATCAGCTCATCGCTTTTCTCATTAATCTCAAAAAGACTCAACAAATCCTCGGGACGACCAACGTGAACTCGAGCTGTGCTGAGCGATGAAGCGAGAACCCGTAGAGCAAGTAAACCTAGCGGTTGTGGTTGATTCAGATGGCTGGGTGTTCGACTTGGATCGCAGAACTCGATGATTGATTCGTTTCCCAATGATGAAAAGAATTCTTGCCAACATCGAGGAAGGAGTCGCTCAAATGGTCGATCGATGAAGAAGTCTACCATATACTGGGAGGCAAGCGCTTGCACCAAGTTCTCGCCTTGATTCATTGGCCTATAAAAGATCACCATTATAAACTGTTGAAAGGGCTTGATCCAAGTCAGTAAAAAAAAATAAAGCTTTTAATTTGAACCAGTTTCAATTTTGTGGGAATTTTCATTTAAAGGGAGCAATGCATAAAAAAGGATAGTTTGTCCTCACAATTTTTGTGCTATTTATTTCCACAAAATTGAAAGTTATTCAATTATAAGACAGAAGACTTAAAAATGCAAAAAAAATGAGTGACTTTGAATAAAATTGCGCCTCCACCACTGCACAAGCAACATCTCTACTCCCTCATTTCAGTACAAACTTTTCTCTGTCTTTCAAAGCAAGATTAAGTCATTTCTCCATTTCCCCACCGAGATTTAAAAAATTAACCTTCTAAAAACGTATAAAACTTTGCACTCTAATTGGGATCTAGTTTCTAGCGCGATAGGTTTATCGTAAAGCATCTCGGAATTTATTTTTCAAATCAGATTAGCACTCATCAAACTTTACAAAATAAATTTGCGCTCCTTTTAGTTACCTGACGTTAATGCTTTCGTTGGAGTTCTTTAAATTCAATTTTGTATAAGGATCTATTAATGAATAACTGAGGAACTAATGGTGCCCTTTGTTCTTGCTTTTATTCAGTTCGAACAATTATTTTGTTTCTTTCACTACGATATGATTTTTCTTTTTTCAGGTTCTTGGCGACCCAGTCGATGGCACATCCCTCTCTGAGTGAAACCTGGGAGAGTAGCATCACAGGGAAAGTGGGCCACAATCGACCAAGACTCAACCTCGACAGCACAGCTCTACTCGATGTTACTAATGATCCGTTTCATGCTCAACGAAATCTCACACTCTCGCCTATCCTTCGGCCTCGCTCGCCGAAATATTTTGCGAGTCGCGATTCGTCTGCACTTTTTGATGAGGAGACGAATATAGACTCGGAGGATTCGCAATTCGAAAAGGTTATTGGAGAAGCGAATCATTGCTCCCCAAGCACTTCCACTCCATCACGAGCAACAAGGAGCGGCATCTACAATCCTTTCGAGAAGCACCTTGCTAGTCGTTTGATGCATAACACGATGAGTCCATCAATCTTCGAGTCTTTGGAGAACATGCCGCCGACTCCGGAGACGCCGTGCTCAACAAGCTTTTCTTGGTCAATTGAACAAATGGCGTTGTTGAACCCGGCTGAAATCACTGATGTAGAAATTGCAAATTCAGCATTTTCGCCGGATCCAGCTCTGGAGGCACAATATCGTGCTGCGGCGGATATTTATTGGAACAGTGGGGTACTCTACGTTCCCTCACCGGAAGGCCCCGGGCCAATGCTTGTTTCAAAAACTCCGCTAGCTGATGTGGTGAGACTACGTGCTGCAAGACTGGCTGCGGCGGCTGGAAGCATGAGCAAGGCACAAGTTGAAACTCCTGTTTGCAAAACATCAAAAAAGCGACGAAGCTCTTCACTGCGTTCCGGTGCTCAAGGCCAGAAGCGCCATTGTGGGACACAAACGGCATGCACAATTTCACCAAATATCGACTTTGATTTTGCTGCAATCTTGGGAGAAGCCTCGGTTTTTCACGATGTGCAAGTTGATGCCGGTGAGGAGTTCGAACCAAACTCATCGATTGGCTCACTACGAAGAAGACTCTTTGCTGAAGATGATGATTCCTGCTTGAGTGATTCCCCGAATCAGGACCTCACGAAAAGCCATTTAAAAGTTGATTTGGATGGTAATTCTTTTATAACTAGTCCGGAAAATTACTTTCCCAGTCTTTCCCCAATTTGCCCAAAAGATGAGCTTTGAATTGTGAATTTTTTTATGTTTGTCGGATCTCGGCTATTTTTATCTTATTACTTACCTCATTCCGACCATTTTAGTGAAGTGAGCTTAGTTGAATCAAAGTGATTAAGTATAAGCGCTAATGCTATTAAAATATTATTTTGTACGAACTCTAAATTTATGATTTTAAAAAGTATATTTTCTCGCTTTTCTAGAATTTTCATTTAGCTGACTGTTTGACTGTCTCAATAAAAACTTTAGGAGAGTGCTCGATATGGCTGAGACACCTCAATCATCACCGCCACCATCACAGCCATCATCAAATCCTGGTTCGTATGATGAGTTACACCGAAAGGCCAGGGATATTTTTCCCACTTGCTTCGAGGGAGCCAAAGTGATCGTTCAGAAAGGGTTGTCCTCGCATTTTCAAGTAAGTTCTTGAATTTTCAAGTAACGTTGATTTCAGCATCTTTTGTGATTTAACTTATATTTTAAGGTTTCCCATACGCTTTCGCTCTCTCCGATGAATACTGGTTACAAGTTCGGAGCCACTTATGTAGGACACAAGCAGCTCGGGCCACAAGAAGCTTTTCCAATTTTTCTTGGGGATACTGATGTGGCAGGTATAATTCTTTGTTAACTTCATCTGTTTAGGCAATACAATAACTAAAATGTTAACTTCATTTGTTTAGGTAATACAACGGGAACTTTTCTTCACACATTTGGCGAGAAATGGCGCGTTCGGCTTCAAGGACAAGTTCAACAAGCAAAACTGGCAGGAGCTCAAGGAACAATAGAGCGAAGGTAAAAAATATTAAGGCTCTCGTAAAAGTCGGTGTCAATTTAGAGGAACATTCTCAACTTTTGGCTTAACGCTTGCTAATACGGACCTCGTGAATGAATCCGGCATTGTTGTAGCTCAACTTTTGCGCCGATTTACGAAACGAGTCGACTTAGGAGCTGAATTGGTCTATCAATATGGGCGGCAAGTGCCAGGTATGGACTTTTTTCATATCGAGGAATGTCAGCTTTAATAGGTGGTCAAATTACGGTGCCATCGTACTCTGCTCGTTATTCGGCAGACTTCTGGACTGCTGCTGCGACATTTGGAATGTCGGGGCTTCACCTCTCTTATCATCATAGGCAAACTGAGAACATTCAGTTCGGCGTTGAATTTGAGAGCAACCTCAACGTCCAAGAGGTATTGATTATTTTGATCGAAGGGCTTTAATAGTTTATTTTAGGCAATGACCACTTTTGGCTATCAAGTTGAAATGCCGGAAGAGGGTGTTACGATGCGTGCTTCGGTGGATACAAACTGGACCGTCTGTGGTGTTTTTGAAAAAAGGTTTTTTCATTGTTTTGCATAAAGCAAAAATAAATTTAATTTGAAAGCTTTTAGGCTCTCACAGCAATTGCCTTTCACACTGGCCATATCTGGAATGCTCAATCACGCAAAGTCTGCCGGAAAGTTCGGGATTGGCTTGATCATCGGATAAATCGCTCAATTCATCTTGTTTGTTTCACCTCAATTTTTCGCTTTGTTTATTTTAAAATTTGTGCATTTTTGTTGGATTTCTCCGTGAAGTAATTTATGAAAGTTATTGTTGTTTCTAGCTCATTTCATGGTGTATCCTCAACTCTTCAAATATCTTAGCCTTTGCTATAGGATTAGAGCTCTTAGTTTGCCATTAGATATGTTCGTTTCGTTGTTTACAATTGTTTCCTTTTATAAAGAGTTATGAATTATGGTCTTTATTAAAATGGAAACTGTTTATTCAACTTGGTATTTTTCAAAAAAAATTGAATAATTGTAATAAGCATCTTTGGCTTTTCGATGGTTATAAAGTTCACTTCCAATGTTGTGCAACCACCCGTCTTGTTGTACATGGGCGTAGACAAGTTTGAGAACGAACATCTAATTAAGTAAGTTTTAAATCCTGCCTAATTGAGTGTCACTTTTGCAAAGTAAAGTAGTAATTTTCCGATCAATACGTTTGTTTTTAATTTGGGCGAGATGGTGCCGTTTGATTTTGTTGCTTTTTAGATATGGATGGCCTGAAGATGTATGGTTTCACGTGGATAAACTTTCTTCAGCTCACGTCTACTTACGATTGCCTGAAGGAATGACGATTGATTCAATTCCGGAATTATTGGTAATATTTGGCAGCTTTAAGATGTAAAAGTTAGGAAACACGATAAAAACGCTTAACCGTGCATCTAGTTGATAAAGTCTGCTACTTTTTAATCAATATTTATCTCTATTTTAGGTAGAAGATTGCGTTCAACTTGTAAAGGCAAACTCGATCGAAGGCAATAAACTTAACAACGTCGATGTAGTCTACACAATGTGGTCGAATTTGCATAAAACTGGTGATATGGCAATTGGACAAGTTGGTTAAGGCTATTAATTTCTTAAGCAACAATTTTAGATAGGATTTCACTCACAACGAGCTGTCAGAAAGATTCGCGTCGAGAAGAGGAAAAATGAAATTATTAATCGGCTAAATAAAACCGAGAAGAAGGAAGACATTGATTACAAGTAACCATTCATTATTTACTTTTTGACGAATATTTAGAGCTGAACGTGATGATCGAGATGCGAAAGAGCGTCAACATCAGAGAGCCGCTGAAAAGATAAAAAAGGTAAGATCGTTTTGGAAAAACGGTGCATTTGTTAGGGTAAAATTTAAGTTACGTCCAAGTTAAAAACTTTTGTATACATTTAGGAGGCAGAAACGAAACTTGCTGAGCAAAAAGAAAAAGAACGACGAATCAGAAATTATGAAGATGTTGAAGTCGACGATGCTTTATGCAACAAAAACAATGAGGATGGCAACCTTTCTGATGACTTCATGTGATTTAATTTTTTACGTTGTGTTTCTTGTTTTTTTTATTTGGATCGACGGTTCGAATAAAGTTTGGGTTTTTTCGATCGATTTTTGTTTCATAACTCTCAACTCATTGTCGGAGAATACCTGTATCAGTTTGGTCTAAAGATAAGTAAAGTAGGCTTTAAAAAGCCTGCCGCTGCTGGCCTGTTGGAAAATAAGAGGGGGTTTGCTTTTATCCCGTTTTGGCTGGAGACCGTTATGATATGTTAGGTTGTCCCATAAAATCCAGAGATCTTTGTTTTAATCAGTACTGGCTGATCGTTTTGTAAGGTTTGTATTTAACTTTTTTCTTTTCATGCTAAAAATTTCTTCTTTCGTGCACTAACATTCATTTTTTAGGGATCGACAGGAGAGGAGAGTTGCAGTCTATCGAATGAAGCCAACTCGAGAAGAAATCCACGCTCAACTGCTCCAACGATTTTCAAGAGGGATTTCAGCGGCCAAAGCAACACGGGAAATCAATCAATTTTATGGCAACAGAATCGCTAGAATAAGTACTGCATAGGAATGGTTTTACAAATTCAATACGGGCAACACGAGGATCAAACGGAAGAGGGAAGCGGATCGATCGATACTGAGGTACCGACTCCTGTGAAACCCCGATGGATCAACCCGGAAATTGGTTGGACGTTGCTGTGGACGAATGGCTGTGTGGCGATGGCTGGAAAAAGTGGGAAGAAGAGAGAAAACAACGCCAAATCCCGTACGAAATGTCGGAAACAATCCAAGCCAAAGGAAAGCGGAAATTCCACCACTTGTGAAGCGAATATCGGCATGGTCGGCTTCGTCTTTCGAACCTCATCACTCACGAAACGTGGATTTTCCACGATGGTGTTACAACGGCAGTGATTGAAGAAAGGGCAAGTAGGGAAAACGGCGCCGAAACGGAACATCCACGGAAAGAAGCGAGTTTTGTGTGTCTACTGGTGTTCGACAGGTGTCCTTTTCTGGGAACTTCTCAAACCGAGGCAAAATTTTAATACCGATGTTTATCTACGTCATGTGCAAAAAGTGGACCAAAAAGTCGGGAGGTTGCTCTATGGAAACAAATGGGACGGCTCCGTTTTCTTTTTCAGGATGGCCCAAGCTCCCACAAATCAGAAAGATAGATTGATTTTGTGAAGAACAATCTACACTGGAATACCCCTTCTCATGCACCGTATTCTCCGGACGTTGCCCCTTTTGACTATTACTTGTTTTTGTCGCTAAAGGAGAAGGATTTCTTACGTGGTAATAGGTTCAAAGGTGAGAGCGGACTCGAGGACGGATTGAACGACTATTTTTGCTCGCGCTCGCTTGGGTTTTGCGAACGAGAGATTGGCAAACTACCCAAACGTTGGGGAAAAGTTAGAAATTGATCTGGAAAATATATAATTTGATTCTGATTCTTCGTTGTTTCTATGTGTTGAAAATAAATAAAATTCAAAATCTTTGTTAAAAGGTTTTTATGGGACAACCTATTAGTACCCTGTAAACTGTCTCTGTTTTATCAAGGCATAATACATTTGATTTCGTGCTTTTAGAATGTTAGTTTCTTATAAAAAATTTATTAACGGATAAAGCTCTAAAAGATTATACTTGGTTCAGAAACCGCACAAATAGATCAAAAGACGACAGTATAAATCGAGAAGGAATCACACAGAGAACAAATAACAAACACTTTTATCACATTTAATGAGTAGAGGCGAAAGAGAAGTCACCGAGGAAATCAAACAGTTTTTGATATTATGTAGACATCGGAAAAGACAATCATTATGGCTGCTCATTTAAAGCGTTGGTATCTGAAAACGATTTAGCATTGATATTGTTCGGATAGGAGTGTTTTAATGGGGCTATAAATCAATCTAGAACCTAGATTTTTACTGGTATGCGGATTTTTTAGTGCTGAAACTAAATTTGCTAGTGCTATCTAGGTTGTGGATTGGTACTGTCTAGTTAAAGCAAGGGACTTCTTTGATCAGGTTCTGATTTTGCTTGGCGTTTGTGGTTAGAAATATAAACTTTTAAATCATTGTTATTTTCAGACTTACCGCTTGTTTGAGAGCTTGATCAAGGTCGGCTATCAAATCATCCGCATCCTCGATACCCACAGAAAGTCTAAACTCTTGCGGCGTTAAAATGAAATGTGCAAAATGTTTTACCTGATCAAATTGTCGGTGATTCCCAAGATTTCCCTCTCATTGGCGGGCACTGAAGCGTGTGTCATAACGCTGGGCAATTCAGCCAACGATTCGAAGCCACCCAAAGACTCGGCCAGTGTGAATACCTGAATTGGATGGTAATCTAGGGTAATATTTCAATGGTAAAAGATCATAACCCTCTATTATGATAATTACGGCAACCAATTCAATCAAGCGCACCTGGAGAGTGGAAAGGAATGTTCTGCTGTGCTCCATGCCTCCTTTCAGATAGAAGCTGATCATTCCGGACATTCCCTTGGTTTGTTTAATGTGCACCTCGTGTTGTGGATGGGATGGGAGAGGCGGATACAAGACCTGAAATATGAAAATTAAAGTGAACTCAGTTTTAACGATTACCTTCACAACTCTTTCGTTCTTTTCAAGGAACTCAGCCACTTTCAGTGCATTCTAAAAGATAAAAATTTTAAAAAATGTCTCGTGGCATGCCTCGTAGTGTCGCTGCATTCGGACGTGAAGAGTTTTGATGCCTCGATTCACCAGAAAACAATCGAAGGCGGATGGAACGGCACCGACAGCTAAATTGATGAGTGAGTGCTATTTCATGAACTTATAGGTGAAAACTGTTGGCCACTATAACGGTAAGCTCTTCAGATTTTATGACCAACCGAGTTGTTGGAAGAAAAGATGTTGTTGAATGGCATCATTGTCTGTCATTACAGCACCCATCACAACATCCGAATGTCCGTTGATGTACTTGGTCAACGAATGGACAACAATGTCAGCTCCGAGAGAAAGTGGGCGCTAAATTATTTCAAGGTTTAATCACTTTTTACACTTTTATACCTGGAAGTAGGGAGTCATGAAAGTGTTGTCAACAACAACCAGAATTTTCGGGTTGTGCTTCTTGGCGAGTGCCACGACGGCTTTGATGTCAACGACTTTCAATAATGGATTTGAGGGAGTCTCGAACCAAACCATCTGAAAATTAAAGTTTTATCTCAAAGAATAATGCAGTGCAAACCTTTGTGTTTTCCTTGAATGCTTTGTCGGCTGTTTCCAAGTTCGTCAAATCAACTAAGTCGACTTCTAGGCCGTGATTTGGCACAGACACCTAAACATTTGTTCTCTAATTCAAGTACTAACTGAATTGTTTCAATCTATTATTTCTCTTTGCTCTTATACTTACCCGGCGCAAAAATCTCTGTGTTCCTCCATAAACGTCATCACTGCACACAACATGTTCCCCTGTCTTCAACAGGTTGATGACAGCCATCGAAGCTGCGAGTCCCGAAGAGTAAACGTGAGCTGTAAAGTTGACAGTTCTATAATTAGATTTCAAAACAAGTTTATTAATTCAATTCCACTTTAAATGTCTTGCTTTGGTTGTCTTTTTTATTAACTTTTGAAGTCTTACCGTGTTTAGCTCCTTCCAGAGAAGCAAGGCACTTCTGAAGGACATCGCGAGTGGGATTCCCGGCGCGAGAGTAGTCGTGCACTTTTGGCTCACCAGGGTTCTTTTGCATGTAAGTTGTCGACAACGAAATTGGTGGGACAACCTAAAGATTGGATTTTTAAAAGCACTATGCTCAAAAAATTTCTTTTTTCCATTGTCAAATTTTGGTTTGCAAACGATTTGCTACATTTCTCCAAGATCTCTCAGATTCAAGATCAAACCACCACTTCCCTCATTATTTGCTGAAAATGCCGACTTTTTACTGATCGTAAATTTTTATGAACGAAAATCGCAGATCCACTTGGTTTGTGGAATGGGTTCATTTCAACGAAAGGCACGTGTTTGCCGCTCTCACGTGGGGTCACATCTCTATCAAAGGAGGCGATCAGCAAAAAAAAAATTGAATTGCTAGTCTCTTTAGTTGGTCTCATAGACAATCTTTCAGTTTATTAATTCTCAATAAAACGATATCATCTTGTAAAACTTACTTGGTGCATTTCCCATTGATCGGGCTCTTGTCCGACATGAGTAGCAGCGGTTCCAAATCCAGGGAATGTGGCCATTGTTTGATGATTAGTGAAGAGTGGAAGTAGACGAGTGACCCGATTGAGAGATAAACTCTGAAAATTATTATTTGAAGTTATTTAAAATAAGACCTCTTAGAGATAGGACATCAGCGCTAACTTTTACAAAAGTTAGCGCTGATGTCCTATCTCTAAGAGGGCTCAGGCTCTGTAAAAGTCAAAAAGACACTGATGTCAAAAAGAATTAAACTCTGTGTGCGTACTTAAAGCTATCATCTGATGCAGCATTCTACAAAGGCTTATCTAAAAGAATGCAAAGACTATTAGGAGGAAACCACAAAATAAAGCTTTCAATTCCCAATGAAAGTGCTAAAGGAGTGATGCCAAAATGGGTTTAGTCTCATTTATACAACAGCTATCAGCTGCGATAAGACACTGTCAAAAGGGAGAAAGAGGAAACGGATGGTTCAGGAATTCCCGCGAATGAAGAGATCTGTAAATGTTTAGAAAGAGGCAGACACAGTCAGTCCGATTGGCCGGCCATTTGAGCAGAGCAAAACAAAACGGCTGATCGTTTGGGTGTCCAGTTTGCGTAATGCGGTCGTCGCCCAGTCTCAGTTTGAAAGCAAAGAAAAGGGGAGGAGTGAATGATTTAAGGAGAGTTTTGATGAAAAGGAAAGGACTATCCAAAAAGGTGGTGAATGATTGAGACGTTGCTTTATTTGACAGCAGATCTCCCTTCTCTAGCAATTTTCCCCCAAAAATGTCGAATGTTTTCATTGACATGAAAAGTGCAAGCTATGAGAGCGCATTTTAGTTTTTTAGATTCGATTCAATAGTATTATAATTTAGTTTAGAAACTTTTACTTACCCTTTTGCTCAAAATGAACGAAATGCTGAGAGAAGAGATGAGATGGTGTTGAGAGGCAACGAGTCCTGAAAAAGAAAAACAATTAAACGGCTGTGAAATCAACAAGTACAAAAATCAGAAAAAGTATCGGAAAGTGTGCCACGAGGTGATGAGGCGGAAATAAATAGAGGCCAGTAGGATGGGGAGGGGTTAGGGAGGGGGAAGGGTGGATGGAGGAGGGGAGGAGTCAGCCGGGCTAGTGACGAAGGCTGGCGCCACGTGCTGCGCTCATTGCATCAGCCGCTTGCCTCAGCCAGAAATGAGTGGACAAAAAGCAAAACAGAGAGAAACAACTGAACATTTTCTCACTCAGTATTAGGAAAGGAAATCAATCTAGGAAAGGAATAAGTGAGACAGACATTCATTGTTCAAAGCTGTTTTTTATAATTGGAATTACGATCAGTAAATATATTATTATACATATTATTGTATTACAACATATAAAATTTGATTTCAAAGAAAATCTTTTTTAGAAAACAAAGGCTACCGTCACCCATGAATATTCAATAAAAAAATCTGACTATGCGTTTTCAAAAGCTATAAAGTGAACAAGGTGAGAATGAGATAAATGGTTATTGCTGAAATGGGAATTTTCGTGGAAACCCCCACCTATATAGCTCCACAAAATCAGTGACCGTAAACATTAAAGAATGACTTGAATTTTGTGGTGTGTTCTCAGCTAATTCGTCATCGTTTTCTTCAAAAAGAGATTTCTTGGTTGTGTCCAAGAGAGATAGGCAGAGAAAACACGAAAAACACAATAACAAGACTCCGCACAAAATGTAGAGATCAAAATTTCTGGGAAAATTGGGGAAAAGGGAAAAGCTTGTGTAAACAGATCAATTTAAGAAAAAGTTTGATGGCTCGTTTTTTGGAAAAGCTTTTGTTCTGCCGATTACAGGTCAGTTCTGCCGATTCGTAAAAAGCAATAAAATATTGCCATCGAATCAATTTTTAATTTGGAAAATGAACCACATTTCAAGTTCTAAACATTAAAATCTAACCAGCTGGAACATTTTAATTTCCTACTAAACAAAAGTTTTATCAGCTTTATTTCACAACTTTTTAACACGTTTAGAGTTTTAAAAAGTTACACATGTAACTTTTACAGACGCATTAATTCAAAAGATACTTGCATCAACAAAAATAGACATTTGTGGATGCGAAAAATGAAAGAATGATTGGACTGAAGGACGGGTGAGAATCGAACGATTTTGGTGCGGAAGAGGGGAGAGATTGGATGAAATAGGAGATTGCAGACCCCAGCCGATGAATGTGAATAGGGAAAGAAAAAAGAAAAGACCCTTGGGGACAGATGCAAGGAAAGAGGAAGGGGTGACCGGGCTTCTCTTTCGATGAAGAAGGCCGAGGCTGGGAATGGACTCTGTGCTCCCCGTTTGCCCGCTTCTCTTCTTTTTGGTCTCTTTGGTCCCTCTTGTCAGACACTTCCCGCTTCTTTTTGGTGATTTGGAAATCGAATATGTCGACTATGGGGGAGCAAGTTTGCTCATCCTCAACTTTAAACAAAAGGTTCACCCTTAGGAGAATGCATAAAAGCAAGCTCATGGAAAAAGGTTTAAGCATGGAACCTATTAAAACAGCATCAAACAATTATCAATTCTAAATAAACTGTGAAATTGAGCTAACACTTCTAAGCAAGTGAAAAAATTTGGGTCTTCATTTTAAATACCATTTTTAGCTTCCCCATTGAGGAGAATTTTGGTAAAACTTGAATGATTTGTTGTTACCAGAAGGCATTAAAAAGTTGTATACAGCAAGATGGATCCATATTTTTGCTTTTTAGAGTGTCTGAAAGCGATGTTTTGTCTGTCTTAAAACGATCGCAAAAAGATTTCATTGCGTCGTATAGTGTTCGTCTTTATTCTAAAATATTAAATCACAGTGAATTGTAGAAAAAGCTTTCCTTGCTCATTTTCTTTGAAACTGTGAAAGATAAAACGTTAGAATGATAAACTTTATTGTACCCGATTTTTAGGCAAAATAAAATTCTTGGAGGGCAAAGATTGAGCTTTTCCGTACATGAAAGAAGAATTAATTTCAAATAGATTGCATATTTTTTTGTTATGACATAAAACTGGAAATCTAACAAGCAAAAGAGACATAATCTCTTTTGAGAAGAGCTGTCGTTTCGGTTTCTTCTCGTTCAAAGAGTGACTCCATCACTTCGACGGTTCTCGATTGACCGACACCTTAATTTATCAAAAGCTATAGTGTATTTTGTGTATTTCTTTTTCAGCTGTGACTCGGTATAGAGAGAAAATGATAGAGAAATGGCTGAGCTCGCCAGTGAATTATTACATACCGATAAAACGGTAAATTTCTTGCATCTGTTTTGCACTGTCAATGCGAAAGTACTTTCTAGTCTTAACAAGTAGGTAGCTATGATGTTAGCAACTGAAAGATTGTAAAGTCAAGTAATCTTTGAATTCCCTTACATGCAGGATGAAATTCCAATTTATCAGTTTTAACAAAGAGTGCCCTCGAAAGGGGAGATCGCTGTCCATCCTTGAAAATGGCGGCCGCCGAAAACATGTAGAACCAATCATAGCGAAGATCCGGGAACACCACCTAAATTTTTTTGAAAATTTTTGAATTCTTTGCATCAGAGAATATGTGTTCACATTGAGCACAAAGTACACGGTTTCACCGGCTCCCCATGTCTATTTCACAATTCAATCGCTGTCTCAAAAACAAGTGCTACAAATATTTATGAAGATGTTCAGTGACATTCAAATCGCGACTAATCTCTCAAAATATCGAAGTGAGCGCTTGTTTACCCCGAATTACATCAGCCACCCCCTCTTCTCCCACAATGACTCGTTTTTGACCAGATTTCAAAGATCTTATTTCTTATATGTTTTCTCTTTTCTATATTTGTACTTGTTCACCTAGAGTACAAACGAAAATGAAAAATTGTGATATCGTTGATCAAAGATGTTTCACCATAAAAACAAACCCTTCGCCCGTTCACCGGGATCTTGTCCCATTCGCTGAGGTTCGCGTTCGGATTCTCGGTGAAATAAACGATGTAGTTCTGCAATTTGGCTGTTTAGATGACACTAATATTCAATTATCCAATTACCTTTACATCATAAGTTCTTTTATAAGGCGGTTCCCAAGTCAACTCAACGGTGTTCGCGTTGATTTTCATCGCCAAAATGTGCTGAGGACTCAGCTGGGGTTCTGAATTTCGTTCTTTTAAAGGCACTCCTTTCAAAATGAACAAGCATTTCTTTATCTTTATCTTTAACAAAAAATTTATCAAAGGAACCTGTGTACTGAACCAAGTAGATCGGTTTACTCTCTCCAAATCGACTACAAGCGGTGATTCGAAACTCATAAAGAGAACACGAGTCGACACTCATTATCTCGGCTGTATGTCCCTTGATCCCTCGCAACTCCAACACTTTACCCTCAGAATTGTGTCTAAATTGAAAACTCTGTAGTTAAAGATTTTTGTGACGCACTTGAGTCGATATCTGATATTGTATGTGACATCTTCATCGGTGGAAAACGCGGGAGCCCACGCCAAGCGAACCGAGTAAGCTGACGTGGAAACGACCTGGAATTTAGGTTAAATACCAAATATCAATTTCCTAAGCGTTACTAGGAGACATTTATAGTACAGTTATGAGATTTTTGTTGTTTGCCAAAACCCTCTCACCTGGCAATCCGTCGGTGGATCTGGCGGTAAACGAGCGAACATGAACTTCTCGTGAGGCACTAAAGTTTTGATCCCATCGGTTTTTGTGCTTGCAGCATTTAGAGGTTTTAAATCTAGAACTAGTACTTGCAAAACTACTAGCACATACCTAGGTTCTTCATGCAAATATTCTTACTGCATTTCTCCACGACATCAATTTCGTTTGAGGATTTGAGGTGTTGTGTGATTTACCCACTACACCATCCTCATATTTAGGTGACTTAACAACTAAAGTAAGGGTGCATGCTTGTAATTAACTAAAAAGTGCGGTGTTTATTATACTCTGCAATGCATTCTGCATCAATTAGAATTTTGACCGCAAGTTCGTATATCAAAATGGTCTGATAGCTATTGCAATGGGAGTTACGGGTAAATTCTAATGATGCCTTCGGGTATGCACAAATACAAAAGTGAAACTATTTCTAAAACTAGTTCTAACAATAAACTAAAGAAGTGACTGCATGCAACCTACAATCCTTACAGACATGGCTGCCCTTTCTCTTGTGTGATCGCTTCTTTTTCTTTCGACTTCCTCTCGATAATTCCGTGTAATCTTTGTGAGCAAAAATCATTCCTTTCGCTAGCTGAGCTAATAAAGAAGCCATCGCTGCTCGTCTTCGTCTAAAATGATTTTAAAAACTTCTTTTAGAATAGATTACTGGCTTATGGTTAGCTTATCCTGAACTCACCTGGCTTTTGCTTCTCGAATCAAATAAAACGGATTGTTGCTTTTCAACTTCCGACCCAAGTAGTGAATCTCCTGAAAATGATTGCATAAAACATCTTTTGTTAGCTGTTGCTTGTAGGAATGCCTGTATAACAAACTTTGAGATACATCCGCCCAAACACATCCATGCACATTGTCGTCAAAATCACTCCGCCCAGCACCAAGAAAAGCACCGGGACGAGATTTCCGCTTGAGGGACGAAAATCTCCAAAACCTGAACACCGCGTAAAAGTTGTATGTTGATGCCGACTTACCGACTGTCAAGATCGAGATAAACATAAAGTAGCAAGACTCAACGTAGGTCCAATTCTCACTTCGCATTATCACCTGGAACGCCAAGGATTAGATCATCTGAGAAACGTGCATTCGACTTACATAAGCCGCCAGCAGTCCATAACAGATGACAAAAATGAAGGTGATCACAGGAGGAAAACGAACAAGTTTCACTCGGTCGAGGATTTCCTGAAATTAGTGATATACATCATATGCAAAAGAGCCAAAGCTTTCATTTGCATTCTTTTCATACTCTTTATCAATTTCAATATCCTATATAGCACTCCATGCATCTAAAAGCCATCCTTTCCCTAAAAACTTTACTCTTTCCAAAATGATCTGAACGTTTTAATTATTTTTGTTTTTCATTTGTTTTAACCTCTTCATTTTCATCGTCGGCAAACATCGGTCCAAGGAGAGCTTCATGTGAACGACTTCGATTCTTCCACTTCATCCACGATTTCCAGATCTGGAATTTAGCTTCTAAGGTTTGATTTTAAAAATGAATTGGACACAAACAATTTAAATTGCCTTCATAAAGACCGACTTCATAATGAAGGAGAAAGACAGTCTCCGAGATGAATTTGGCCACATTTGCTACGGTTACCAAAGTGAGTGGGACGCCTGCAGACTTGCATTGAAAAGATATTTGATGAAACAACAGATTCAAACCTATCAAACAATAGCAAACACAGAAGAGCCGTCCACCCAATGTATTCGGCACTACATAGCCATAACCGATCGACGTGAGCATTGTGGTGACAAAAAAGACCGAGTTGAGATAATCCCAAGTGGGAGCCTGGAAATGGAAACTGACATTTTGTTGCTTGGCTTTGTTACTCAGTTTTTGTTGATCTAGCGATCCGTTTCACTGTGACTTTAACCACTCAATACAATTCACATCCAAAGTTTCTCTACCACCGTAATCCAACCAAACCTCTTCATCGTATCCGTGTCGAGACACTCGATGTGCTGTGAACACAGTATCCACATACTGAAATGTACCGAAATTTGTATATTAATCATTCTTGACGTTCACTTTAAAAATTTATTCTATTATTCTATTCTATCTTTGTTGTGAAAAGTTAAAAGCCAATCATTTCACCTCATGAAAGTTCCCCTGTGCTTGCTCTTTAACAAAGTCGATCATATCGTTGAGGTTCTAAAAATTGCATTGCGAAAGACTATTTTTCTTACTTGAAATTTATCTCGATATTTTCTCGCCAATTTCCAGAGTTTCTCCAAATACAATTGTGAGCTCTTGTCAATATTGCTGAGCTGCTCGCGGCGGGTGTCCTAGATCGAAATGAAGTTTAGGAAAAGCTCACAAAGTTTCATTTTTCGTTCTTTCTTCACTCACCAACTGATTTTTACCCTCGAGTTGCTGAAAGATGAAAGCGCCGAGAAGAATATAAATGACACAAGATAGAACCAAAAGAACGTGAAGAGAGAGGAAACGCCTCATCACAAATTGCAAGGCCATCCTGGAAAATAGCTTAAACAAATATTTTAAAGCTTTCTAATTGTACGCAAACATGTGTAACCTTTCATGGATAGTTTTTTATTTATTCTATGTTTCTAGGTGAACCTGAACCGGAGCAACCCTGATTATTGATTAATTAACTCTAAAACTCTGTCAGCTCTATACATCTCCGCTAGTCAATACCAATTTTCACTCACCGCATTTTGAAAGAATATTTAAATGTATTAGTGAATAAAAAATTATCCAAATTGGCTAGAAAGTGTAAAAATCCAAAGTGAAATCCCCATTTCCAATAGAAAAGAGTACTTCAACGAGAAATTCGACACTTTTATTGGCTGACAAGAAAGACTGAGAAAAGGATTTGGGAGTTACATCTACCTGATAAAACTACTCCTATTTATACTTCAATCAAGGTTGAAGCTTGAATCAAAATTTACAATTTACAATTTACAATTTCTTTCCGAAAAACCCACTGAAACTTTGTCATTTTTTCTTCAATTGGCACTCCCTGGGCGATGTTCTCAATCGGATCACTGAAAAGGATTTTAGTTGTAAAATTTATTGAGTAATGAAGAATGTAAATAGGACTTTTCTATCAAATCGCTATTTGAACAACCAAAATTGTGCACTTGAACGAACCCGTTAGATGGTTGCATTGTTCCATAAGAGTCACTCAATCTTTCTCCATCCGATCTCCCTCCACCGCCCACCGACAGCAAATCCACCGACATTTATCAAAAGCAAGTAGATAAACGAAGTTTCAAGAATCCATTTTTGACTCTAATGGTCGGGTTCTAAATCAGATTATATACTGTGAGCTCAAAAAGTCGCTTAATCCAAAAAGAAGAGTTGCATAAGCGAGACATACTTGCCAAGAAAGGCATATTTGGTGGCTTAAACGCGCCCTATGGGTTTAACGGTCTTTTCCTTTATTTATGCAGTTTTCAGATGGATCTCTTTATGAATTTGAAACGAAAACCCCAAAATAGTGGTTCAAAAATGGAAAGGGTTATCCAAAATCAGAATGCCAGAAAACCTCACTTTTTGTGGGTTGTTTAGGGGAAGACCAAGTGAGAGTCGACGAGATGAAGAAGGAACCGATGAAGGAGGGAAGGGCCGAAGGAGAGCCTCTTCACTCACAATCTCTCTCTTGAATGAGCACGATTTTTGGGAGAAAAGCGGGTCTCTACTTGGTATTCTTTAAGGGGAAGGGGAAATCCCCCAGGGGATCATTTCATGCCTTTTGACGCCCCCCAAAGACCTTTTCTTGTTTTCATGGCCTTTTTGAGGATTTTTCCGTGTGTCTTCTTTTTCTTTTGCTTTTTTTGCGTCTTCCGTCAGCGAAATTTTTGGGACTTACTCATCGAGTTGCCCAATACGATAAATTGAGTTAGCTAGCGGAAAAATGAAAACTTTTGTACTTTTGTACTTGCAAATTTTAGATAGGCAAAAATAGGCAAAAACATTAATCAGCGATCAGACGACAGGGAATCACGTTTTTATTTGTTTAAATTACTAAAATAATATCAAAGTTAGCACCGTTGTCCGATAACTTTCTTTAACCCAAAGCTCAATTTTCTAGAACGTTCTCTCAATTCTTCTCATTTTTCTTTTCACATCCATCGATATCTTTTTGTGATCCTCGTTAGGTGGCAGTTGATTCATGTGAAAACAAGGGAAGGGAATTCTTTCAAAAAGAGGCTCTCCTTCTTGTTCTTTTTCTTTTTCTTTCGGAATCCGAGAATTGGTCCCCAGATGATCATCCAAATCAACCGAACGACCATCGCATTATGAACAAAAGTTTTTGAGGCTTTGAGAATTGGCATATTTGTGTAGTGCATTAGAATGGTATTATGGTACGGCTGTATATCTCTAAAAATTCAACAAATTGCTCATAGCTTTGCTTTATTTAATACCTCAACATGTAGGCAGAAATCTAGGTGTTATTTCAAAGTCTTCTCTATCCCATTTCCCTAGACAATGCGAAAACGGAAATTTTCTCATGTTGGCTGCCAATGGGAATAAAAAATGGCAATGTCTCGAAATGAGCTACTCAAAACGTGTGATTGATTGATTGCCCCGTTATCATTTTTTCCGAAAATGCTCTCAGAAGAATTCTTCAAATCTCTGCCCAAAGTGGTTAGTTTACCATTTTCTTTTACATAGCAAATGAAAAAAAAGATGCCTTACATATATATGTATAAAAAATTGCGACTATTTACGGAATAGTTTAAGTTTTATTCTGTAGCCATGCAAAATATAGAACTAGTAAAAATAAAAGGTTAAGTGTTAGTCAGCAGATCCATTAGAACTTTTGTGATTCTCAGGAACTCCACGCGCATTTGAATGGAAGTCTCTCTGAAAAAGCGCTGGAAAAACTGGAAAAACTGAAGATCAAAGAAACGAATGGTATGCTTAAAATAGTTTCAGTACTGGTGTAGCTTATCTCACACTTATGTAATTTATCCGCAAGAAAACATACGATTATTGAAATATGATCCCTTTAGGTGAGTACAAGGGATTCACCGAAACCGAACGAGAAATCATTTCGATGGAAAAACCAAAAACGATGACTGAGTAATACAAGAATTTCAACATTTCTACGTAACATTTAGAGTTTTTCAAATATTCCCCATTGTTCAATCACTCACCGAGAGCAAAGAGGCCTTAAAATTGGTGAGTGAGAAAATTCTCTGGGACATTGTTCCTTTTGGCGCAAAGAGGTTAGAGGAATCGTCTGCTTGGACATTTTTGGGGTTTTTTAGTTTCATGATTATTACCATGTTAGAAATGTTTTCAAGAACTAGGTAATTAGTTTTTGGAAGTAAGGAAAGTTAAGTTCAAGTTAAGGCCACCCTGGAAACTTTACGCGAATTCGAAACGGATGGGGTAATCTATTTGGAACTGCGGTCAACACCCAAGGCTATCGGAATGTCGAAAAAAGAGTGAGTGAAAGGGCAAGCATTAACATTCATAATATTATTTTCAAATATGTCGAGACAATTTGCGAAGCCATTGGAACATATTCGGGAAAACTTATTTGTCGACTGATTTTGAGTCTCGATCGACGACAAACTTTCGAAGAAGCTGAAGAAACGATGATATTGGCGATAAATGGTAGCTTCAGCTGTACTTTTGATTATTTAGAACTTACAGAGACCAATAATAAATGCTGTCTGTTAAGCAAACGCTAAACTTTAGATTCAACGGGTCTCATTGTTGGAATCGATCTCTCTGGAGATCCACACGTAGATGGAACAAAATTTATTCCAATTCTTCGGAAAGCTCAAGAAAATGGTATCAAAGCTACCGTGCACTTGGCTGAGGTCAATTTAAATCTTAAACGATTATTTCTATAGATGACAACTACGTGTTCCTATAGGCTATACAATTGATAAATAGATAGTTAAGTAGATACGACTTCTAGATGGAAACATGTCTCTTCGAAGTCGACGAATTCTTGGATTTTGGTCCCGATCGAATCGGGCACGGCTCATTTCTGCATCAACGAGACGAATGGGTGAAAAAGATTAAGCGATCAAGAATTCCAATAGGTTTGTGCCCCGTGAAAAAATAAATTTGCTGCAACTTTCAGAAATTTGCTTGACCTCGAATATTTTCACGAAAACGACGTCAACAATCGGGGAGAGTCATTTTAGGGATTGGTGGAAGATTGAACATCCTGTGTGCTTGGGGGTTTGTTTTAAAGGTTTCATAGTTAAGCAAAGTTTACAAATATGGCCTGCTAAATGTATTAAGTATTGACTGGGCCGTGGATTATGCTTTGTGCTCAAAATTGTAAACACATCCTTTCGGGCACACAAAGTAACAACCTATTCAACTTTGTTTTAGACTGATGACAAGGGAATTTTCCCCAATTGTTCGATGAGCGGTGAACTTGAGTTGGCCGCTAGAGAATTTCGACTCTCTGCATTTGATTGTCTAGAAATCACAAAAACATCACTGAAAGCATCCTTTCTCAAGAAAACATCAAAAGAATATGAATTTCTGTTCACCTTTCTGAATAACTTTGTGATCTCTGAATAAACATTCAACTATAGCCAAAGGTTTTGTTAGAAGTAACGCAAGCGAAACTTTTCAACCGTTATCGGTGGGCGAACCCGGTGAGGGCCCTAAATCCTAACCACAGGATGATAGCAAATGTGACTCAAGACGCTCAAACTCGACTTGGAATAGAGTCAAATAGACACTCTTTGCCTTATCATGGAAAAAAGAACAAGAAGAAAGATGAAGAACAGTTTGCAATTAGTTTAAGTAGTTTAATGTATCGACATTGAAAACGCAAATCGCAAAAGGTTGTTATCGTTTCGAGATTTGCACAGGAATGCCCATCGATGGCTTCAAAATGATCTAAACAACATTGTTTCACTTTAGTTTTAAAGTTGTCGCTTGGAAGCTATTGATCCAAAATTCACAAATCTACCTCAGGACATGGAATATTTTCCTCGAATTTTGTCTGTGAATCAGCCGTGATGTTGAAGCGGCGGAAAAACCACGAAAGCATCGTTTTCTCCTCCATCAAAGCGAACTTTTGACCTGGAAATCGTTTTTAAGCAATTGAAAATACTGCAATCGTTGCCTCATTTAGTTTTGAGTTTTAGAATAAATGGATTGGAATGAGATTTTTTATAGCAAAACTTTCCCAACAAACCAATGCAATTCCTTGGTCCGGCACTGAAAGGAATGTACGCAAATGGATGTCTCTTTGTGACTCGTTCTTCCGAAAAGTTCTCCGGATCAAACACATCTGGGTTATCGTACACCTTAAAAGTGTAGCCCAACTTTAGTTTTAAGCTTTGAATGTGTTTATTTAATGTAAAAGGCTTTTTCGCGATGACTAAGTGTTTTTAATTCCTCGAAAAAGAACTTTTGTGCATCAGAAATTAAAGTTTACGTTCTAAAATTTCTAATTTCTAAATCTAAATTCTAAGTTCTAAATTTGTTTATAATTTAAACCATTCAACTGCGATTAATAAACAAACCGCCGGGTTTTGATGAATCATCAAAGGTGTCACTCCGATCACACAGTTTTTCGGGAATAGGTGTCCATCTAAAATGTTCATTTCGTTTGTCAAAATTTCGTAATTCAATTTAATAATTTCTTTGTAATTAAAGCATTTGTGTCAATTTTACAAAGCTTACCAATTTCAAAGTCCTTTTCGACTCGCCGAGTGAAAATTGGTACCGAAGGAAAAAGTCGGAGGCTCTCCTAGATCAAAGAATTTAAGTCTACCAAAACTTTTTCTTTCTATACTAGTTTGCAATAAACAACTGTAAGTAATTTTAATTACTTTGATGACTTTCTCGAGGTACTTCAGTTGTTTTAAATCCTCGCTGGTGCAACTGCGGGCCGATGAGCCTGAAGATGGGCTTGGTATCTCGTTTTTTATTCAAGTACTTCATCAGAATCTTGAAGAAATAACATTTAGCTCTAAAAACTTACCAAATACAGAGTCGACTTCAGCTTGGATCTTTTTCAAGATCTCTGGGTGATGTGCGACACACCAAAGGGTCCATCCCATTGATGATGAGGTAGTATCATGACCTGGATAACTCTTAGTCAGTCTGAATAACTCAAAACTTAAGCATAATGAAAATTTTTTAAAGCCTCATCAAAAGAAACCCTCAAACATGAATGTGTCAACTTCTTCTCGAATATCCACATCGGTAAGTCCGCCCTCGGCTCGAGAGCTCAATAAAAGGTCCAAGAAAGCCTGCAAATGTCACAGCTTTTTATTGGGTACTTATTAGGGGATGACACACATACTTGATAGATTAATTTAGTCAAATTTTTAGTTCACTTTGTTTACCTGATACACTCGCTCACCTTTTTCTTGTCTGGTCTATCGAAAGCTCCCGGATCGGCCTCAAAGTCTTGGATTCGATCGCGAATTACCTGATATGCATATTTTAAACGTATTTCTTAATTCAAAAATACCTTCCTCGTAAACGATAGCAAAATGTCGAGTTGTTGATCAGCCTCGTAACCATAGCCGGACAAATACCACAATGGCTAAAACAAAAACGTTTGATCAAGTCCATCGATTGCTTGCTTACTTTCAACCAAAACCATGGCATTCTTTGTTGCATGAAAATGAGCTCGTTCATCCGTTGAACTGCTTGCACATATCTGGGAGTTTAAATTTAGGATTGCTTGACAACAGATTTTATAAGCATACATCGTTGTTTTAACCTACCATTACCCACGACTCTTTGTTAAAACATTGTGAACTTGTCACTTTAACGCCTACTTTGAGTTTGTTTCCCAAATTTTTTTTGTTGAACTCACGGATGTTTCGGATTTGTTTGAGCCGAAACGCAAGTGCCCATTGCCGTTTCTGGAAAGCTTCTATATTTTCAAAAAGTAATTTTCGCTCCACCACAAATAATGTCGAGAGCACAGCGCTTCACGTAGGGAAAGATATCAAATTGTTCTCCGCTTTCCGCGAATTTCTCCAGTTGCTCCACAAAAATCTAAATTTTCGGTATCTTGAAATTCTTTATCCTTTCTTTTTACTTTGCTCTGTTCATCGTGGGTTGTCAAAAAATCCTCCAAGACGCGAAAATGAAAAGCGGGAGTGAGAAGCTTTCGTCGAACTCGCCACTAAAAGTTGGAGAGTATTTTGAGGCAGTTTGAGGCAGACTTAACCAGTTCTGGAATCACTCAATTCTTCAGATTCAAAAAAGCAATCACTTAAATTTGGCTTGGATCGATTTTGGTTTATTATTGGGTGATAGCTCTTGGTTTGGCTAGCATTGACCTGAGTCATTTTGACAAATCTCCTACCCACCTTGTCACCCGTTTCAATGAGCAATCCTTTTCCCAGCCATGGAAGCAATGGATTGTACTCGGGTCCTTTTGTGATCAATTCATTGCTTTCCAAAACTATCTGAGATTTGTTTTATGAAGTCTTCTCTTTAGAGAACTTACTTTGGCATACTCGGGTTTAATGAGAACAACAAATGGTTTTGGTCCAAGCCAAATTCTCACGACTCCGTGCCCTTGACTCGCATAATATTCACCCCAGCCGCGGAGTTGAGCCGTGAATTCTGAAAATTTTCAAATTAATCTGGAAGCTGCTTTTGGATTTTGATTCACTGAGCAATCTCGAGTTTATTTTTCCATGCAAAAATTGTGAAAAACTGACTCTCAATGGCCCACTGAAATTGCCAAGTTGTTCCAAGGATTGGAATCGAAAATGGACCAGGCATTTTATCCACATAGTACACCAATCGAAGGCGATCGACAATGCGACGCCAAAAGAGAACTACCAAAATGGGCAACACAGCCAAACACCAAGTGGGAACACCCATTTTTAAAGCAAATAAATATTTTGTCAGTAAAAAGAGTCTTTAGGTGGTCAGTGAAGTCAGATTTTCTTCAACTAATTTCCTCAAAGTGAAGCACTTCCATTTTAGACTCCAAGACTATAAATCGAGAGTTGAACAAAAGGGAAAAACCGTTTTCTAGCCTTATCAGAAACACCAAAAAACAATGCTACTTTGCTGAAATTTTCACCGAGTCCAATTCAGTTTCTATTAGGTTGAACAGAAAGTCTCTGAAAGTTTTTGAACTAAAATGTTTAAAAAACAGAAACATTGTTTCGGGATCCAGACATTTCAACGAACATTTCCATGGCTGTTGGGTTTTATTAGAAGATGCATTTGACTTTAAAACTGGACTCGTTAATAATCAGGACAGCCAAAAAAAACAACATTAACTATGTGAATACTTTTCACAAAATTTTAGCCGATAATTTTTGTCGACAAGAGTATTGCGCACATTTTGAGACCAAAAACATGAGGATTGATCAACTCTGAAGAAACTTATAACACTTTGGATCTGAACATGACGTTTTGCGACTTTCTGCGCGCTAAATTGTGGATAAATTACCGTACCCGCAATCTTAATATAAAAGCGAAGCATTGTTTATTCACAAAGCTTATTTTACTCAAACTTATTTTTTTGTTTTTAATCTTTTTTTCTCTAATCGTTAATTTTTATTTACTAATTGTTTTCCTTCAGGTGAGAAGAAATGGTTTGAAATGGAAATAAAAAAAGACGATAAACAATGTCTTCACGTTGCACATCCGCGCGAAATGTTAGTAAAAATGTGATCGCCGTGGATTTTGCTTGCGATATATGTTATTCGATGCAAAAAATATGCTGAATGTCCAGTGTGCAGAAGAGACTGTGAGTCAAAGTTTTTGGCTTATTGGGGAACTAGTTTCATTATTTTTTTTACTTTTAAGTCCATTAAAACTTTGTACTTTGTTTTTGACGTTGCATTTAACATTTTGGAGTCATGGTTGTGGTTGTTTTTTGTTCTCTTATTTTCAGCTCTTTACTAGATGTCCAGAGGTTCTTCATAGACCAATTAAACGGATCTAATCTGAAAAATATTTTTTAAGTTAAAATAGTGTAGCTAAGATAATTGAAAAAGTTCTGATCTTGATATTGTTAACTAACAACACAGTAGGATATCATGAATTTTGAGTCTTCCGAGCTTTTTACATACTTCATAAAATCTGAGAATTTCCGTAAGTTTTCAATAAGAGACCCAATTCACTCCAAACTAGGATATCTCTACGAGGTCGACAAAAGGATGGAGGATATGCGGAATCGGATCGGATCTCGTTTTGACCGTGCAAGGGATAAAACTTGGACAAAGCTTTACAATTTCTTTTGTTGATTTACCAACAAAGCATCTTTTATTCAAAAAAAATAAAACTTTTCCGAGTTTTTGATCAGTTGATCAAGGGAAAGTCGTTTAATGTGAGGAAGCTGTTCGCCGATCACAAACCGAGTTCGCCCTCCGTTTGGCAAAACTCTGAAATTGCAACCATGTAGACCATGCTATTCACCCGTAGATGATGGGTTGAGTAAGTTAGTAAGATTTTCAAAAAGTTTAGGTCAAATATATTCAAGATTGATTATTAAAAGAGTGCTAGAAGTTAATAATATTCTCCCAGAAGTTTTTAAGGGTCTTTCATAGATTTCCCATAAACCCGATTTCTGGTACTCAAATATTTTGGTTAAATTAAACCTGCCCAAAAATGGTTGGTTTTTAGAGATAAATCAGTCTGGTTCAGTTTGAAATAACGAAATAACTTTGAAATAAATTTGAATAACTCTTTCGTTCACCTACTGAAATTACCGCAATTTTGCGAATGAATAAATAGTCGTAAAAGATTGCTCTCATTCTGAAAAGTCGTCAACCGTTCAAAGAACTCTTCGTTGCTTTCTTTTCCACAATCCATGTATCCACAATCCACAATCCACACAATTGATGATAGCTGGGCTAAAAGATGAACTTTACAACTACATACAAGAATAGTCAAGCTGACAACTTTATGTTTTTTTTTGCATATTTAAAACAAAAACTAAAAACAATTAAAAATGTTAGTGATTGTAAGACTGTTTTAGTTATCGATAACAGCTGAAACATTAGCTATTCTTTATAAAGCTTATAGGAGCTAGGACACTAACTAACACTTATTTGCATTTTGAAACGTTGGCGATCATAGAAAGTGAATGTTCTTTGATATTCCAGTTATTTGTGTTTGGAATTTTTTTTCATTACATTTAAACCAGAATTACACAACAATCAGTCAGCTATTGACACTCTTTCATATCCTTGCACACTTGAGCCGAAGATCGACCTGAAGACTGATGTTTTTTAGACACAAAGTCTAGTTCGCAAGAACACTTTTAAGAGTTTCAGTTTGAAACCGATTGTTTTAGCTCGTTTTACCGTTGACAAAATTGTGTTAATTTAGGTGTTGACATTGTTGAGACATCCCTGCACAATTGATTGATGGCCGGGATGAATGATTGATAGATCTGAAAATTGTATGATTTGCATCAGTTGCATTGCATTCGATTTCGATTATAGTCTTCTGGATTTCACCGTAGTCCTTTGTAGTGATATTCAATGAACTCTTTTTTCAGCTTATCTTATGTGATGCTGCCTGACGACAAACATTGTCGCAAATTGCCGATATCTGTTGCTTTGAGCACGTCGTCACAAAAATAAAAAAAAAACATTTTGCTTGGCTCGCAGAATAATTACTATTAATATTTTTAACCAATGAGAAAGAAAATGCAGTAGCAGTAAATAATTAACTTTAAATCTTTAAAAACGGCCGCAGTGCCATAAAATTGTGTGTTTAACCTTTATGTCTTATTATGTACCCTTTGTTTGTATCACATTATTGGTTTTCAATAAATGTTTTTTTTAAACTACAGGGCACGGCAAAGAATTCATGCAGAAAAAACTGACGAAAGAAGAGAATTTTCCCGTAAATACTGGTTCGATTTTTAGGCTCTGAATTTTTGTGTAATTGCCAGTTCGATTTTTTGGCTACAAAGTCGAAAGCAAAGGCGATGAGTGAAAGACGTAAAAGCTATGCTGTGAGTTAACAAAGCTCAAATTCGAAATATGTTTGATTTTGTTTTTGATTTGTTTTCTACTTTTGAACCATCCCCTAAAACAAAACACGCTCCTAAGCCGAAGCGCCCCCTTGATTGCAATATTGATTGCCTGTATAATGACAAAGATGGACCAGATGGGTCCATTTCAGCTAGGTATTGGTTCCTCTGCCGGGTTCGCTATTGTCGAGCTTATACAAGTCTGCTAACTGGCAATTATGTGACTATTTTGAGCTTTTGTCTGGTGAGTTGAGTCGTCTGGTGCTTTGTGTTTCAAAAGAACCGGTCATAGCTAACTTAGCAAAAAACTCACCAAATTAGCCATAATCACAAATAGATTATTTTGAACAAGAGATATCCAAATCCAGATTTTTGGCATTGAAACTTGTTTTACTGGTTCCAGATGCAGATTTTTTGATTCGCAAACCACTGTAGAGCAGTTATAACGTTTTTCTTTAGATAGGAGCACTGGATCTTTCGTCTACTCCTTCGCAACTCTCGAACAGCAACTACTGTGGAAACATTTCTTCTCCTTAATGTGGCTCTTCGATTTTTGAGAGGGTTCACCGAGCTTTACTTTGTTTCCTGCTTACTCCAGTAAGTTTCATGGCTTGACATCATGGGTCATGATCTTTTAAACGTGTAAAGTGAGCTTTATTGAAGCTACACGTTAAGCCTCACTGTCTTGTCACAGTCAACTATCCATTGAGTGGAGCATTTGTGAATCAATTGATGAGTGCTTTTTATGTCTATTCTCATATCACGATTCAATGGCTTGAACATGCGATTACAATTCATAGGTTAGGAGAGTAGAAATACGTAAAACTTAAACTTGAATAGGTTTTTCGCTGTTTCCTTTGATGGAGTCTACTACAAAAATGTGTCCCGTGGGCACCTCCTGCAATGTGCACTTCTACTCATTCTCCCAGGGATACCTTATTTTGGAGCAATTATCACGCCACGTGAACATCAAAAACATTATTCCAATTTTTCCACCTTTTAGCAATTAGTGTTGGTAAACATGCGTGGACTTTGCCCAGTTTTATGTTCCAAGTACTGTGCTGTGTTGCAACCAGACTTTGGAAATATTTTTGGTTTTAACTGAAATATGATCTTCACATCAATAAATTTAGATGTACTATTTACCGGAAGCTACTATTTTTTTGGATCACTATGTGTGATAGCTTTACTTGTTGATTTAATCGCTCTTCGAAACATCAAAATGAGAATGGTTTATTTTTCATCAAAAAAAACACACACACACGAACTTAACCATCTACCTCTAGAGCTGAATTTGAAAAGAAAGAAACATTATTCAGATATAAAACACTTTTTTTAGATCCAGGCAAGCCAACTCGGAGCAGCCAGCCAACAGCGCTCCGACATTCGCTTTTCGATTCAGGTTGATCAGTTAGACACTTTATCGACATCGATTTTTAACAATCAAATCCAAGATAGAATGGTAACTACTTTTTTTTAGATGGCACTCACCCATGGAATGAAACTGTGTTATTGGGTTCTCTTTTTTCTTTCCTTAAAATACCAATTTTTTACAAAATGGGTACTTGGCTCTCAAATGAACTTCAATCGATTGTCCACTATTGTGCTGTCTGTAGAGAATCTGCTTCAAGGGTGAGTGAATATAGAACGTTTCTAATGATTAGCCCCAGCATTTAGCCTTTTGCTCATCTACTTCAACCGAGCCGCAAAAGTGAAAACTGTCTCCATTGAAGCAACAACGACACAAAGCTAAAAACTGAACTCTTTATCTTGTTTCTGTAGGATAAATTTCCTACTACAAGTGCAGAAATTGCAAATTTTTCCTTTCTTATATTTCAGTTGAACCTAATAATTTACAGTCAAACCTTTGAAAGTTTTTAATTGGTACATCATTAAAGACAGTCAAAACGTCTGATTTGTGATCAAAAAAGAAACTTTGAGAATTGGAAATACCAGTAATTCCTGGTAATTTTAAGATACGAAATGGAAACAAAATTAGACACTCTTTTTGGAAAAAGAATAGGCTTCGAAGATCAAGTCGTTTTAGTCGATTTGTACTAAACATTTAGGAAATAACTTTAAACAGAGATTTCAACTGTTAATAACTCTATTCGTCTGTCATTCATTTATTTGGCCAAAGCTGTTCCAAGTGCCAAACAATCTTTTGATTGTGATATCGATTGCGATTACATTGATTCCTCTCCGCCTACTCCACCAAAACACTCTTCGAGTTTATATTTTTTGTTTTGGAAGTTATGCAGAATGCGATACTGTCGAAATTACGTGAATGGGTTGACTATGTAGCAATTCTAGTTCTTTCTTCAGTAAGTTGAATAGCTCATGAGGTTTTTCCGATTTCACTAAGAGTTCTAATTCTATTCTGAATCATCGCTTTAGCTGGGTACACTGTGTCTCTTGGCAAGTTTCTTTGCGCTTCGTTCGCTTCTCCGTAGTGCTCAACTTGCTGTCAACGTGAAGATGTTTCTTTTTCTAATTGTAACTCTTTGTTTTATGAGAGGATTCATCAAGTTCTACTTTGTTCCTGCTTGTTTGAGTGAGTTAAAACGACTCGTTGGAAATTTATTGCAGACAAATTCGCAAGCCCCACTGCCTTATAACAGTCAATTACCCATGGAGGGGAGCGTTCGTAAATCAACTGATGAGTGCTTTTTATGTTTATTCTTATGTGGCAATACAATGGCTTGGTCATGTCATTACAGTCCACAGGTAGGATGGTCAGGAAAAAGTTGGAGTAACATGTCTTCTGTCAGATTCATCGTGGTTTCCAAGAAGTTCCTTCCAAAAGAGAGTCACGTCGTAACCTTATACAATGTGCTCTCCTACTCATTCTTCCAGCTATTCCCTGCTTTGGAACAATTGCTACGCCAGGTTTGTTTAAAGTCACAGTGTCATTCATTTCCAGTGATTCACCTTGATGCCACTCTATGGAGTCTCCCCGGTTTCATGTTTCAAATAAACGACTACGCAGTGATGCAACCCAATTTTGGAAATGTTTTAGGTTTAAACGAGCTTAGAGAAACTTTAGCAGCTCAATACTCAGACAAACTGTTTGTTGGGGCCTATTACTTCCTTGGACTGATGTGTACTATCACATTACTCATTGATTTGATCATACTTTGTATCATAAAAAATAAGGTTTTTAGCTAATTAGAACTAAAGATTTAAAAAAAATTAAACTAAAGATTATAACTGTTAGTTAATTAGAACATTATAAAAAAGCCATATTAAAGACTTAATGCCATAAGTTGGGACACGAGTCACTTGAGATCAGCCAGTCAACAGCGAATTGATACTCGTCTCTCAATACAGGTACAGTTGAGCTACAGAGTTAGATCTCTTTACTTCGTTGAACATCTAGTTAAGTTTATTGTGTATCAAGTTCTTTGTTCAGATGCTTATCACTCATGAAATTAGTTTTTTTCTTGGCTTTTGTTCTACATTTCTCCTGCTGCAAATCTTTTCACAAAATGGATTCTCACTTTTCAAATAAACTTCAACCAAGTGTCTGTCATTGTGATGACCGTAGAAAATCTAGTGCAAGCGTAGGAAAAGTAGAATAAATTAAATGTTCATCAGTCTACTATCAGCTTTTTGATCGTATATTTGTATTTGGAAAAGATAAGAAGAAGACTGTCTGCGTTGAAGTGACAACGAAACAAAACTGATTCATTGTATTGATTTGCTAACAAACAGTTGAACATTCTACACAAGCCTCGTTTTCTGGTTAAGGAAAATGAAAAATTTTTGTTTTTCATTACCGCAACTCCGTTCTCTGTGCTTTAACATTCATTCAAACAGCTTTGATATTCGAAAAATAAGACTCATGAGCTCTTTTTTTGTTTTTCTCCATTTAGAAGTCAATTATAAATAGAGAACTTTAAGAAAAAGATTTTCAGGTTTTAAGAGAGGTTTTTGCTTCGTTCAACTCATGAATATGATGAAATGCCAGAAAACTTTATTCTGATACAGTTTATTGCTTTTTATTGACTTTTAGCAGACGGCTCGTTGACAACTTGTTGAAATGAAATCAATCGGTATCCACTCCCGTTGACCATCAAATCCTGATGGCCTCAAGAGTCTTGTTTCTTTTTCGTCGATCAATGGTCATTCATCAAAAGTATCGAAGAAATTACCTATCTAAAAGACATAAAAATAATCGTTCTGACAAACTTGGTTGATTTTTTTTAAACAAAACGAGGGCCTCAATTGCTTGTGGGCGTAAATTTGGATCAAACCGAGCACATCTAAAAGTTAAAAGTTAACTAGTTATAGCTATTTTCCAGATCTTAAGAGGTGCAAGCTGAAATTAAAAACATCTATTTGATAATCTTATGTGTATTAATCTTCAACAACAATACTCCCACCTATTCACAACATCCTTTACATCATCTGGGCATGTTGGTGGAGTCAAATGTGAGAGTTTTTGACTCGATGTCACCCAAGAAGTCGTCATAACGTAGCTTGCCCAATGAAACATATTCATCAAATATCAGCCTTAAACTACTTTGTATCAAAATTAAACAAAAACCACCTCCTTTCCATGATCTCCCAAATGACCAACGCTGCACTCTAGACATCGTTTTGACAAGAGATCTGTAATTTGTTGTAAAAATTGTTGGTATCAATGTTAAAACACTCACAACGGGACACGGTCCAAAATACGGGATCCCGGGGAGAGCGAGTAGAAGAGCACATTGAATAAGATGACCACATGTCACCCTCTTGTAGTAGACTGTATCAAATGAAACAGCGAAAAACCTAATAGTTGAATAGTCTGTTGGACTCCTATGGAAAACAGGTTTTCTCATGTTTTGACCCCTTTGTTGGGCTACTATGAAGGAAACGAAGAAACAGGGAAGCACTTACTTTTTGATTACCGCTTAATAAGTTTCTACCTGTGTACTGTAGCCGCATACTCATAGCCACTGTATCGTTATGTAAGAGTATACATAGAATGCACTCATCAGTTGGTTAACAAATGCCCCACTCCATGGGTAATTTTTGGTGACAAGGCAATGTGGTTTTGGACCAGGGCTATAACAAATTTATGGAAACTTTATTTTCAACTCACTCAAGTATGCAGGAAGCAAAAGAAAACTCGATGAATCCTCTCAAAAATCGAAGAGCCACATTAAGGAGAGGGAAAATTTTGACTGCCTTTGAGCCTCGAGAGTTGCGAAAGAGTAGACGAAAAGCGAAAAAGCTCACCAATAAGTCCAGTGCTCCCATCTGGAACTATCGGAGTCTAGCAATTATTCACTGCAACACAACTCATCAAACAAAAACACAAACTGCTTATGTAATCAACGTCATTTACATAATTTCGACAATAGCGCATGCGACAGAGTTTCCAATTTAGGAAATAACCCATTGAAGCACCTTTGGGTGGGCTGGGAGCATCACGATCATTGTACAGACAGTCAATATTACAGTCAAGTGGCTGTTTAGGTTTTCGGGCTGGTCGCGGAATATAGGACGGAAAGAAAGTACCATAATCAAACCAAGTATGCATTTCAAATTAATCTTGTAAAAAGAAACACATTATCCATTTCGAATGGCATTTCGGAAAAAGCTTTGATTCTAAAAGATTCACTAGATATTACACACTAGACAGACTAGTAATTACTCAAACTCGCGACATTTACTTTTCCTCTTATTTCCTAAATACGTCCAAAAACGAGCCATTGGTCCCTCGCCAGCATTCCTTGAAGAACCCCATTCACTTTAACCAACTCAACGACATCATTTGCGTCAATTTCCTCAAGAATTTCTAGCTTTCTAGCTTTCTAGCTTTCTAGCTTTCTAGCTTTCTAGCTTTCTAGCTTTCTAGCTCAGTCTTCGCACCCAAAAAAACTTTGCTATTGGGGCAGCCCAGTTCAGAGCAAAGTTTTCCGGTCGAGGCAACCTCCTAACCGAGCTTCATCATGTTTTCCCATAATTCCATCGAAGGTCCACCAAACGATTCAAGATCGTGCTAAAAGAAAAAAAAGGGCCAAGAGGCCCGACCTAAGAGCGGGTATTTTGTTATATAAACAGACAGACAGATGGACACAAACACACGCCCACGCACACACAGGTAAACTTGGAACTTGGAATCGCACATAAAATCATGTTTTTCTTGAAAACTACAACACTAATGTTATTTTAATCTGTTATTCGTGGTCAGAGGTAAAACTCCGGTTATTTTTAAATTCTTTCTTGTCTTTGTTGATTCTTTCATTTTTCTGTTTGATTTACATTAATGCTTCTCAACCACATCTATGAATGCCATTATCAGCTTAGGCTTAGGCTTAGGCTTAGGCTTAGGCTTAGGCTTAGGCTTAGGCTTAGGCTTAGGCTTAGGCTTAGGCTTAGGCTTAGGCTTAGGGCTTAGGCTTAGGCTTAGGCTTAGGCTT